CCTTCCTACTTCTGCTTCCAAATACCCCCAGTAATTGTGCAAGTCCCATGTATGTCCACAGTAGCTATTAGAGCAAGCTGTGCACAGAGGAATTCTGAGCATCTGACTTGGTCCTATGTTGAGACCAAGAAAATGAAATTCTCATGTTGTGCTGGGCTTCCCATTAGGGTGTTGTCAAGTAAATATTGGCTGTCCCTAGATGCCATAATTTTGTAACAGAGACAAAGCAATCATCACCATTTTGTAAGGGAGGGAGATAAAAGACCCTTTATCACCTGTGAAATATTGTTTGACTCAAAGTCTTGATTTACTTTGCTATTTTTCTTTTTATTCTTTCTCAATCTGTTCACCCAAATTCTTTTCTCTTTCCCTTCTCCTGCCACCACTTTAAGTGACAAAAAAACTGCAGTGTCTCTCATGGTATGTCCATATTCTTGGTGTTTCCCAACACCAAGAGAAAAATTGCAGGAGCAAAATTAAAATGGAATTAAAACGAATAAAGCTTTTTCTTTGTTGTTTTGATTTTCATGGCACCTAATTTTGCAGTCATCATCTAGTTCCTGATTGAAGGAAAAGTTTTGTTTGATGTTGCATTTGTAAATTTTTACTCTTGTACTCCTCTTCCCCCTCCCAATTGTGTAGTTCAACTTGTTTTTGAAATACTAAAATTAGGTTTTTATTACACATCCTGTCTGAAGACCATGAGGAAGAAAAATGAAACATACTCTAACATTTATTGAACCTAATTTTGCCATGTGCACAAGATGCAAGACAGCATCTCCAATCTGGCAAACAACATGGATGAAGGCATAAAGAAAATGGGACATGGACATGTGGCATCTCTTAAAGAATGTTTCTCAGGGATGTCATGTGTTGTCTCTTCTTCATCCCATTGGCCAGGATCTGATCATGTGGCCTAGGTAACTGTAAGAGTGACTGTGATCTAGGTGACTATGTACCAGCTAAAGTTTCTATTTCTATAAAAGAAGGCAAAAAGGGTATTGTGGTATAAACAGACATTCTTGTCATAGGTAGATACTGGAAAAGAGATAGTAAGTTACCATAAGAGAAAGGGAAAAAAACATTTGCTATATTATCTTAAAAATATATCTGACAGGAGCTTGTTTGGCATTTTAAGTTGCTAACACAAAACAGATTTTGATTGATTTATTTTGTTTTGGTCCACATTGCTTTGCTTATTATGACAATGCTAAACCAAAACATACTTAAAGTTATTAGACACAAATTTATGAAATATGGCAAATCCTCTAAGATATTTTCCTTCCATTGAGATTGATTTTTTCATACTCTGCCAGGTCTTGCTGTAAAAATGTGACTATAGTAATGGAATTGTGATCTGTTGTCAAAGGTAATGGTAGTGATGGTCTACAGACCAACTGCCCAGTGGTTCACAATGTAAACAAGCACCAGGAACTTGACTCTGAATCACAGTCCTTGTTTTATAATGCGTCATAGAACACAAGACGTCTGTGGGGCTTCCCAGGGGATTTGTTTCAGCTGTTGGCTGAGTGGGTGGTAGGAGAAGAAAATCGCAGGACAAAATGCATATACCCACCTCTGCCAAGGACTGTTCCTGTGGAGTCTGACACCCACAGCTGACTAATCCTTTGGCCACAGCTATTGGGTGTGATCCCATGGGCACCTCTCCATTTTGCTGCTTTCCTTGGTTTTATTTGGGATTCACCTTCCTCCCACAAGGAGAGTGGCCACACCTGAGAAGAAAGATGTATCTGCCCTTTGTGCCCTGGTGACTAGTACTAATCAGCATTAATTATATCTGTATTAATTTTCTGTTGCTATATAGCAGATTGCTACAAACTGTGGCCTAAAATGACACAAATTTCTTATTTCTCAGTTTCCATTGGTCTGGGGTCTGCTCATGGCTAGGTTGGTGCTCTGCTTTGGTTGTTACCAGGCTGCAGTCAAAGTGCTGAAGGGCCCCATTCTCACTGGGTGACTGACTGAGGAAGAATCCACTTTCAAGCTCAATCAGATTGTTGGCAGAATTCATTTCCTTGTGACAGAAGAATTTGTGGAGCCTTCCTGCTTTAGGTCTGCAAGAGAGCATCTAGCTGGTTCCGCTGAGAGCATCTTCTGTATGATAAAATGTAAACAAGGGCTATGAAATCACCCTCACCTTTGACTCACTCTGTTGGTTGTTTTGGTTTTTGTTTTCGGCTGCACTGAGGTTTGAACTCAGGGCCTTATACTTGCTAAGCAGGTGCTCTACCACTTGAGCCAGTCCCTTTGCTATTGGTTGGTTTCATTGACATTCAAGGGCAAGGAATTTTGGATACTGGGAGAATTATTGGCGTTCACCCTAAGGTCTGTACACTACAAAGAACTATAGGATTTTTAATTTTTTTGTTCTGTCTGTTTGGGTATAGACAGTGAGATAAAGAAGGGAGTAACCAAAAAGTTGGAATTGCCATTAACTCAGGTAAGACTAAAGGAGGGAAGATCAAGAGCTCAATTTTGGCTGCATAAAGAGTGAGAGTCTGTGTATGGGGATGCATGTCTGTAATCCTAGCATTTGAGCAGGAGTATCACAAGTTCCAGGCCAGCCAGGCAACATAGTGAGTTCCAGACTAGCCTGGGCAATGCAGTGAGACCCTGTCTCAATCCCCTCCCCAATAGAAACAATGAGAGGTCTGTTATACACGTACATGGAGCTATCTAGTCAAGTTGCATATATGACTCTAGAGTTAAGGCAGAGGGTCCAGGCTACATTTGTAAGTTTGGGATTCATTAGCATGTAAGTGGTATTTAAAGCCAAGAAATAAGATCTCTAGGGAGTGAAGCTAGGTACAAAACATGTCCAAGGACTGGACTCTAGTGCCCCAACATGGGTCCGGAAGTACAAGAAGAATCTGTAAAGGAGACCAGGTGAGTTAAGAGTTCAAGGCAGGGTAGAATCCTTGCAGCTTTGATGTATTGACTTACCCAGTTCTAATCTCAGAAAGCAACATTTCCCCCCTTGTTCCCAGCTTGGAGAGACACACACTTAGCTCTCCTCTCCCTAAATGGGCTGCTTTCCTGTGTGGTCTTAGATGCCAAATGTAAATGGGGGGCGGGGGCGGGAAACATTTTACTTTGTTGGGAAAGTTCAACAATCAAATTTGCATTTTTTCCCACAGAAATAAGCCAACCCAATTCAGCCTGAGTGTAGGCAACATGGCTAGTGGGAGTGTGTGAACAGTTTTATTTTCAGACTACCACCATTAAAAACAGACCAATCTGTTAAGCACACACCCTCTCAGGTGACACAGGTCAGGCCCTGCTTTGAAATAAAAGTTTCAAATAGTGACAAGGCAATGTGTCTTCCGTGAATGTATTAGATACAGGTGGAGCAACAGAGGCATTTATAAGAGTAGCATAAACACATCTATTTACTAACCAAAGAGATGCTTCTAATTAAGGCTGTTCTTTGAAATAGTTACATTGAAAACATTTGCAATGAAGATAATTAACACATTGATGAGAAAGAAGCAGCAGCATGGAGATTTGCTCAATGAACTGAGCTTGTTCATTCCCTCAGCTAATTCCTGCCAAGAGACGATGGGGTCTTCATTCCACCTTTCATAGACCTGAGTTCAAAAGACACCATTCATGACACATCCAACTACCAATTCTCCATCTTCCTTTTTTTGTCTTGCTGTTGTGCTTCCCTTCCTACCCCATTCCTGATTGAACCAGTGCTCCATCTGTAAAGTTGTCCTCATTCTGAGTTTTCTGCCATCAACTGTAGTTTCTTCAAACTTTTCTATCAGTTTATAAGAAAACTGTACTTCTCAAAAAGTGTCCTTGGTTTTTATGGTATGATTTTTGGTGTCAAGAGCGGTGACAATCTGTTTGGCATTGTACCCATGTTTTGAAGAGCCATTCCCATTCCTACTGCCTTCATTTATTCAACAAAGCCATTGATCTCCAGCAGGTGCCATCTTCCTAGTAGCTGCTAAATGGTGGCCATGGTGAGGGGGAGTGGTGTGTGGAGCATGGGGTGCCAGAGCACCTTTGTGTACATCCTCTGACAAAATTTATTTTGGTACCCCTTGGTTATATAGAGAAATGTAATCATTAAAATGTAAGACTCATTAGCCAAGCTCTCTACTAGTGAGCTAAACCCCAGCATGGTGCTTTTCTGTGGCATAGCACACTTCTATTAATTCTCCTGAACATACCCTGAATTTAAGGATATGCTTGATTACATTTTACTTTGGATAAAATCTTTTCAGTTTTTATAGAACAAAGAAATCATGAAATTGAAAATGGTTGGGGTACAAAGACTCCATTTGTGCAACTCCAGTACCTGACAAAGTAATGGCATTGTGGATAATATAAATGTACATGTACATATACCATGCCATTACCCATGTATGGAAGCTATGTTACTTGATCCATAGTCCCTTTTGCACATAAACAAAAACTTACATGCTCATTGAGAAAAAAAATGTTTTCTCCAGTTTCCACTCAAGTGTTTCTTAGGTGATTTCATTGCCTGCCAAAGTGGGTCAATGTGACTAATTGTTAAGCTTGTTTCTTAGTTGGGTTGCTTTGATCCAGAGTTAAGCATGTTTTCAAGCAAGGCACAAATAGTCCTGTCAGCTCCCTGACACAAATTAGATTGTAGTCCCTATGTAACATATGAGGAAGAGAAAGCAAAGAACTCAACAACTTCCTAGGAGCTCAGAGGACCAGCTGCTGCACTGGGGCAATGTGGCTGCCAGTCTCCTGCAGGACCACACAGTTGACATCCCAATTTGGGGTCTGCAGGGGCAGAAAGTAGCAGCTACAAGCAGAGTAGTGAAATGGCTGCCTTGCTTTTCAGATGGGCCTGGAGGTCAAGTTAGTTTATTTGTTTTTAATTAAGCTGAAATTATAGGCTGGTTGAAAGGTCCCTTTGTTGGTGGTGATCTTTTGAATGGCTGCACAAACCTTTTGGTCTCTTGCTTTCCTCTGACTCCTTTTCCCATTTGCAGGATTAGAAAAGCACTTGGAAGGCACATTAATCTCACCAGCGTTGTCAGGAGAGATCAGCGAGTTTTATTAAAAGCCCTGGGATTGCCTGAAAGGCCTCCTTGTCTGGATCTGAATGGAGGGGGCATGTTAAGATCACGGGGCATGCTGTCAGGACCCCTTGCCCTGCCCCTTGGACTGCGAGCTGACACTCGCTGAGGAAGCAAGGAGACCTCTTTTGTTGAAGAGATTGTGCCTGTGGACAGAAGAGAGGTGGCCCTGTCAGCATGAACGCTCCAGGCTGGGGTGGGCCCAGAGCCCTGCTGCTCCTGCTGGTCCTGGAGTGGGCCAGCCCCACCTTTATCACCGTGAACCGTGGGCTGAGGGTGATGAAGGGCAGCTCTGCCTTCCTGTCCGGAGATGACCTGAAGTTTGCCATCTCCAGTGAGAAAGATGCATGCAAAGTGGAGGTTGTGATGAATGAGCCAATAACCCAGAGGGTTGGGACACTCACTCCACAGGTAGGTTGTATTGGACAATTTCTGTTGAGTAGCAGTGCAGATGTGAGAGTGTGGGGAACAGAAAGAGGGAGGAAGGAAGGGAGGACAGGCAGGTAAAAAGGTCTCCTCTCAAACTATCAAAGGTGAGTACTGTAAGATGTTCACATTTGACATGGTGGAACTGAAGTTCACAGGCATGGTGTTGTATTGTTTTCTCTGTGAGGTGGAACCTAGTTTTGAGTGTTCTTGACTGATTTCAGGTAACAGGCCTGCAATCAAGAGAGTTCACGCTGAACCATGCTAACACATGTGGAGGAAGCCAGCTTCAAACTAATAAGGATGCACGTATCTTTTCTTAGTTATGTATTAACAAACCTTTCCAGTGTCTCACTTGTACTGGATGGAAGTCTTGTGTATTTTACCAGCTGCTTGATACTACAGAGTAGCTGAGCATCCAGGGAAAAAAGCAGAATGTAAGAGAATTACAGGTCTCTTGTTGGAGAGGAAGAGAGAGAGAGAGAGAGGACATCCTTCCAGCCTTCTAAGGGTTATAGCGGGCAGTCACATGTAGGATATTCTGTGACCATCCCATAATCTGTATGGGATTCTTCCTGCTGCAAATCATGTTATCCACTGCCAGTCAGGCTTCCTTTGGATAAGATATCAACATTTCAAGATATGTTTAGGACATACTTTTGACCTCAGAATAGCAAGGATAAACATGAAGACATTTTCATCTATTAATATCACTTGAACATTCACTTGAGTAAAGGAAGAGAAGTGGAAAAGAGATGTGAAGAACTCTAAATATTCATAGCTTGAAAAAAATGTCTGCCTAAATATTTCCCCTTTAATCAAAACCTTGGAGACCTTTTTATTTAAGGAGATTCCATTGTCACTCTCTTTGTAGGGCTAAGCGTTACTTTCTAAGTCTGCCTTTTCATATATTGTTTTATTAAGGTCAGAGTTGAGCCCTGTACCTAACAGAAAATCACTTCTGGTTCATTACTTGTTCCTACTGTGGCTTAATTTTGCTCCCAGTGCAAATGACCTTGAGAATATTCAGCACTAGATGCTGCTGCTGCCTCTGGAATATGCTCCAATCCTAATTGTAAACATTATTTCTTTTCCATTTGGCTACAGAAGTATATTCCATGAGCTAATTCCAAGTAGAACTAGGTGTGATAGAGATGGATAGAGAGGCTTAGATAGATGGTAACACCAATTGTTATCTCTAGACAATCTATTTACCACACTTGAAATTATAGACTGTATCTGAAACACATCAAAATACTAAGGAAGAGGGTCTCACAATGGGAATATTCATGCTGTGATAGGAACCAAATGTCTCACTACAGTTTTCTGTGAGAATTTCTCAATTTAACAGCTTCAGCTGTTTTGAAGAGTTCAAGAGCCTTAAATGGGTATCAAAAAATGTTAGAGTACAACAATGGCTTTAGGTATTACCAAGTGTTTCGTAGCTGTAACTTCTACCCACCTTCTATCAACATTCCTTGACTCTGAAAGGGTATATCAGTCAGGAAAAAAAGGACAGACCTGGTATATTAGTCAGACTATTGTCTCTATGACCAGTTTACCCAAGAGAGCAATTCAAGATAGGAAGCTAATAAAGCTCACTGTTTTAGAGCTTTTAGTCCATCATGGTGGGGAGGGAATGGCAGCAGGGCAACTTATATCATGGTGGCCAGGAACCAGAGCAGAGAAGTTCACAGGAAGGGACCAGGGCAAGATAGAGCCCCCAAGGACACACATCTCAGTGACCTACTTCCTTCAACTAAGCCCCACCTTCTACAGTTCTACCACTTCCAAATAATCTATTCAAATTTTAAACCCATCAATGGATTAAACCATTCATTAGTTTAGAGCTTTCCTGATCTAATTATCTCTAGAGATGACATCACAGATGCACATGCTTTACTAATTTCCTAGGCATTTCCAAATCCAATCAAGTTGACAATTAAGTTAACCATCACACTGGGATAGCTCATACTGGAACCCAAGGATCTAAACAGAATGGGTAGGTGATATAAATAAGCCTAGCAGCAGACAGGGACTATAGGGGCTGGGGTCACAAGCAAAATGAAAATTCTTAGAGTTTTGAGGGGCAGCAGATAGGACCCTGTTCCTAGAAGACTGAAGTCCTTGATAAAGCAGGAAACCAAGGCTACTCTGATATATATGGGTACCTTATTAAAACTGATGTTGGTTTCCTGTTCAGTCAATGTATTTTAAAGATGTCTAACACTTATATCCAAGTGAGTCTGGGGGAGAAAGGAGAAGCAAAATTCCCACCAGTAGTTCCCAGTGACAAGTTGCCTAAGCTATTGTCTTATATAGCCCAGACCCCAAGCAGGCATACCCTACTGATCAAGACAAAGGCCCTGCTATTCACTGGTTGGTTTCTTCTTAGAAGGCAATATGGAGAGGACCTATTGTTACCTAGGCCAACCTCTGAGGGCTGTCCTGTCTTCACCCCAGGGTAGCCTCTGACTTCTTATCACATATGGCCCCCTCTGAAAGTAATGAAATTAACTATGAATTTTGTTTGTTGGTTATTTGTAGTGCTGAGGATCAAACCCAGGCTTTACTCCTGCTAGGCAAGCACATTCCCACTAAGTTACAGGCCCAGGCCCCAGGATGTGTTTTTAGGATATTTTAAGGGTTTTGATGGTTTGGCCTGCTCTGAGGTCCTGGGAGCAAAAAGGGCTCTAAAGTGACTAGAATTAGGTTAAAAACCAAATATCCTTTTATCCAACAAGGATTGAGTTGGAATTGAACTCCAAGTTATCTTCATTGTAGACTTTTTGTGATTCTTAAGGCAAAAATATAGTTACTAGGAAGAGAATATGAAGCAGAAACAACAAAACCACTGATCTGATTTGCTGATTTAGGAAATTCTTGACTGCTAAGGAACACTCCCAAACACTGATCACCTTAGTCTGCTGTGCTCATTTTTTATAAAGTGGATTCAAGTCCTGAATGTTCAGAGTATTTCTAGAAATAAATATGACGTCTCAAGTTGACTTACATCATCTAAAGTGGACATATGATTTGTATCTTCTAAAATTTGCTCTATGATAGAGGAGACCATTAAAATGTGGAGTTACATCAACTGTTTACCAAATATTAGAGGTTTGTGTTATAGAAAAATTTATACAGAGTGAAAACTTTGTTTCTCAAACTGCCCGGTGATTGCTCCTATTTTTATTCTGATAATTTCAGCAGAAACAAGATTCCCAAGTAAAGTCTGGGTTTTGGGAAATTTGTGCTTCGTTTTTAACAGGAGCTGGTTCAGCTCTCCCAGGGATTTATTTATTATGAGTCTTTTAAATTAAGCATAGCCAAGTATACAAGGGTGCATGTTCATGTACACACACACACACACACACACACACACACACACACACACCCCGAGCCTAAACATTGTTCTTTAACAGAGCTTTTAGCTTAATCTGAGAGCGAGGTTTATGTGACCCATTCCTGAGGAGATGACTGTATTAACAGCACCCTGCTGTGTAATGAGCAGTTTCATGTGATTTGCACAGAAAATGTTTTGTTTAACATCTGTTCAATTACTGTTTTCATTTCATTACTGAAGTTTGTCTTAGAACCAACAGGTTCATTTTCCTATTGGATATTCAGAAAGGGGTTGCAGTGGGTGCACTCCAGTACCTTCTGTTTAGATAACCCCCTGGATGTAGTCAATTAGACAAGGTCTCCAGGATGTGCTGTCCTCATGTGTTAGAACAAGACTTCGTCACACAGCACTTCACACACCTGGGCCGAAGCAAGAAGTTTCCTGCTGGAAAAGCACCTTAGTTTAGTGTTGAGATTACTTTTTTGAATAGGAAATATAGTGTAAGAAAATATCTGTAGTTTGAACCAGTTTACTGTCATTAAAGTGAGTAATGAGTTAGGAATGTGTGACAATTTAATTATAAATTGTAATTGAAAAGCAGTTGAAGTGGAAAAAACCAGAGCTAGACAGTAATTAGAAAAGGATTTAGCTCTCCTTTGTTTTAGTTAGTAAATTTATGGACAATTATGGTTGTCGCCTTTTATAAAAGGAAAACATATTACGAAACATAAAACAGATGTTTCTTTTAACAGAGCAGATTGTCTCTTTATTACCATGACTATTTGTCAGTGATATGGGGAAGGGCTTCCTTTTATCTCCTTCCTGGTTACCAATTAAAAAGGAGAACCAGTAATATCTGTGAGACAAGAAAATCATTCGTAAAAGTGACAATGTCTTCTCAGGGTGGATTATGTTGTCTGAAAATGTTTAAGGCTGTAAAATGTACAGCATGAACACCATGAACTCCATAGTGAGGAAACACCTCAGGCCTATCTTCTCAGAACTCTAAGGCAGATTGGGCAGAAGGAAGGTCATCATATGAGTGGAAGGGAAGACTTTTCTTTGAACGCCTAAGATTCCCAAATAAAACAGCAATTTCCTTAATAAGTGTGAGTGAGGTGACACAGTTAATTATAACTTTATTGAGATTCTATGTCTCATCAGTCACTTGTGCTACTATTTAAGCCATTTTTACAGGTGTGTGAGAAACAACTGTGGGCCATATTTGGATTTGGTCAATCAGTCTCAATAGTGTCCACAGTTGGTGGCTGACACGATAGTGTCCTTGAATGTAAAAATGTTCTTTGAAAAAGAAATAAAAGAAGAGCATAAATACCCAGAACAAACGCAGTGTGTTTGCGGGTGGGTTAATGCTAGCCTTTTCCTGCAGACACACAGAAAAACTTTTCCAACTCAATTGCTATAAACCCCTGAAGGGGGTAAATAAAAATTCAATAAATGGAAACATAGTTAAAAAGCACTATTGTCTGTAAAGCGATAATTGTTTAGAGAAGTAATATCTCTTAAAATTATTTTCTTTATGTGCTTGGATTCTCATAACTTAGATATGGACAAAAACAAGGCCCAGCTGGATGGCGAGTGGGCATAGACATAGGGTAGAGGTGGTTGTTAAAGCATACATTCACACACACACATCATTACCAGACCATAGTTTTTCCAGGCGGTACTCTAATGCTGGAAAAATGAAACTGTACCAGTTTTCTCATAAGTATTTTTCCATTTCTTAATGTGGACTAGGTCTTTGACTGCCATTTCCTCCCCAATGAAGTAAGGTATACTCACAACGGCTGCCCGATTCTTGATGAAGACACTGTGAAGCTTAGGCTTTATAGGTAAGTGGCATAGGAGCATTGCTTGGTTTTTTTTGCCAGTTAATTATTCTGTGCACTTTGTGGTGCTGGGGTTTGAACTGAGGGCCTTGTGCTTGCTAGGCAGACGCTCTACTATTTGAACCATGCCCCTAACCCCCTTTGGTGTTCTTATATTGGTATCTTTGGCATTCCAACCCATGACTTATGAGAGAAAACTATAAAATACAAATTACATATCTGTAATGACAATCAAGTAGAAAACATACTCCAAAATTGGATGAAATTCTTCCTTTTGATTACTAGGTACTTAGTTATAAGTGCAATGTCTTCCATTTTAAAATTAGGTAATGCAAATGTGTTTAAAATCAATTAGAAAGTTAAATATAGAGTGACCATATGACCCACCAATTCCATTCCTAGGTGTGTACACAAGAGAAATAAAAAAAAGCTTGCACATGAATGTTCATCACAGTATTATTTATAACAGTCAAGGGTTGAACCAATCTGTTGAATGGTGTATACATGCAATGGAATATTATTCAGTCACAAACAGAAATGAAGTCCTGATTTATGCTGTGAACATAAATGAATCTTGAAAGAAGCCAGACATGAAAGAACAAATATTGTATGACTCCATTTATATTACATATTCAGAATAAGCAAATCCATAGAAACAGAAAATGGATTCATGGTTGCCAGAGGCTGAGGGAGGGACAATTGGAAAGTAACTATTAATGAGTGTGGGGTTTTTGGGGTGTGTGTGATAAAAATGTTCTGCAATTAGATAGTCTTGATGGTTATGTAACTTGTGACTATTCTAAAAACTACTGAGTTTTACATTTTTTAAAGGAGGAATTTCATGCTATATAAATTATATCTCAATAAAAATTTGTCTTAAGGCTATGGTTCTAGTATTGCTGATTTCATAGAAGCAACTGAGAACTCAGTGTAGGGGAGGGGACCTTTACATAGTTTTTACTTGGATTCTATTGCTCTTAAGAATATTTGTCTAAAATACGTTGGTGTGGATTTCTCTTGTGCACTAGACTAATGAAAGAGACTTTGAAGAAGACACGGGAACAGTGACACATTCTATCAGCATTTATGACTACCTACTTTAGGCCAGGCTCTGTGCTGGCCCAAGGCACACAAGGATGAAGCCATACATGCTTTTGGTGCTCGAAGTCAAATGCAAAAGATGGGCAGATAGTGAGGATGCAAAGTCACAAGAGCCCAGAGAGGCATGAACAGAGAGGCATGCTCAGAAAATGAAGTGACACTCCAGGGTTCCTTAGGAAGCTATGAAATCAACACACAGGGCTGTTGGATCTTTCCAAGACTTCAGAGTTTAAATGAAAACTGACCTCAAATACCTTGCCAGAGAGGGCAGGGAAAGCTGATGGATTCTGGCTGCTCCCACTCTTTCCTTGAGTTTCTAGGAGTTGGGAAGGCCAGAGAAGTACACACAAAGGGCAGGGTTAGAGGAGCTGCCCTGCCCTTGTCTTGAGGACATTTAAAATACAGTATCAGAAGAGGTGAGGACAAAGGACCAAGGAGCACATTCACTCCACTCTTTCCTCCTCTCCAGTCCCTTTGTGAGATAATTGACTTCTTTGTAATAGAGAAATGGGATTGACAATGCCTACTGTAGGTTTTTATGAGGATTGAAAACATACTGTTGTAAAGAGTTTAGCATAATTCCTGAGCCACAAAAAAGCCACATCAATTAAGAGCTTCATTAAGTGCTGGAGGTGTGGCTCAAGTGGTAGAGCACCTGCCTAGCAAGTGTGAGGGCCTGGGTTCAAACCTTAGTACCACCAAAGAGCTGTATTATCAGCAAAAACTCATCATTTACTAATTTTCTCACGTTAAAAAGAAAAATAACCCATCTCTATTAGCCTTGAGAACCGTCACTAATGGAGTGGCAGGGAAGGAAGTTACAATTGCTGGTACAATTTACACACCACTGAGCTGAGTGCCCAATGTGCACCTAAATCATCATGCACTTAGTGGCATTGCTGGAGAAGAAAAAGGCCTCCGTACTGCTGACACCCCCACCCCTTCACTCCTGAGTTAAAACTCAATCCAAAAGTTATACTGACTTTATGCTCTTAAATTTCATACCATGCTGGAAGTGAGACTCTGAGGTCTCACCAGTCATTAGGTACCAGTGTGGATGAGTTAAGCAGGTGTGGAAAGAAAGATGGTTGGAGGGGAAGTGGAAGAAAAGGCATAGATACAAGGCAAAGAAAACAAGGGACAAGAGTAGAGAGGCCAGGAGTAGATCACGAAATGAAATCCAAACTCCTCCTGATGCACAGATTTTATGAATGCCAGCCTTTAAGCTTCAAGCTAAGTGCACAGGTGTCAGAAGAATGGGAGTGAGCATCAGTCAATATCACTTGACTTTTCTCTCCACAGATTTACTGAGACAGACACCTTCACAGAAACCTTTATCCTGCGGGTCCATCTCCTAGAACCAGACTGTAACATCATCCGTATGAGTAGTGATGCACTGGAGGTGTCTGAATTCTATGGCCTGTCCCAGGTCATTGAGAAGAACTTGCTCAGATTTGATTATGACAGGGTGACCAATCTGGAGTGTACCATCTGGCTGGATCCTGTGAGAACTCGGCTGCCAGCCCATGGCCAGATGGTTGTGGTGGAGACTGGGACAGAAGGACCTCGTGGAGATCAGCCACACAGTTTTTTTCCTGAGTCGCGTATGTATGCTATCTTTCAATACTTGGGTGTATGTTACTAAACCTGACCAAAATAGCCATAACTGGCCATCTTCCACTATGACAAAGAGTTCTACTTAACTAGGGTAATTTTTACTTGGTTGAAAAGGATAGCTTAGTGGTTAAGAGCGTGGACTTCGGAATCAGAAAGACCTGGATTGAAAGCTAGATCTGCTATTTATTTCCTGTATTATTTTAGTTGTTATTAACTAAATAGAAAAAGGTAATAGCTGCTTCACAGGGTTATATGAGGATGGGAGTAAGTGAGAGTACACATACAAATTTCTTACCGCAATGTGTCTGACCAATAGTGGGTACTCAGTAATTGTCAGCTATTATTAGTAATAACAATGACAGAAGTAGTAAGGGTGTTTATACTTTATTAGTGGATTATGATCTAGTTTCAAGTAAAGCTGGTAGATAGCAACCATGTTTAAAGCAGGAATAGCTGATGGCTAATATTCCTTCTGTTACTCATTCAATCACCATATCTGGACACTCCCTATGTACATAATAGTGTTCTAGGAACTAATCATAGCAGTACTAATACCTTGAATTTGTACAGAACATTACAGCTAAAGAGGCACTTGAACATAAATTATCTTCATAGCCATCTGGTTAAGAAGTAGAATATCTATTTTGTACATCATGGGAATGAGACTAAAACAGTAGCATATGATCATCATATATCCAAACAAGAGTGAAAAATACAGTTGGACAAAGAATATTAGAGAGAATTTTGCTTTTCAGTGACTCAAAGCAGCCTGGTTCCGGTGGTCACAGAATGTCTAGTAAAAAGACAAATTGGAAGTAGAAGGATACACAGGATTTAAATGCATCATTAGCACAATGAGAAGAGAATTTTAATAAGTAGAACAGTCTAGAAGAGATATGATGGAGCCGTGAAGCTGATGCTATAAAGGAAGACTGAAGCTAGACTGAGAAGGCCTACAATGAGCTACTGGCTTATTTTTAAGAGAAGTTTAAGAGCCAGAAAACACTTTAGTATTTTTATTCCTAGTTTAGCTTTTAGTATGGGGGTGGGAATGGGGAGAGGAGGCCTCATGAGACATCTGGTCAACCGTTCTTTTCATAAAGGAAATTATAAGTGTTTGGAATATTAGCAACCACTCATTGGAGTGATTGGAAGGTACATTTGCTTGTTCTTGGGGCAGTGAGAAGGGTAAGTAGGGTAATAGTTAACTTTTATTAATTATTATGTTCAAATGGCTACCTTAATGCAACGCTGTGCATTCTAGAACTGGGAACAGAACTGAAATGTCCTGGTGGAAGATGTGTCCTGGGATTGAGGAAAATAGGAAGTCTCAAAGTGAGCTGTGAGGAGTTCCTGCTGATGGGGCTTCGTTATCAACACACGCAACCCCCTTCACCCAACATTGATTATATCGCCATCCAACTGGACCTTGTGGATCGCAGGAGTAAAATTGTGTACAAGGTTTGTATCTGTGTGGTGGTGTTCGCTGCTGATTCACAGTAACAGAGCCAGTTCCATGGGGATGTCCAGGCTACCTCCCATTCTGGGTAGAGTTTGTGCTATTGAAAGTAGAACTGCCCTTGTCTTATTAGAATTGCAGGCTTGTTTGCTCTGCCAATAAGTGTTTAAAACAGTAGCTTCTGTGTATATTAGTATATAATTTCCCTGTCTGGCTTTTTTCTGGCTTTACTAAGGCAACTTGGGAAGGATTGGAATTGGATGGATATTAACCATCTTCCCTATATACCTTCGATATTCTTTATATGTGTGCTAGGGATTGAACCCAGGACCTTGCATATGCTAAGCACATGCTGTACACTGAGCTACACCCCCAACCCCCTCCAACATTCTTCACCTTGCCAATTGACCCTTTGTAACATGTTCTCTTTTATTTATTTACTTTTTTGAGGGACTGGGATTTGAACTCAGGGCTTGGTGCTTACAAAGCAGGCACTCTACCCTTGAGCCACACCTCTAGTCCATAACACCTTCTCTTTGACGCTTCCTTTTTTCCTTCTTGACATCAGAGTATCCACTCTGCAAAGCCACAGGAAATTAAGAGGGAGGAGAACCTCAGTCCCACTTTCATGGCTGTGGCAAATTATATCATTTTCCTCCTTTCAGACTTCAGGACGGAGGAATGGCTCATAGAGCAGAAGGGTTTCCAGAGGCTTCCTTCATAGTCCAGTGTCTTTTAGTTTCTCTTACCTTTCCTTCTCATAATCTCTTCCCACTGAAATGATAACTAACATGGGATCAATTTATATGAAAGATTTAACATGACTCTCTACCTGTTCATGTACTCAATTTGTTTACTTGGGAAAGTGGAGCAAGAGTGCTGAGATAGCTCAGATTTTGTCTGATATGAAATGACCCAGGAGGACATTTGGAAAGACTTCCAACTTTACAATGAGCTTTTCCACTAGGAGTTCTCCTAAGATGCCCAGTCAAATATCCAACATTATTCCACCAAGGAATTTGTAAGCCAAGGAATGATAAGGAAATTATAAAACAGGACCACAGAATTTTAGAATTGAGACCTGGAAATAAAACACTGAGGTAGTCTAATCTAATTGGTCAGATAAGTGAGTTGGAGTATTTATTTACTGTTGTGCTGGTTGGGGGTACACTGTGGCATTTACAAAAGTTCTTGCAGTATATCAAATATATCCTTCTTGAATTCACCCCCTCCATCATTCTCCTTTATCTCCCCCCTTCCTGCCATTTTTGGAGTAGTTTCAGCAGGTATCATTTTTCCATTTACATACTCGTGTACACAGTATTTGCACCATATTCACCCTTCCACACTCTTCCCCTCCCCACTGGTACCAACCCCCACCCACCCCCAGGACCTGTTCCGCCCTGGAGGAGATTTTTAAAGGACAGATTTCTGAGTCATATCAATATTTATGGGCTTGAACCCTGGGTCCAGATTGCCTGGGTTCAAATGTTTGCTTAGCTAACCATATGACTTTGGACTTTACGTCCATTTTCTTCCTACTACAATGAGCCTGAATGGTACCACCTTCTTAGAGTAATCAAAAGGACTCAGTGAGACAATACTTTTAAGCATTTTGCACAAAACCTGACTTGTATTCAGCATATGCTTATTTTGCTAGTTTAAACAGCCACCATAAGCCACATTTGGAAGTAATTGGTGCCAATTTAAGTGGTGGCTCAGAGGTATGACACACCTTGCCCAACTTTCATGGCTATTTTGTGGCAGGAGTAGGACCAATACTCTAGGTCTACTGGCTACTAGTAGATACTACCTGTTTTTACTCAAAAGTCCTTTCACTCTCAAAGGTTATCTCCATTAAAAAATTAGAGATTTTCCCGCTGCCTTTTTCTTATTTTTTTTCTCAGCATATTGAGTTGGGTTTTTATTTGTTTTGAGGTCTATTTCATTGTGAGGTTATTCCTTTAAATAACCTTCTTGCTTTATTGAGTATTAACCTATTCAGTAGTCAGTGTGGCATGTCATAAAACAGATTCATACATGAATATGAGAGTAATATGCTCACTACAGAGAACATTAAAAAATAGAAAGCAAAGTAAGAAAATATAACTACCTGTATTGCTGTAATTTTATATGCAGATACACACAGTGGAGGACACGCACACCAGACCTGGTTTTGTTTTATAGAATTGAATTTATATTCCATGTGAAGTTTTGTGTCTTGTTCTTTTATTATTATATGGTTGTATAGCTCATCCTCATTAAGTGACTAAGTGATCATTCACTCATAATTTTCCTACACTTGAAAGGTCTTTCTCTTTATATTTGCCTTTTTAATTCATCTGAAATAAATTTTTATTGTGCAGTGAAATCTAAGGGATATTTTTTTCTCCTAATAGATAATTGTGCAATGATATTTGTTGAACTATAAACTTGACTTCCATTGGTCTTATATGACTCTTCTTTTGTATAGAAAGACTTAAGGAATACTAGTTCAAGGCTATCTGTCTTTCATTCTTATACTTACCATACTTATTCTTAGGCTTCTGTCCCATTATTCTAACTATGATAGCTCTGTGATACTCTTTAATATGTTACATTAGGTTTTCCCCAGCTTCATCTTTAAAATTTTCTAGTTTTCTTATTTTTACTTTCAGATAATTAATAATCACAATTCTTTTGTCATCATCATAATAAAAATTTGCTAGTTTTTTTTAAAGTCCTAAGGATATTTTGATCAGTATTGATTAAAACTATGAATTAGTTGAGGAAGAGTTGGAGTATGAAACATTTAGCATATGAATCGCTCACCGGAAATGAGGTGTTTGCTTCATATAGGCAAATGTTATTTTAATTTGTTTTTGTAAAGTTATAGTTTCCTTCATGTAAGGTGAGCACACTCTTAAATTCAGTCCTGGGCACTTCTTTTGTGAGACTGTTGTGAACAGAATCTTTCCTCCCTTATTTCTCTTGGTTATTGGTGATAAATACAAAAGCTATTTTTTGGTAACAATTTTCTTTTATCTGGCTTCTTTCCTGAATTCAATTATTTTAAGAAATTTAAAAATTCTTTGGCTTTCAAAGACATAATTATCTTTACTAATGATGATAATTTTGTCCTTTCTTTTTTTCTATAATTATTGCTCTTTCTGCTCTAATTCCATGGGTTCGGCCAGCACAATATTATATAATTTGCTTATAAGCATTTTTGTCTGTGTAATTTATCCATTGAACTGCACCTGTTTCTCTTTCATGCTTCTTGCCTTCCTTAGTTCATCTTCATTGGAAATTATGTGGTCACTGTTTTTTTTCCCTTTACAAGATAAATCTGGATTAATCCTTTTCTTTTACTTTTTCTACCAATTTTAAGTGTCTTTTTCTGTGACATTATACTGGGCATTTTCAGAATTTCAGAATATTTTTCTGAATAGGGAACTATAAACTAACTTCTGGTTTTATGCTTTCTTGCTAGTTAAAATTCTTTTCCAGCATTGCAAGGCTAAGTTTGATATCCAGCCAATAACACACACACACAAAAAAGTCTGACAAAATAGGTTATGCTTTTCTTTGCCTTTATTTATGTATTTGAAAGTCCTTCATTTCATTTGTGTTTTATTAATTAAAATTTCTTACCTCTTTATTTGCCATATTTAAAATTAAAAAAATGAAATGGATATCTTGCACTTCGGTTCTAGCATCTGGTTGTTATACTTATTTCTTACAATTGTTATCTTTCAAGTAAGGTTTGGCATTTGCATAATTTTATTGACATGTTTTAAAGAACATATTTATTGAGATACAATTTTATACTTAATTGGTCTCGGTATTTAGCCCCAGCTCTTTAAATCATGATTACCATTTTTGAGTTTTTCAAATTATGCATCTTCCAGTAGTTTTTTTCCATTGCTTTCTGGAGAGCAGATACTCAAGTCCGTGGAGTTTCTCAGTGTTAATCTGTTGTTCTGTCACCTTGCAGTGGGGGGAGGAAGATTGAATCTCTTGTTCTCTTCACACCTCTCTCTCCCTTGCTGGCTGGTTTCTGAACTCTCAGATGGGTGCTCTCGGGGAGTGCTGGATTGAGAGCTCTTATTTGCTGAGGCCTGATGGAATGTGATTTATGCTCTCTGAATCTGAGATGTTTCAAGCGGCCTTGTTTGTTCCTGGCAATTTCAGGTTTCTCTAGAGACCCATCACAGGGCTTCTAACTCTTTCTTGGGAGATGCATCTAGCTGAGCAGTCATCACAACCTCTCCTTAGTCCTTAGGATGTTGGTTCTATCTTAAGCTTTATGCTGCTGTACTTTTGGCCTCTAAAGGATGCTTCCTAGAGGTCAGGTCCAGGAGTTCTCCTCCCTCTTCTTCCTCCTCCTTTCTTTTCTTCTCTGCTTTGTCTTCTTCCCTCTTTCTTTTTCCCTCCTTCCTCCTTCTTTCTTTTTTCTTCCTTTTTCTTTTTAGGTTATTTTTTCTTTATAGGGTCTTATATTTTTTGCTGAGACTGGCTTCAGACTATGATTCTTCTCTCCCCTCCACTTACAGGCATGTGCCACCAGCCAGCTTCTGACGTTTCTTTTATCTAAACTTCAGTTGAGACTAAGCCAAAAATTCTACTTTAACATTTTGTTCATACGAAGACCAGTCTTAGTCAATATCCAGGATAGCAGCAAGGGACTAATCTGATTTTGAAAAATGCCTGGTTTCTCACAATGGAAACTAAATCTGTAATAGCCAGCATCTATACTTGAAGATGCTTCCTTCCATGACCTCATTTCTATTTTTTTGGAAGGTTCCTACTCACAGCCTCCATTTTGAGAGCAATGTATTTCCAGTTTGACTTGTCACTTACAACTGCTCACTTACTGGATGACTGAGTAGACTCCTTCAGTTGCAAGACATTTTCCCTTATCCTTCCCTACCTCCTTTTACTGCATGGCAGCAGGTGGATGGGTGGCTGGAGGAGCATTGCTGTGCTTTGGTGTTTCTCATAGTCTTCACTTAATACTTGGGAGTCTAGAATTTCCATTTATGGATGGGAAGAAAATAAGACTTAGGAGAGGTACCTTGTCTGAGGTACACAATTCCAGTGCTAGTGATAGAATCATAAGTAAATTTTTTACAATCCAATAGGTGCTTCCTTCTAACTTTAGCTGCTATCAGAGTCACCGAGGAAACTCTAACAATACTGGTATTTCCTCCTTAGAAGAAGTAAAGGGGAAGCTGTGGAGGGAGTTCCGTTTTCAGTATGTGTTAAAGCTCCCCAGGTGGTTCTAATGTCCAGGTAGTTTCTAGATCAAGCCAGATAATCCTCTATGGGTGTAGGCCTATTACATATGGCCAGTAACCTGTACCTTTTTAATTCATATTATTTTCCTTTTATAATTTTTTTTTCTTCAAGTCAGAGAGTGGCATGGTGTGTCTATATCAGAGTGGTATTCCAACCGATTCAAAGGGCTGCGTTTCATGGCAATGTTTATTCTGGAGGTGGTCAGTTCTCGCTCAACTCCGCTGACCATGTTTGGATGTGAGAGGATGAGAACCCAAGCTTGCTGGTGTTCACATAACTAAAGCCCCTCAAGGTATGTACTCATGCTGGATACACAGACCCGTGTCCTATTCACATGGAGGACTCAGCACATGAGATTGCATACAGCCACCAACAGAGCCCTCTGAGAGGGTTACGAGGTAAAGGAAGAGGCAAAGCATTCAGTCTGGCTGAGATTCACAGTTTCTTGAGAGTATGACCTTACCTTAGGTTCTGCTCTGTCATTGTCTCAGAAAAAGAATGCAAACTGGGAGCCAGGTAGGTGATGCAAAGACACCTTGTTTGGGGTATGGGTAACCGAAGAAGAGTGGGATCAGCGAGCAGTTCACTCTGCTCAACTGGTGGTTTGCCACAGTCTCGGTGTACCCTGGTCTATAGTTCATTTGTCAGAGAGTTGGATCTATATTTTTGTAAATTAAAAAAAAATTTTGAATTGAAAACAATACATATTAATGCAGTACAAAATATTTTGAGGGTTCTCATTTTTGGCCTTGGTCTTCCAGTTTTGAGAAAACTTGGTGTCTCAGTAGTCATTCTTGATTACATAAATGCTGGGGCTATAAGAAAGTTTGTGCATGAATTTTTATACTTTTATTTTATTCTTTTTGTTTGTGAGAATTTCAATGGGGTATTAATTAATTTTATTTTTTTGGTGGTACTGGGGTATGAACTCAGGGTTACTGTTTGCTAGACAGGTACTTTAGTCTTGAGCACACTGCTTTTTTTACTTTAGTTATTTTCTGGGTGGGTCTATGTTTTTGCCTGGGGAGGCTCAGTCTGCAATCCTCTTCTTACAGCTCTCCAATCTGGGATTATAATGGTGTTTCACCCCACGCCTGTTTATTTGTTGAATATGGTTTGCTAATTTTTTGTGTGGGGCTGGCTTTGAACAGCAATCAATAATTGCTCTACGAAGCTGGGATTACAGACATGTTCCATTTTGCCCAGCCCTCAATTTTTATTATTCTAATTATTGGTGCATGTTAACTGTGCATAGTAATAGCTTTTGTGTGAATATTTTTCAATGCTTTGATTGGTCAATTCAAACAAGTTCTTTTACCTGTTTTCTTCCCAGGGATCTTGATTTCAATTAATAACACTGACTCAGCAAAGGATATTCCAGTCTCATCTGATAACTCATTTCACTATTGAACGCTTTCACTCAGGAAAGCCTTCTTGTGTCTGATCTAAATTCCTTCTCTGAGAGCTCAGCTTCATTCCTCTGTTTTGCATTCAGTAGGAATGCAGAACAGCTAGTGTGGTCTTGCACATAAGAACAGTTTACATCCTTAAAGACCTACCTGCAAGTCCCTTAAAAAGGATGGAAAATTCAAATGAGCAGATTGATAGGCTTCAGTTCAGGCTTATTAAGGAAAATGAGTGTCCCCACGGTTGCCAAGCTAACCACCATGTAGTTAAGGCGAAGCTTTTACCTCAAGGGCAATCAAAAGACGGCAGGTTATAAATGCTGTTCCTTTTCTTCTCTTCGTCATTGTACATGGCCGTTGTTTCTTCTCTCCTCCCCTCACCTCTCATTCCTTCCCTGTTGGAAGGAATTTCTCACTGTACATCCAGTGTTTTTGTGAGCCCAAGCACTCACAAACAAAGCCCTGCATTTTCTGGCATTGTATAGCAGACTCTTAAAGCAGGACCTGTCCAAATGTGTGATTCCATTATTGTTGTTGTTAGAAGGAAACACTCAGATTTCTCAGTGGGGCTTCTGAACTCTCAGGTACGAGGGCTGGAAGCCCTGGGCCTAGGACCCAACCTGAGGCTTAGTCACACCACACCTCCAAAAAGGACACCTCCTGCCCCCAACGAGTTAGATTTGTCGTTCATTACTTTGGTATCTTGAATCTGTTTCTTCTGTTTTTCAGTCTTTGAGCTGTATTGCTGTTTGATTCTTTCTCTTATCCTTGTAAATGACCCCATAACCTTCAAAAGCAGCAGTGTGTCTTGTGTTTCTGTATTATATCTCATCATTCTCATATTATGTGCAATATATACATAGCATGTAATAAAGCTCAAATCATATCACATAGACTGTACTTATTAGTTATGGAGTTCCTGAGAGCGAAAAAAAATTCTCAATGTTTAAAAATGTAACCAGCGGGATAGATGCCTTTAGAATAGGGTTTCTTAAAATCAGCATCAGTGACACCTTGGGCTAGATACCTTGTGGTGGGCGCTGGCCTGTAGGTGGTAGGATATTAGCATCCTTAGCTTCTACCCCCTAATGGGACAGAGCCATGCCCTCCTCCCCTGTGTATCCAATTGTGAACCCACAAATGTCTCTAGCCATCCCCAAATATCCCCTGGAAAGGATGAAATGGCCTAAATTGAGAACTACCGCTATAAAACCTCTCTCCTAGAGAGAGATTTGAGTGGTCTGGTGTTGGAATAGGACAGGTTCCTGAGCAAATGAAGGGATACTTCTCCAATATATTTGCTAACTTCAGATTAATTCTTGTATGGAGAAGAAAATTTAAAAAACACTGATAAAGAACAAAATCTTCAGCCTGAAAAAAGTGAATTCAGGTTGTCAAAGACAAGCAGAGGGTAGAATAGTGGTTACCAGAGGGCGGGAAGGATGTAAGAGAGAGAGAATGGGGAGAGGTACAGAGTGGATGAAGGAATAACTTGTAGTATTCTGTAGCGGAGTAGGGTGACTCTGGTTAACAGATTTAAATGCTTATTTCAAAATAGCTAATAGAGAGGATTTTGCATATTCCCAACACAAAGAAGTGACAAGTATTTGAGGTGGTTATAACAATTACCTTGATCTGATCATTATACATTTCATATATGTATTGTAATATTACAGTAAATCCTATAAATATGTATAATTTGTACCTATTAAGCATAACAAAATATTTACAACAACAATCAGAAACAACACTTGGGCACTGGAGGTGTAGCTCAGTGGTAGAGTGCTTGTCTGGCTTGGGTGAGGCCCTGGGTTCAGTTAAAATAAGACTTTCACTCGAATGTTCTTATCAAAATGATTACTAGTTGGAAACAGCAAAAATGTCCATCAACCAGTAAATGGACAAACAAAATGTGATGTATTCATATAATGGAATAAATACTCTTAGCAGTTGAAAGGAATGGACTTCTGACACCCGCTATGGCACAGATGGGTCTTAAAACATTATGTTAAGAAAAAAAAGCCAAATACACAATACCACATGCTATATGGTTTCATTTAAATTAAATTTCCAGAAAAGGCAAATCTACAGAGACTGAAAGCTGATTATTGGTGCCTGGTGACGGGGAGTGGCATGAGAATTAGAAGGCATGAGGACCGTTGGGGGTGATTGACAAGCTTTAAAAACTTATTGATGCAATGTTTCACAGCTTGGTAAATTTATAAAAATTTTTGAAATGTTTACATAAAATGAGTGAGTTATATAATATGTAAATTTTGTCTAAAAAACTTACAGGCAGAAGTTAATTTTAAAAATAGAAATAAGCACTTCATACTTGAACTTGTCAGTGTGTGGTTCACCTGCACCTGTTTGTTTACAGGTGGAGGTGGAGGTGTATGACTTCTTCTTTGGGAGGAGTGCTCCCATCACAGTCCACATCTCCATCAGAACAGCAGACACAAACGCCCCCCGGGTGTCCTGGAATACAGGTGAGTCTCCCTAGGAGGCATCACGACACAGTCCTGGAGGGAACATAAGGGAGTCGCTGAGTCAGCAAAGAAAGGTTGATTTATTCCCATTTCACGCATGAAGTAACTGAAGCCCAGAGAGGTTGAGGACATCAGATGTTTGCTTCTGTTTTGCTTTTTTCCTAGTGTTAGGGTGAGGAGTGGAAATCCAGCATCCTTGTGTCCTGGGGGCATGTTTTTCCCTCTGTGGAAGATAAGCCAAAGAATACTGTTCCAGTGAATGAAGCAAAATGTGACTATTTGTGTATTGAGTTCGAGTTAGACCAAGGGAGAAAAGGTCGCCAACTCAAATCACTCATAGGATGGGAACAAGGTGGCAACTGGGATCCATCATCTTATTTTTATGTTGGGTTGCATAGAAACCAAAATACGTAAATAAGAGCTTCAGCAGCTTAAAAAAGTAAAGGGCTTTGCACTGCCAGTCAGTTCTAAGTGGACTCATAATGTGATTTATATATTTAGATCAGATGCAAATGTGGAGTGTAAATGAAGGCTTTTCCTTTTTCACTAGTCCCATCAGTAACATTCAAAACTTACTTATAAACACTGATGAATGAGTATATTAAGGGGACAGATCCCTGATTTAAAATCTTGATTTGTAATTCTGGCTCTATGTTCCACTCTACCTCTGTTGGAAGGAAAATGAGAGAAAGGAAGAAAGTGTCAACCTAAAGCTGAGAAATGATTGCATATTAAATAGAGTCTTGTTTTTGAGTGTGGAGTTGAACAATCTGTATGTGTGATTAGATCTCAGGTTTTGTTCACGGAGCTCAGGGTTGGAGGTTGCTTGCTTTGGGAATTACAAATGCCTTAAAAAATGAAATTTTTAGCTTTTTATTAATCAGATAACTGCTATAATTGAAAATTTGGAGAATGCAATAAATAGAATGAAAATTATTCATTTTTTCCATCACAAAGGTATAACCACTGTTAATGGTTTGCTATGTGAATTTCTAGTCTTGGTTGCTTCTTGGTGGCTTCCATGATGGCTTATCATGTGCTGTACTGTGCACTTGTGACTTAAAAATCCATGAACTAGGTTCAATGCCCAGTACCACCAACCTCCCTGCCCCGAACCCTACTGTCACTCATGGAGACTTTTTGTGTGTGCTTGTCCTTCCTCTCTTTTATGTCTCTCTTCTCATTGTTTCTTCTTTCCTACTTCCCTTTCTTCTCCTCTTTTCTTTTCTCTCTTCCTTTTTTCTCTCCTTCTGTGCTCTCCTTCCCTCTTTTCTTTCCCCTCTCTTTTGTGTCTTTCCTCCTTTCTCCTCATTCTATTTTTCTCCTTTTTTTCTTTCAGTCTCTATTGTATGTCTTAGCTCAGTTTCTCTAAGAAAACAGCCCGAGCCACATCATATGTAATAGCCCTACATTGAAAAAAAGAGTAAGGGGAGAAGCAAATGAAAAGGTGGGATGTTAGTCTGCTTTATGTCACTAAAACAAATGCCTGAGATAATCAACTTAAAAAAGGGGAAAGGTTTATTTTGGCTCACAGTTTTAGAAGTTCCAGTCCACGATCAGTGGACACATTGCTTTGAGCCTGTAGCAAGGCAGAACATTAGGCGGAGTGCACAGTAGAGTAAAAGCTACCTTCATGGCCAGGAAGCAAAAAGACACAGGGAGAAGAGGCCAGGGTTTCACAGTATCCTTCAAGGACATGCACCAATGACCTAAAGACCTCACTTCCTAAAGCTTCTACCATCTCTCAGTCCCATGAACGTAGAGACCAAGACTTTTAACACAAGGGCTGTTGGAAGCCATTGACCATTCAACTACAGCAGATGGTATGGCTGAGCTGGCCACAACTTTTCAGTATGGTTAGCTCGTAGTGTCATTGTCTCCAGGAAGGAGATGGGAATGGAGCCACTGAGTCTTGCGAAGAGTTGAGGTGTGTGGGGGAGGGGAAGGAGGTGAGTCCCCTGTTGGTTTCAGCTCTGTTGAGTGATGGGATGTGTGATGAGATGCTGTAGCTCCCCATCTGTAACTTGAGCATTTAGTCCAGACTTTGTGTTGTTCTTGTTCAGCGAACAAATCTCTCTCCACAGATTTCCTCTGGCATGCTGAGTCCAAGGAGTAGGCTTTATTTTAATCTTCAGTTACAGAAATTCCTCTTTTATTAGAGTTTAAATGAAAATCCATCCTTTGCAAAGTATGGGGCACTTCATAAATGTCCTCAAATGTCCCCAGGCACAGTATCTCTATAGGACTGTGTTGAACCACTGTACATTCTCCATGCTATGTGTTATGTGTGCTCTCATAAATTATATGTGAAAGCAATTCTGACTCTTGGTCTACTTAAACTATGTGGTTGTAGCCTTTGAAAAAAGTTCTCTGTGGATTTTTAAAAACTAGAGTACACTATGAACATAGCATCTGTTCTTTCCTTCAGTATTTACTTTTTTGGCACCACCAAACTTCATAAAGATACATTGTAAGGAACAGTTTAGATTGGAATTAGTAGTACTAAAAATAAAAGCATTGGTGCAGGCATGGTGGCTCATGCCTGTAATCCATTACTTGGGAAGTAGAGATTGGGAGTTTCACAGTTCCAATTTGTTCAGACCCCAGCTCAACAAACTGGATGTAATGGTGCATGCCTGTAATTTCAGCTACTCAGGAGGCAGTGGTAGGAGGATTATGGTCCAAGGCAGGTGCAAAGTGCAAGATGCTATCTGAAAAATAACTTTAAAGGACTGAGGGCATGGCTCAAGTGGTAGAGTACTTGCATATCAAGCACAAGGCACCCTGAGCTCGAATCTCAGTACCACCAAAAATAAAGAAATAAATACAATAAAATAAACTAAAAAAATAAAAATATTACTTAAACCACAGCTATATTTAAGTTTCATGAAAAGCTTTTGAAGAAATAATTTTCAGATAGTTTCATACGTGAAAATTCACTAATTTTTTCCTAAGCAGAATAGGTGGATGCCACAGAACTTTGCCAAATGCTTTCCTGCATTCTCCTGCAGGTCTGAGTCTCCTGGAAGGGCAGTCTCGGGCCATCACTTGGGAACAGTTTCAGGTTGTTGACAATGATGACATTGGTGCTGTCCAGTTGGTCACCGTTGACGGCCTACATCATGGACGGCTTACAGTAAGAGGTGAGTAATCTTTCTGCACAATCTGGAAAAGAACACAAGAAGTATTTTATCATAAAGCAAGTCATATTTAGCAGGACATCCATAGCATCTCTTGGGCCCCATTTCTACCTAAAATTGTCGTATCTGGAAAATTTGGAACCATCAACTTTTGGGTAGAATAGTCAAATCAAAGTGTGACTATTTAAGAGTGGTCTTAGCCTCAGTTTTGCTTCTGCATGCTGTGTAGAACTCCTTCCAGATATGGTCTTAAATCCATATCTTTTCCCAATTGGAGGACAAAATATTTCCCTCTCTGTCCACACTTCAGAGAAGTACATGGAAAAAGAGAAAAAATGTTAATACTTTAGTAATACTGTTGTTATTATTAGTTGCCATAGTTTAAAAGAAACAAATTTATAATTATTATAATTATAAGGAGAGTAGTTAATAAGGCAATAGTCCTAATAAAAATAGTATTCATGGTTTATGATAAAGTAATCTGTTCCTGGTAATGAGCTCAGAGAATTTAATTCAATAATCCTCTTAGTTTGCCTAACTGTAAAGCAAAAAGAGAGCTCTCATTTGTCAGCATTTGTGGTTAGGGAGTTCTGAAATTTCAAAAAGAATAAATGATGATAAATTCTCCTGCCTAACCCCAGGACAGCCCAGTTAAAAACTGGGTGTGTCAGTCCATGCCAGAGCAGCTCAATGACAGTGGCTTAAAAATTACACTTATTTTCTCTATGTCTTTGAGTCTGGATGAGATTGAAGGGACAATGGAAGAAGTCATGCCATCTAAGCTTGCTGCCTTTAACACCCGTTTCCAGGAGCCCAACACAACTTCCACTTACGTCTCTTCACCAAACTATGTCACATACAGCCCTTTGGTGCAGTGGAGTCCAAGAACCTGAGGGTTATGTTGTCATGCCAAATAAAACCAAGATTCTGGCAGAGGAAGAAGCAGAAAGTGACTGTTGAGCAAGTAAATACTGTGTCCACTGTTACACAAGTGTTCAATCATTTATTCCCCTGAGGTCTTTTACACAGCCATGTGGTATGAGGAGACAACTTATGATAAGAATTATAGTAGCCAATGCAGAAAATGAAGCAATGTTTATTAATACTGCAGAAATGCTATTGGGAGAGGTAGCCAGCCCATAGGCAATGCTGTTCTGGGATGGGAGGAGGTACACAATAATACTGGCATTTATTAACCCTTTACTTTGTGCCAATAATTCTACATATTTTATCTTCTTTTTCTCATATCAATCTTATGAACTGAGAAACTATCATAATTCCAATTTTACAAAAGGGAAAGCTGAGATTAGGGAAGTTGACTCGCCTAAGATCATACACCTAGAAAGTGGCAGGACAGGAATTTAAGCCCACTGTGTTTGACATTCATACTCTACTCCTGGCCTTTAAGCCAGTGATTCTCAAACTTTTCTGACAGTTCCCCAGATGGTGTTGATGCTGCTGGTTTACCAACACTATTTCAAGTGCTTCTGACGTGTAAGAGGATAACAATAAACTGAGTAATAACCAACATTTATTGAGGTTTACTGTTGTTTGTGTCCTCTTATCTTTGGTATGGAATATAGGTAGGTGTTCATATTCACCAGGGTTCTGCAGAGAAGCAAAACCAATAGGAAGTATTTTAATATATACAAGAGCAAACATGGAGGGTGACATCTCATGATCAGATGGAGAACCAGAAAATCCCATGATGGATTTCAGTCCTAGTCCAAGGCCTGAGAGCAAAGGCGGCGGACGGTATAACACCCAGTCCAACACCAAAGGTCTGGGAAGCAACTGGGGTGGGTTGTAGGTAGGGTGGCTGGTATGAGTCACAGAGTCTAATGGTCCAAGAACCAGGAACTCTAATGTCTGAGAGTGAGAGAAAATGGAAATTCCAATGAGAGGAGAGAGAGAGAGAGAGAGAGAGAGAGAGAGAGAGAGAATTAGGCTAGGGATTATAACTCAGTGATAGAGATCTTGTCTAGTGTGCATAAGGCCCTGGGTTCAATCTTCAGTACCAGAAAAAAAAAAAAGACAGAAAAAGACTTCACCCTTCTTTTGCCTTTTTGTCCTATTTGGGTCCTTAACCAAATGAACAATGCCCACCTACATTAGTGAGAGCAGATCTTAACTCAGTCTACTGGCTCAAGTGCTACTCTCTTCCAGAAATACTGTTATCATAGAACCTGTCAGAAATAACATTTTCATAGCTATCTGGCATCTCTTAGGCTAGTTACCACATAAAGTTAAGCATTGCAGTATTATTATCCTTGTTTTACAGGTGAATCTCAAATAAATTAAATGCCAAGCCCAAGTCCACACAGTGAATAAGTGTCAGAGTCAGTATTCAAAACCGGATGTGGTGTCCTGGTGCCCACTTAATCTAGAGACAGTTCCTGACTTATAATTTTTTACTTCATGAGAGGTTTATTGGGGAAGACAATGCATTTTTGGCTTATGATGGTTTATTCAGTCAAGCAGCTTCTGTGTTGTTTTTCTGGGTGAGAGAACTGCAGGTAGCACCATTTCCTGTAGTGATGCCTCCCTGCAGCTGCTACCTCTGCTCCCTCACTGAGTTGACCCCATGTCTGCTCTCTCCACCAGGGGGAAAAGGTTTCCTCTTCACTGTAGCTGACCTTCAAGCTGGAGTTGTTCGCTATCATCACGATGACAGCGATTCCACCAAAGACTTTGTGATCTTCAGGATATTTGATGGCCATCACAGTACCCGTCACAAGTTTCCTATCAACATCTTGCCCAAAGATGATAGTCCGCCATTCCTTATAACCAATGTTGTGGTTGAACTGGAGGAGGGGCAGACTGTCCTGATCCAGGGGTCCATGTTGAGAGCATCAGACATGGACTCCAGTGACGACTACATCTTCTTTAATATCACAAAGCCTCCAGAGGCTGGAGAGATCATGAAGAAGCCAGGGCCAGGACTGATAGGTAAGTTCTAGGCAGTTAAGATTGTTTGAATTGAATTGATTCTTCCTTAGAGAACTTCCTATGAGTTTGCTGAAGTTGAGTCAGAATTTGTGCTAAGGTGGGCATCACATTTTTATGAAGTAAGATGCTATTATTGCTTCCATTTTATACAAAGGAAACCTGAGACTCAATAAGCTAAGTTGATATACCTAAGGTTGTGCATCTAGAAGGGTCTAGATCTGAGTGTCAAGGAAACCAATATACTATGAAAAGTTAAGTTGTACAAGCAAGGTGATGAAACAAGTCTGAGAGGGAGATATTTGGCCCATTTTTGATGATTAGTAAAGTGATTTCATGAATAGTTTTTGCTTACATTTTGATAAGATCATCTGTAAAGTAGGTTAAGTCAGAAGTTTGACAAAATAGAGATCAAGTAAGAAGTGTTACTTTGTATATCTCAAATAAGACCATGTGTCTTGGTATTATCTTTCCAATGCTATTTTTTTCTACATATTAAGACAAGAGTAGCAATTTTAGCTTTTCTACTCTATTATTTATAAGCTTTGCTAAAACCACGTACTGAAGATTCTTGGATGTATCAACACACTAGACAGAGAAGACTTTTGGAGATGAGTCCTGTATCATTATGCTCTGACACTTAAATATGTGTGGTGTTTTGTGGACTCACCAGGCTATCCTGTCCCTGGCTTCCTTCAGAGGGACCTGTTTAATGGAATCATTTACTATCGTCACTTCGGTGGAGAAATCTTTGAAGATTCATTTGAATTTGTTCTGTGGGACAGTCACAAACCTCCAAATCTCTCAGTGCCACAGGTGAGAGACTACTTCTAAATACCTTCCCAACATTTTGTATACTGATATTAGCTCTTGAAGCTGTTATTTAAAACTACATAAAAATAGGTTTTGAGGTTCAAAGTTTGAGATGCAATGGAATAAGCAAAAAAAGCAATCTCTTTGCAATAGGACCATCTAAAGAGTTTTATAAATTTCTACGTATTCAGTGCTTCTAAAATTATTATTAAATAATAATAATATTTTTATTGACTACTTCAAAAAATTTGCTTACTTCCTAACACCTGAGAAAACCCTTATTTTATATGTAGTGGTTGAAGTATAGACTCTAGGGGTTAGACTGCCTGAGTTTTCCTTCTGACTGTGACACTGACCAACCTGTACCCCTCTTTCCTTGTCTATGAAACAGAATCTTCCTTATAGAGTTATTGTGAGGGCAAGTGATATAATACTTATAAAGTGCTAAGTTTTCTTTTATTTTAGTAAATAAAAGAGCTATTCTTTATTGTTTTGAAGATTTAAGTTTTACTACCACTACAGGTTATAATTTACATCTATAGAAAGAGGAAATAGGATTAAGCAAACATTATCATACAGAAATTACAGAAAATGTAATGTGTGGACAGTTATAAAAGAGTAAACTTGCAAGAGAGTCAGGGTCACAAAAAAAGAGTTGAAATTAAGTGATGTCCTGCTATGTACAATATTTTTTTGCTAGGAATTTTATATTCTATTGTCTTAGAAGGAAGTATGTGTATGGATGTAAGAAAATCTCAACCCCTAAGGCATCTGTCCTGTTCCATGAAATGCTTTCTCGTAATGTCACAGTTACTGACACTAGCTGACACTTACAAGATTGAACTGCTTATCTGTTGAGTATAATGGAAGGGAATGATCAGAAATAATGATGTCTGAAAGCTCAGACTCTGAAGGAAGTAGTGGATCTTTTTAAAAAGGAATGGGAGTGAATGAGAAAACTCTTAATTCATCTGCTTTTTTTTGACTAACAAGTCAACTCCTTTTCAAATAACAGCACTTTTTTTTTTCATCAATGTATTACATGCCAATTCTGGGTTAAATTATTGCTTGAGACCTTAGTTGGCTTAATAGTTCAAAATGGTAACTATAGTAAGGAAGAAAGCCCACTGATGTATTTTAAGTGTAGTTAAATTCATTGTTCACTACCATTTTAAATACCGAGATTTCTTGGTGTTCCTTTTTTTTGAAGAGGCTACATAAAATGACTTTGAGAAAAATCATAAAGAGATAAATACTAAAGTATTTAGGGATGAAATGTCATGATTACTGTAACTTTATAATTTTTAGCATAAGTATAATATAAGAAGAATAAGTAAATAGAAGCTATTTTTACATCTGAAAAAATGGCAACTATTACTAGGACTTATTTCTGAACCTTTTGGATATGTACTCAATCGAGCTATGTTTCAAGTCCTTTTAGCAGACTCTATGTCTTTACAAGTAGAAATGTCAGGACTTGGTCTTTTTTTTTTCCTTTTTGGTTGTTATATATTTTGTAAATCATGTATTTTATACACACAAATCATGATGCCTGTATAATAAAGACCAAGGTAGTAAAAAATATCAAAACAGTTGTTTCTAAATCTGGGCAAATAAGTCAGATGAGTACTTCAGATCTGATTATAAATTTATTCCCTATTATGGGTAGGATTTGAAAGAGATCATAATCATGTTTTCCTATACTTCCATTTATAAAAATTTATGCCCAGAGAGAGAGATAGAGAGAGAGAGAGAAACAGAGAGCTCTACAAATGTGCTCTGTCTTCATGTACCATGTATTCTCTGACTCCTAAATACAGTCACGCCCACAGATTCAGCCAACTGAGAATAGAGAATTTTAGAAAAAAGTTGCATCTGTACTGAACATGCCATTGCACTGTATAACCACAATTTACGTATCATTTGCATTACATTAGGTGTTAGGTATTGTAAGTCATCTGGAAATGATTTAAAAGTATGCAAGATGCTGGGTGCAGAGGCACATGCTTCAATACCATTTATTCAGTAGGTTGAGGCAGGAGGATTATGAGTTTGAGGCCAGCCTGGGTATGAAAACAAAAAAAGAAAATGAGCAAAATAAATACATGAAGTATGTAGAAGAATGTGCATGGGTTATCTACATAGAGGGCATCAATTTATATAAGGAACTTGAGCATCCAAGAGGTGATCCTGGAACCTCTTTCCCATGGATATTAGAGAATGACTACATCTCCAGTTTAGACTTATGTATGTAGCTACCTTTCTATCAACATTTCTACATGTTTATCGCATCAGCATTTTAAATCCATCTTGTCCAAAAAAATATTTAGTGTGTTTCTCTAAAAACTCACACAAAACTACTGTACCCAGTAAAATGGGAAAAACTAGCATTGGAAGTGGTTCCTGGGGATCAGAAGTAATGCTAGACATTTTCAAAGAGAGACGCAAAACAAAGAGCAGGTGAGAATCAGAGCTGAGGGCAAAGGAAGGATCAGGAATTCAGGTCTACAAAATACCAGCTGGTAGAGTATCCTATTGGAGCCTGAATCTGAAGCTCAAGGTCAGCCTTTGTCATTTTGTCAAGGTCAGATTTCTCATTTTACATTCTGATTCCTTATAAGTCTGTCTATGTGTGCTTGTGGCCATTGGTACACTAGTGGGACTTGGGCAGAGAGCAAATGAGTCTAGCAGTTGGTCTGAGCTCTAGTTCTCTTCTCCTTGCTTGGGACTGGGTGTTTAATTATGTCTTTGTTACAACTAGATTTCATTACAATGAGAATGCTTTATTTCTCTGTGGAGTTTGTTAAAATATGATTTTTCTTACCCATAGACACACACATAGTCTAATTGTCTGAACATGCATAAATGTGTAAAGATACATCAACTCAGACAATCATAAAGCATGTTGAAAAATGAGCTCACCAAGAATTACTACAGGGGTATAGAAATGCATGCTGTACATTCATTTTCATAAAGAACACATTGGAGAATAAATTAGCATGGAAAATGGTCTCTCTGAAGGCACAATAACTATTGTTTCCTTATTAAATCCAGTTTTTCAATTAAGTAGAGACTCGCTGATCCACACTTTGTCTGGGAGGTCCCATAGAGAATTTCTGAAGTTTGTAGATTAGCAAAATACTATAATTGGGAAAAAAAATCATGACACAGATTCCAGGAGACTTGAGAAATGATTGTTATTGTGTGTCTTTATTTTGATAACTGACTTTAGTTTTTTAATTATTGAAGTGCTTTTGTAATGGATAGCAAACATGCCATAAGCTTTTATAAATGTAATGAAAGGATAGAGATGAGAAATTAATTTATTGAGCACCTACTAAGTACTAGGTACTCACAGTGCTACTATCTTATTTGATCATGATAATATTTCATTATAATTGTCATTGTTATGATGCCTTTTGTACAGAAAGGAAAATCTTTGTTCCCAAAGGGTTAAATGGCTTCCTTCAGAGAGCATTGTTTATAGGTTGACAAGTTGATACTTAAGTCTTTTTTTATATCACAGTAAATTTTACCGTGTTTTAGTTTCTGCTTTGTATGACAATTTAATTGTATGTTGGAAACACTGCTGTTGAGGACAAAATTGTCATTGCCAATCTGTGCTTTGGTGGCAACATCAAAATAAATCAAAACCAGTGTAAGAATGCTTTCATGTGGCTTTGTGCAATGACCTCCAATGCCAAGCAAGGAACCATTGCAGAGAGAGAGAAAATAATAGCTTTCTTGTAACCAGTCATGAATTACTCTAAAGAAGTAACTATAATGATAAAAGCTGTTTGCCCAATCTTTCTTACAATTTAGCATGATCCAAACCCATGAGTGTCCCTTATGACTACTTAAAATTACAAACAGGGCCTGTTGTCTCATTCACTTAGCAACACTGATGAAGTATTGTACCAGATATTGTGGAATGCAAAAATGAGTGTAATATTTATTGGGCACCTACTGCACGCCAGACATTTTATCTACATGGTAATATCTGATCTTTGCAGAATTCTGTAAGGTTGTTAATATTGTGCTTGACTTACAAATAAGAAAATTGTTGTCTAAAAGTTGGTAACTTGTTCAAGTTCAAATAGCTGCTAGTAGATAAGTTGTACACCAGAGACTTCAACTGTTTACTCTCAAATCTTGTGGAACTTTCAGTCTAAGAGAAAGATTGACATGTAAATTAATAATATAAACAATTAAATAAGTATTTTATCCGAGGGGTGCCTTTGTTCATCTATGCTATAACAAAATTCCCCAGACTGGGTAATTCATAAATCATAAAAATGTATTTCTCACAGTTCCAAAGGCTAGGAAGTCTGGGATCAAGACTCCAGTAGTTTTGATGTTTGATGAGGGCTGCTCTTTGCTTCCTAGATGGCTAATGGTCCTGCATCCTCTGGAGGTGCAAATGCTGTGTCCTCCCAAGTCAGAAGGGCGAGTTCACCCCCTCAGGCCCTTTAATAAGGCACTCATCCCTTCACGAGAGCAGAGGCCTTATAATGGCCTAATCACCTCCTGAAAGCCCTACATCCATACTGATACCCTGGGATTAAATTTTAACATGAATTTTGGAGGAGACACAAACATTCAAACTATAGCCAGGGATAAACAAAATTCAGGAACAGTTAATTCCAACTGAAAAATTGAAGGGTTTTAAGAACTTGTAAGGGTGAGGAAGACTCAGATTGCTAGAGAAAGCAAGAGCAAAGCATTAGAAATGGAAGGAACAACATGGCGGCAAGCAGGAGTGTCCTTGAGGACAAGGACATGACCACTGCATGTAACTAGGTTGCTGGATTAATGCTGAGCGACAGTAAAAAATAAAGTCAAGAAAGAGAGCACCTAAACTGTGAAGGATATTGGATGCCAGGGTAAAGAGTATGAATAGCTTTATACTTCCTTGGTGGTTGTTTAAATTTTTTTGAGGAGATGAATTAATGAATTATGTATTCTTAAGATAACAGTAGAAGCTGACTCTGGTGGCTCATACCTGTAATCCTAGCTACTCAGGAGGCAGAGATGGGGGGGGGGATTGCGGTTTTGGCCAGCCCAGGCAAATAGTTTGTGACACCCTATCTTGAAAATAACCAACACAGGAAAGGGCTGTGGTCAAGTGGTAGAGCACCTGCCTAGCAAGCATGAGGCCCTGAGTTCAAACCCCAGTACCACACACGCACACACACACACACAAGATAACACAATAGACATTTACGGTGAGATTAGGAGTAATGGAAGGCTGTCACATGAGGGAGAAAATATGCAAGCTAGGTCAGGATCAGTAGGAATGTCACCTGAGGGTTGGCATTGCCTCTACAGAGGAAATTTTACAGTAGAAACTTGGTGATGTGTTATATGTGACTGGAGAAGAAGGAATCAAGAGTTATATCAAGGGTCCTGGGATCAATGACTATGTAGAGAGAGGTATCGAAAGCACAGGTTATTGCAAGAAGGAAGATAGAAAAACACAGTAACATACCTTGTGTTTTATGTGCTCATTCTATAGCACTCCTGAATGAATAAACTGTAATTGTAATAATTATATTCTTAAAATATAATATCCAATGAGTAAAGGCTGCTCCTTTTTTAGCTCACACTCTTAGTAGCTCCTGACTCATTGGACGGAAGTATAAATTATACTATAAATAAATGATATAAATGATAACTTTGAAAATCATCTTCCCAGTAATTAGGTAATGGTGGAACATTCTTTTTGGTGTCATCTTGGTATTTTGAGTGAACAGTACAGATGTTTTCATTCCAGGTGGTGATGATCCATATCACACCAGTGGGTGACCAGCTTCCAAAAGAGGCTCCTGGAGTTTCTCGGCATTTGGTTGTTAAGGAAACGGAGGTGGCCTACATAACAAAGAAGCATCTACATTTCCTGGATACAGAATCATCTGATGGAGAGTTGCTCTACACGATAACGACTCCTCCATTTTTCTCCTTTGGCCACAGGTATTTTTGAAAAGTCATCATTTGGTCCATTGATTCTAGGATTGGAGAGTCAAAAGTATCAGTATATAGTGCTAGGATTCAAGTGCTTTATTGGTCAGACATGAACTTATACCAATTCAGCATTTACTTTATCTCAACTGTCTCATTCCTCCCTGCAAAAGCTGTATTAAACAGTCTTTTATTCCCATTTGCTAAGAGGATACTTACTTTTCTTCTTAGTTAAATTTGTTGCAATCTTTGTAACATTATTTTTAGATATTACAGGTCATGAAATGGTTATATTCTATGATCTCAGTTCAGAAAAGTAGCACGAGAATTGCTTAGGCTAATATCACGTACATGATAGCAAGGAAACATTTTTAGGATGACACAGAAACATTTTTCTCAATGACACAGCAAAAATTTTTGGACATACTTTTGTAGTTACGATGAATGTGCCAATCATGATACAGAAATAAGGTTAGAAGTCCCCAACATAAAGAAGGAGCATCTGATTTTTCCTGTAATCAGGTCTTTTAGTTTTTGAAAATTTGCTTATGGCCTGTTTGAATTGACACTTCTGTTCTGTTTTGTTTTTTTGAGACAGGGTCGCTCTTTGTAGCTTGGTCTGGCTTGGAACTCTTGATCCTCCTCTCTCCATCTCTTCGGTGCTGGGATTATACATGTGCTTCACCATTGACTGGCTTTGATTTAGTTTTTCTTAGCTGGAAAATTAGCTGATGAGTTGTCCTGTATTTCTCTTTAGACACTTGGATGCTGGAAAGTTATTCATGGTGGACAGCATACCAAAACTAACCAAAAACCCTGTAGCCCTGGGGCTGAGGTCATTTACTCAGGTATGATGATTTGTAAAATGTTGACAAATGTGACCTAAGTGTCCTTGAGAAAATGTGGCATGCCTAGTGTTGAAGCTGAGACTGTTGACCATAGGCATCTGCTACAAATGCTCTGTGTCTATACTCTTTCTGCTTGTACATTTCCACTAAGCATGTGACATATACTCAAAAGCACTTTATCAAGTTGAATATGATACCAAATCTTATTATAATTCAATACTTTTTTTGCATTGTTTTGCCAGTAGCAGAATTTAAACTCAGGGTCCCCATTTATATGTTTTTATTTTGCCAAATTCTGATTGACATAATAAAGTTTCACAAACTGAGCAGTTTAAAACAATAGTGATTTACCTTCTCCTTGTTCTGGAAGCTGGAATCATGGTATTGACAGGGTCATGCCCCTTTTCTGTAGTGAGAGGTTGTAAATGAGTATGTCCATCCCAGTTATATGTACTATTACTTTATTCTTTTTTACAGATAAAGAAAAGAGACCTAGCAAGTTTAAGCAGCTTGACCATCTAGCTAGTATGGAGTAGCTCTGGGTTGAAATAAAAGCTCTTGTCTTTTATAGAGTTGGCTGTCTACAAACACTTGACATATTTACTTAATTTCTTTGTCACTTTTCCTTATGCATAAAAAATGTGATTTATAAAATAGAGCTTTGGGGAATCTTTCAATTAGTGATGGTATTTATGGTGTTTAATAGCAATTAACACTGCATTTGTCTTGGACCTAGTTCTCTGGAAGTTTCAGATTGTTGGAAATCAACACCCAAATGTCCATCTCAATTTGCTTTGCAGCATGCTGTGAACCATTTGAAAGTGGCCTACTTGCCACCCATGCAAGATATAGGCCCCCACCTCCAACATGTCCAGTTCACAGTTTCCGTCAGTAACCAACATGGTGGCACTTTGCATGGGATCTGCTTTAACATTACGATTCTTCCAGTGGATGATCAAGTTCCTGAGGTATGAACAATGTTTGATATGGAGGATGAAAAGGAGAGAAAGAAAGAAAAGACTGTTTGGCTATAGTGTAAAAAAAAAAAAAAAAGCAAGGTGTGGGGACTCCTTGACTGCCCATAGGTCTTACTATCTGAAAGGTAAGATTTTCCAGTTGCTGAGTTTGACATTATTTTCAAAGGTTTATCAAAATCTCTTTCATTTCCTTTTCTTTATGCTGAACTTCACATGTTGATCAGGGGAAGGGGATTAAATTATGGGTCTCTTAGCAACCAGAAGAGTTTATTTGCTCTCACCATAGGCCAACTATTCTGCTGTGTAATCCAAAGAAGCTCTTTAATTTTCTAAAATGAATTTAAATGGATCCTTTTGTCCTACCCTGTCCCACTGCCCAGTGTTTATGTAAGTCTTAAAGGACTTGGGTTTTTCTTGAAAATTGAACTGAAAGGCAATGCTACCTTGTCTCTCTATAATCTGAGATTTGCATCGCAGATTGTTCCACACCCTCCCCCATCTTCCCCTTCAGAGGGTTACAGTTGATTAGTGTGACTATTATTGAGACGATTTTTTCCCTTAAAAGTGGGAAGACAAAGGAGAATTTCCCAGTCCTTATGAGGCAAAGGGACCCAGAGCCTCCCCAAACCTCACCCCTAAGGAAAGAGGTCACTCTCCCAGGTATTTACCTGGAATACAGCCAGCCCTGGAGTTCTCTTTCTTGGCCACTCCTCCCCAGTTCTATACCTGTCTAAAGCAGAGGGCATACTTGCAGGCCCAAGTAGCTTACCCAATGTGCACAAGTGGTCTGAAAGGGCTAAAGAATATTTTAAAATAGCACGTGCTGACATTTACAGTCCAACAGATTTCCTAGCACATCTGACTCGGGGTTTCTCTTGAAATTATGAAAGCTCTAACAACATCAAGTCCAAATACCTTAATGTAGTTGTGGGACAGGGTGTGCTTTTTACCCACTAAAGTCCCCACCAAGTCACCTCACTTATTTGCATCATGGCCTGACCTTTCAGACTGGTGAGCTTGCAATTTCTGGTAGAAAATGCACTAAAAAATTCACACCAAGGAATCTGAATTAGCCCCATTCTGTGACACCTGCCATATGAAAGACTAGATCGTGTTCCCTGTGTTGGAAATGGTTTAGAATGTCTGTGGAGTTAACTTGATTAGATTTGAGTCAGAACACCCTTTTCCATATATGAGGTACAGTCCCTAAAGTAGCATAACATCTAAGGAAGTCAAGCTTTTCCTAGAACAATCATGGAGAAATATTCTTTACATCCAGGAGTCTTACTAGAGAAGGATGAACTATGGAGGAAGCCATAAGGGTAAAAAGAAAAGTTACTTTCATTTGCAGGGAGATGGAATAGTTAGGAAGACTTGGGACTAAAATGGCATGGTGGCTTTTCTCTTTTGTTTACAATGTGTGGGACAAATGAAATAGTAGTTCAAAGACCTGAGAATATTAGAAATAAAATTAATTTAGCCTTAGTGAAAGAAACCACAGAAGTAGTTCTCTGATAAGAAATGTCCACAGAGAGCTGGATTGAGTGATAATCCATGATTAACCTGGAGTCCCAGAAAACTGAACAGTGGGGCTGAAAGTCAATGATTAATAAGTGGGGGAAAATTTGCCTTAGGCATTTATCTTTTGCAAGTTTCCCTAAAAGACATATTTGGAAAAACATTTAATGTAATAAAGTATATTTTGTGAAACATTCCCATATTGGGATACTGATTCATACCACTTAGGAAAATGAGGCTGGCAAGCATGGTCCTTGGTCCATACTCCTCTCTGAATACAAGCCCCCTTGTTTTCTTTGAACAACCTACAATGAAAATGTAGGCTTGACAAAATGAGAGGGAGACTCTGGGAAGGACTGGGGTGGGGCTGATGGTGGGGAGAGAAGTTTGTAGTTTTTCTGTTCTCTTTTGCTGGTGGTAGTTTGTAAAGAACAGAAAGTAGCTGCCTCATAGTTGTAGTTTCACAGATTCCATGATCAAGGGCCTGCCCTTGAGACATGCACAAGTGCCCCCTTGACCATGGAATCCTTCTGGTATTGGGCCCTGGTGGGCAGGAGGAGAGAGTAAATGCTGTTAAATGGAGATCTTGGCATCATCTAGCTCACTTCCTTTTCCTCTACTTGTGTGATGTCACTTCCTCCTGTTCACTCCCTTTTACCAACTCATTCTTCAGGGAACATTCTTATTTCTCGAGGTGTCAGCTGCTTGGAGGAGAGCAGGTGCTTCCTAGGAAAACCTGGTGTCCTCTCATTGCAGGGCACTCACCCCAAGTCATCTGGGAGGAGCCCTCAGAGCCAGTGTTTGGTATCCCAACATTATCTGATTGCTTTCATTTCCATATAGTAACACCAATTTGTAAAAATGTTAGGTGAAACAAAATTAACAGGTTTTCCTACCTTAGGTCTCAAAGCCTTAAATATGCATATGTGTCTTCTAATTCTCCAAAATAAGGATCTGTATGTAACTGTTTTAAGTCTGATATTTGAATAAATCTATTTCTTATGGAATCTTTAATTTCCAATCTTCAATTTCTCTGCTCTCATTTCATCTCCAAAATACTCACTACAACTGAAAATCCAATCAACTTCCCAAGTCTTTAAGAATTTCTAAGGATGAAAAAGGAGATGCATCCTTTCCTTCAGGGGAATTTGGCAAAGGTTTTGCTTCTGTTGTAGACTAGGGAGTATGTGTTTCAAAGGGATGAGAATAGACACGCTAATGAAAGTTCTTATTCCCTCAACTTAGCACTACAGATTTTAACCACTTCAATTGCTGATTCAACTATACAGCTCTGAGTTAAATGAAATGTAGATTCTTTCAACTTTTTAGAAAGTGAGGTCTGCATTGCTTTTTTCTATACATCAAGGCTTAGAATTGGAAATATTTAATAAAAATATTTTCAACCAAATCATATAACTATGAATTTGTCCCCTTACTGCATCCTTGAAAAATGAATTACCATATGAAGATGGTACTGGAAGTTCTACATTGATTTAGTGAGCTCTGTATTCAGAAACAAGGCTCTGAATGCTTCCTTCTTTCTAGGTGTTCACCACCCCTCTGAGAGTGGCTGAGGGAGGTCAATGCATCATCAGTACAGAGAACATTCTGGTTTCAGACATGGATACCCTGCTGGAAAATATCCACCTCTCTCTTCAGGAGATGCCTCTGCATGGAAGGGTAGAACTGAATGGATTTCCTCTAAACACAGGAAACACATTTTCATGGGGCGACCTCCATACCTTAAAAGTTAGGTTAGAAATTTTTGTGTTTTGTTTTGTTTTTTTCTTTAAATGTCTTGGTTCCTCAGCTGGGTCAGTTGTAAGGCAGAGTAAGGAGAAAGAAGTTGGTTGAATTCTTTCAGGTATACCAAGATGCCATGTAATACTTTCAAGGGTCAATTGAAAATTGGAAGTGACAAAATTTTCCGTTTCCTCTGGACATTTTCTTTCCCTCTGGCTTGTTGTAGCAGTAGGGATAAGCTTATGGATATTGAAGCAACAAAATTAACATGAATATTAAATTGGCCACAAATGCACATATCACAAACTAGATGAATAGAGAATGAAATGATCTGTGAGGCTAATCTACATAATTGAGCATGGCTCTAGGAAAAGCCAATTTCATGACCCTGAAAACTCTGGGATAGAGCTCTGTTGATCATTATCTCTAGTGTAAGATTTAATTCCACTTGACTGGGTAGGGGTACACAGATAGGCTAGGTAGGTTGGCCATGGAGCAGAACCCAGGATGGAGAAATTCCTGCCTCATTGTCCTATAGTAATTCTCCTCACCCATGGCCTTCCATTTCTCCTATCTACTGCAGTTCTGCAAGAAACTTTTCTACAAAATTTAGTAAAACATCTTCTCTGGAAAGCAATGCAAACTACTTACAAGCAATGGTCAGGTAGATAGATGAATTGACTAATTTCTCACTGAAAAATTCAAGTTACAAATGGAAGCTTTGGTCCTTTTGGTGAAGTATGGTAGGAAGTGTCAGGCATCAAATGCTTATTTGACTATGAAGTTCAGTGATAGTTACCACTTGTGCACAAGAAGATCAGTTTAATCCTGATAGTCTAGTTAAATCAGAGATTTATAGCTCCCAATTTCTTGACCTCTTTTCACTACTCATCTATTTCCACTAAATTTTCCCTTCTGTTTTTGTTTTTTAGGTCCCTGCCCTTATTAGCATGCAAAAAGAAAAATCTGTTTAGGAAGTTCTTTCTGAAGAGTAAATGATGGATAGAAACAAAATACACCAATATTTGCTAAAACTATATATTTCAAGCACTCTTTTAGAGATTTGCAATTAATTTTAAAAGTCCATTTACTCTCCATAGTAACCAAGCCTGTCAAGTTAGCTAATTCTAGTCTCATAGTGTGGGTGAAGAACTAAGCACAAATGTGTTAAGGAATTGGCTAGTACACGGAGGAGTCAGGTTTTAAAGAATATCTGCTTGGTTCCACTGCCATGCCTTTGGTATTAGCATAGTCAAATAGGATTAGTATATTGTCATTCATCAATCTGTTTTGTTGGAACATGGCAAAATAAGCATAGGAGGTGAAGTGTACGAGTGGCAGGGAGTAGTGGGATGTGGTCCTTCCCTGGCATTGGGATAGAATTCCACACCTGAGTTCCTACCCAGCCCATTGGTGAGATGAGTCCTGAGGCATTTTTTCCATGGATGAATGTCATCTGGGTTCAATATACTGTAACATTTTTCATGGAACTTTCATTTCAATTCCTAGATCTGATTCCACTCCTTACTCAAATCTTGAACGGATCATTGATAGGCTACAAATTTGGCTCAATTGAATCTGACAGCTTTTTAGAATTTATTATACATCACTGTAAGGGGCTAAAGAGTACACAAAAGGCTTAGAATTAGACAGTTCTTTCAAAAAACTTGACTGAGAATTAAAGGACGATGGGCCCAAGGTTAGACTGGGGACAGAGTTGAGACTATAGGTACTGAGGAAGAGAGCTTTTAAAGGGGAGAGAGAAGTTTGAGGGGAGGGAGGCAATGCATAATTCATAGACCAAGGTTTTAAAGAAGAGCTTAACACATCCAGGACACAGACAGAAGGATTCGCCTTGAGAGTAGGGAAGGAGCGAGAATCAAGTTCATATAGCATTCCACTTTTCCCTGTCTACCGTTCAGTCTTGGTGTCTCTCTGGCGCCAGCCGAGGTATTCTGTAAGTGAGCAGAGCTTCACCAAATGGTTCCTGTTGCCACAGTAGCAACTAAAAGGCTGCTTTTTATTTAGGGACAAATTACAAGTGCATATAATACATTTTCCCAGGGAGGAGCAATTTTACCTTTCTGGATACTTGCGTAGTTAAACAGTGACTTCATGATTATGCTGTTGTTTTCTTATTTATTTATCCCTACATCTATTTAGTGAACACATGGCCAAAACCATGGAAGAGTTCTTGTGTCATACATCTCAATTTATTCTCACAGTGTTCATGAGAGATTAGCTACAAATATTATCCCCACAGGTATCAACATGATGGATCTGAAGTTCTTCAGGATGACATACGCTTGGAGGTCACAGACGGCACAAATTCAGCAGAATTTGTTCTACATGTTGAGGTGGGTAGAACATTTCCTCCTTAAGTCATATAAAAATAAAGCATCTGTTTTGGAAACCTCTCGGGGTCCCTGACATAACTTAAAACACACGGACTCCAAAGCAAGAGGATGCCTGCTTACATTTCTGTATATCTTGAGCCATGAAATAGAGAACAAGGTTTTACTGATAAAATGAACATAGTATCTCTCTCCAATTTAAAGATAGAAGAACTCTGGCCTCAAACCCAAATACTTAGTTTAAAAAGTAATTGATTCTATGTACAAGTTTCTTTTCTTTTTTCTTTTTCTCTTTCTTCCTCCCTTCCTTCATTTCCCTCCCTTCCTTTCTTCTTTCCCTTCTTCCTTCCCTCCTTCCCTCCCTCCCTCCCTCCTTCCCTCTTCCTCCCTCTTTCCCCCTTCCTGTTTATTGCTACTTTTAAATAAAGGGACATGGACTTTGCAAATCATAGACACACTTTTTAGGCAAATGTTTGTGATTTTTTTTTTTTACTCAAAAGGAATATTCTTAATTATGGAATATTATGCTTGGGAGATATGTACACTTGGAAATCTGTGATGACCAATATGAGCAGGGTGGCTGTTCTTGTAGAGATAGCAGATCAAGGATGAAGACAGGCGTCAAACAGATCATCACCAAGACGATTAACCAATTAAAATTTATACATGTTTTATAAATTAACAGGATGCTAAAAGAGAATAATAGAAGCCTCTAAATTAGACTGAGTGGTCAAGGAAGTTTACCCTGAAAAATCCACATTGAACTTGAGGCAGGCATTAGCTGAGGAAGGAGTTGGGGACAGAGCCAGTTGAGCAGGGGCAAGCAATGGAGCAAAGGCCTTTGGGGTGAAATTGGAGTGGAGTAACAGAGGCAGTCCATGGCATGGATGAGCTAGAGACTCCTAGAAAAGCACTGGGAAGCCATCAAGGTCCCTGAAGGGCAGCAACTTGAAAAACATTTGTAAAACATCACTTTGGCTGAAGTGTTGAGTAGATTCACAGACTTAACTCCCAAAACCAAAAGAACAACAATAAAGAAGAACATTGCCATGCACACTAAGCTGTGAACTCCACGGAGGAATGCCCTTAATTCCCATCTAGAGGATGTGCTTTTCAAACTTCTACATGGTCTTTTTAAATCCAGAGAGTTAGGATTGCTTTCCTTCCTTTCTACTTAGAGCTTTATTTTCATGAAAGTGACAGTAGAACATTTTGTCAAATTGAAACCTGGTGTTGATTGAATGGTTATGGAGTTTCACATGTAACTCCGGCTGGAAATGCAGCTGTGGCTCATTGTGAGCCCAGAGAAACTTCCCGGGTGGCAGGAAGTTGAGGGTGGAGGGAAACTTTGAAATCACCAAGTAATTTGAAATAAAAATAACTTTGATATCATGAATATATATGCATCAGATCACAAGGACCAGAAGTCATCTGGAATATGTGTGAATTTAATGAAGGAATATAGGGGTTTGGGTGAGGAGTGTTTTATATTACATTTATATTTTGTCTGTTTGGAAGCAAATGAGAGAGTTTTGAGTCCCAAACCATAACCACATTCTCCCATTCCTCCCTAAAATGTCTCCCACGTGGGACATTCCTTGTACGATGTACATATGGGAAAGTTGAAAGACATCGACTGCTTGGCCAAATTCCATGGCTATTGTTTTGTGTGTCTGGAAGATTGAAAATGCCTGTCATTGTGACTATGAGTTATGGGTTACCAGTGGGTAATTCGTAATTTCTTTCTTTTCTCAAAAACATGCATTTTTTTTTCCTGTGAAGGTATTCCCTGTAAATGATGAGCCACCAATCCTAAAAGATGACCTCATTCCCATGATGCACTGTTCAGAGGGAGAAGAGGTGGTCATCACCCCCAAATACATTGGCGCAACTGATGTGGACAGCGATGACTTGAAGTTGATGTTTATGATCGCTCAAAAACCTCGGCATGGGGTGGTGAGGAAGGCTGGAATCCAAGTGAACAGGTTCTCACAGGAAGACGTCATCTCAGGGGCTGTGACATATAAACACATAGGTAAGTGACAGATCTGTGACTAAGGAGGGATTGTGAGCAACACAAGAGAGTCTTAACTCCACCTTTTGCCATGGGCTTCAATAACCTAACAATGCTTGCTTCCATTAAAAATGATGCCTGTATCATGCAAGTACAATCACAACGGATAGAGATACTTCTGACTACAGTATCACAGTGAATTTCAAATTGGGGAGAAAGAGCAGGTGCCACTTCCCACTGTTTTCTGGACACTCCCACCTAAGCCTTCTTTTTGGTCAATTTGAAGACTTATTTGGCCATTATAGTTTATGGATTCATAAATCATAATAAAAAGCCTTCTCTCCCTTTCTCCCTCTCTTTCTTTCTTTTTTGGCTATTCTGGAGTTTGAACTCAGGGCCTTGTGCTTACTAGGCAGGTGCTCTACCACTTGAGCCAAGACCTTAGCCCTTTTTGCTTTTGTTATTTTTTTGCCCATGCTGTATTGGACCATGACCCTCGTATTTACACTTCCTGTGTAGCTGGGATGATACCACATCCAACTTTTTTTTTTTTTAAATTGGTCACTAACTTTTTTCCCCAGGCTAGCCTTGAACCACCGTCCTCCTAATCTGCCCCTCCCAAGTAGCTAGGATTACAGGTGTGAGCCACCACACCTGACCTCAAGTCATTTTTTTTGAAGAGACACGAAGGAATTTAAGCAGTTGGGGAGGGATCACAAGAAGGAAGAATGGAGATTGCTAAAGGATTAATGTGGAACTGGGAGGAAACATTTTGACATAATGTTTTTCATGTGTACTTTGGAAAACAATGATTTATTAGGACAGGAGTCGTTCTGTGGCTGATTAGTTAATATGCAACATTGCAGTCCCTTTTCCAAGCAGCTTTGTTCTTTAAGTGATCTCTCCCATCCGCTTACCTACATGCTGTCTTAGGAAAGACTTCATTGGTTATTTCCTTGTCCTGGCCGGGGACATCATCCTCTCATTTGATGTAGCCTCAGTGTCTTCCAGGAGTTCGCAACTACACACTTCTTTTTGATTTCCTCAGTAGATCTCAGGACAGAGGTTCAAAGGCCAATGATTGTTGTTTATTACATAATTCCAACATCTTTGGCAGGCCCATGCAGCACAGGTAAATGAAATGAATTATTTCTTCTACCACCTTGTTCTAAGTTCTAAACAACAGGTATAGAAATGTCAAAATTTCTTCTAGTGTGATGGCCATGTGAAGGACTGTGACCTAGTGAGATCTAAAAGGATTGGGTCAAATTATTTCAAATACACATCTTAGTTATGTTGCTATATTAGCAGAAATACTAGATTAAAAAAGATGTTTCAGTATTTGAATGTTGCGTTTTCTTATAATGTTTACTCATTTTCTCAGTTGGTAGTCATCTAGCTATGTTAGAATAAGCATAAAGAATCCTGGGATTGTAAAATCAGAAGCTTCAGTAAGTTGTCTGGTCCCACTCTTGCTTCCATGCATTGATTATAAAGGCCACTCAAAAATAATTTTATCAGCATTACGCATTTGCTTATTGCAGAAGTAAGCCTGCTTGAAAGGATTGGAGAAATGAGATGAAGTCTTGAGCAATCACCTTATTATACTTCTCAAAGATTGTCACTGTTGATACTTTAGTTGTATGGTATTTTATTTTTTCTAATCATTATTTTTTACTTTGTTGCAATTGTGTTTATATACAGTTTTGCAGATTATTTCTTTGTTAGATGATCTCTAAAATATTTATCAGAATATCTATTGCATGCCATAGAGTTATTATAAACATGTCGGAGTAGTTAAATCATATTTTACTATGCAAAGTAATTATTAATTTGCCATTCTCCTAAAATCAAGCATAGAGTTATAAAAAAAAGAAATTTTTTGGTGGTATTGGGATTTGAACTAGGGGCCTTGAGCTTGCTTGGTAGGTGCTCTACCACTTGAGCCATACCCCAGCCCTGGATTTTTTTTGGGGGGGTGGGACAGAGGTTTGAACTCAGAGCTTCATGCTTGCAAAGCAGGGGTTCTACTGCTTAAGCTATAGAACCACTGCTTGTATTTTTCTGTATTTATTTTGGAGATAGGGGTCTCAAGAAGTGTTTGCGAACCTCGATCCTCCTGATCTCAGCCTCCCAACTAACTTGGATTACAAGCATGAACCACCTGTGCCTGGCTTGTCCTTTTTTTGAGACAGGGTTTTACTATGTAGCCAGATTGGCCTTGAACTTGGATTTTCCTGCCTCAGCCTCCTGATTTCTAGGATTACAGACATGTGTCTGGCTAAAATTTTCTTTTAAATAAACACTATTTAACATTTTAGAGTATAAATCATGTCCTTAGTCTCTATTCCATTTCGAGGTAAAGAATACTTCCCTTTTAGTGGCTGAATGCTCAGCCACTTTCGCCAGCTATTACTGTAAACATACACTGTGCTTCCGTCACAGAGGAATCATGTTTACCAGATGCACCATATTTGCCTTTTATGAAAGTTCTCTGCTCTTCCTGGAATAATTATTCCATTTCTCTCTGTGATTTCCTCTCCCTACATCTACCAGTTCCCTGCCTTATCTACCTGGTAGACTCACCCATTTTTAATGCAGAAGCCATCCAAAAAGATTATTCTTTTTCTGGCAGGTGCCTGGTATTGTAAGGTCAGAAGTTTCAGTGAGTTGTCTGGCCCCACTCTTGCTTCCATGTGTTGACTTATGGCACCTAAGAATGATTTTATCAGCATTATTTATTACTTATTTAAAGTAATACTTGTTTGTTGCAGAAGTAAGCTTGAGACTGGCCATTGTCAGCTAACACTCTTATCCTTGGTCCTTCTTACATTGTCAGACTGAAATGCAGTCATTATGTAGTATCCTCAGAGGATGGGCTGCAGGAACCCCCAACAGATACCAGAAATCAGTAGCAGCTCAAATCAGTTATATTTGCCTATATTTGCACAGTATTTGCCTATGCCCTGTGCGTATCCTCCTACAGAGTTTAATAATCTCTCGAGTATTTATACAATGTAATGTAAATGCTTTGTACATAATTATTATACTATGTTGTTTAGGAATAATGACAAGAAAAAAATCTACATATTCAGAATAGACACGTTTTTTTCCAAATGTTTTTGACCTGTGGTTGATTGAATTTATGGATGTGGAACTCATGGATATGAAAGCCTACTACATATGAAGTTGCCATTTAATGGATTAAAAGGTGATTTAATTGTAGTGATTTAGTCTGGGTCACCTTGATGCAAAACTGCACCTCCCTATTCTTTCACTGTATCCACCCAAGAAGAAAGGTCACCAAGATCCACTGTATGTCATGTGACCCACTTTTGAAATGCTCTTGACACTTGCAAAATGTCACCTTTTTCTCTGCTGGAATACCCAGGACACTAATCATCCCATACTAGGCATTAAATAAATATTTATTGAGTGAATAACTTATGAATAAATATTGTAACTATTTTGGTTTTTATCAATGCAAACAGGAGAAAGCCTTCTTAATTTTTTGACTCTTCCCAAAGTTGAAAGCTGATCATTTCTTTCGAACTCTCTGAACTTCAACTCTGTTTTTCTTCCTTTTATCATTTGATTGCTCAATGATATCTTTGGGCTTTCTTTGTCTTTTTTTTAACAGGAAAAGTAATGCTGAGTACAGTGCTCCACAGATTTGGCCAGTGAGTCTGGTGAAAGGCAATGACATCCTTGATCTTTTGTGCTCTAGTCTCATCATTGGTTGCTTCCTTCTTGGCACTTTCAAAGTTGTATATGAGAATTGCCAAGGGAACAAGTGCAGGGCTTTTCTGTTTGCGGGAGAGCAAGCATTCTTACTCCATGCTGTTACTTAGTAACCAGGAGACTATCCTGTTCACTTATAAGCTACTGAATCTGACATTTTCTTCCTTCCTCTCACTGTTCAAGTTGGGGCCATTTTGAATCTTACAGAGTAAGACCTAAGAAGCAAAAAGAAGAAAGAAAAGGTAAATGCTGTTTCTTTTCCAGGCACAGTTGCTACTTTTTAAAAACATCCTGGCTAAGGTATAAAAAAGCAAATATTCAAAGAAATGACAAAAATATGGATTACCTTTTTTTCACCTATCCAGCATCTTCTGTTTCTCACAACTGCTATGTGATTGATGGGTATTCAGTTCAGGTGGTTAATGTAAATAGAAAGACAATTTCCAAGTGGACAAGTGTACGTTCTGCCTCTCCCTGAGCTTGATCCTAACACTCAGGATGATGAGGGAAGAATGAAACCATCACGAGTCAAGCTTCGTGCCTGCTTCTTGTTCATTTGTGAACTGTCAGACCCTTGTTAGCCCTGCTTTGCCCTCCATATGGTGATAGATGACTGGCAGGGATTTCACTGGAGGCGACAGATGGACAAGCATTTTTGCATTATTTTCATGAGTATATTTAATTTCACAGTGATAACATTGCATTGTTTCTGTAAGTTCCTCTTCTTGCCATTCAAGGCTTGTAGAAGAGGTGAAACCAAGGCTTCATCTTAGTATTTATTTTAAAAGTCAGGTTTCAGCCACAGTTATGTTTTCCAGGTGGTGAGATTGGCTTGGTGCCTTGTTTTGACACCATTATCTTGGTGGTTTCGGATGGAGAAGCTGGCCCTTTCATGAATGGCTGTTGCTACAATGGACCGGATCCATCTGTTCCTCTTCATGAGTCCTTCCCAATGTACAATCTCAACGTTACAGTGCATCCAGTAGACAATCAGCCACCTTCAGTTGCAATAGGTGACAATGTTCTTTTCCATTATGTTATCTAGTGTCATACCCCTGGTTCAGAGAAATAATACACTTTACTTACAGTCTAATTAGAAAACCACTGTACATAATTGCCTACACAAAAATTTGTAGAAAACTCCAAACCTGTAAAAAAGTACAAGGCAAACATTGACTTGTTTAAAATGTTTGATATTCTTTTTTAAAAGATTTTTATTAGTGTATGATAGTTCTTTATGGAGAGAATACAAGTGAATGGTGTCTGTGTATGCTAGTTGGGACAAGGACAACATCAGAATCCTCAAATATTCTGGTTTTATTTCACATGGGAGAATATCATTTGCCTGCTGGAGAGAGAGTAATTTATTTTAACCATAATAATTTCTATTAGAGCAGAATGAGTATACCAGAGAGACCATTTATATACATTTAACCTTATTTGCTTTTCGGAAAGTCATCTCTTCATAGGCATTATGTATATGTTCTGTCTCTCGGAAAAAAATATAAGCATATGTATGAATGTTATTGTAATTTGCAAGCTATCTCCCAAGCAATGTTCTGGACAGGAAGCATTATCCCAGCAGAATAATTAAGCACCAAGTCATGAAAAAAATGTTCGTTATGAGCAACTCATAATAGCGCTCAGGCAATTAGTGCTCTGACAAACAGAAGCAACAACTGATCTTGAAGAGTACATAAACTACATTTAGTGGCTTATCATTAAAACAGTTTGGCAATTCTTATTTTCCTTTGTCACTTCTGTAGGGACACAAGGGAAATCAGAGTTCCTTGGAATGACTAAAGGGCTGAACTGGAGCATTTAGTATTTCTGCTGTCTTTCCATTATTGTCTAGCTTGCTTGTACAAGAAAAGAAAATATGATTCCATAAGTCAAATTAAATTCCATCCGTTACTCCTGAATAGTTTCATTTTAAAGAGAATTATGCCAAAGGAAGTGAACAACTCCCATGGAATTGTGTTTGTATATGGGAGCCTTCTCTACATTGGAATTTCAATCACTCCCTTTGTCCTCACTATTCTGATGAGAGGCTTGCATGCTAAGTCATAACTGTGTTGTTATTTGCATGCAGGTACCATGCTCATGGTAGATGAGGGCTTCTCAGCCACCCTCACCATTAACCATTTATCTGCCACCGACCCTGACACTGCTGCAGATGACTTGGAATTTGTTTTGGTTTCTCCTCCCCAATTTGGCTATCTTGAAAACACACTCCCTTCTGCAGGTTTTGAGAAAAGCAATGTGGGCATAAGTATAGGTAAGTCATGAGTTCAGGATGAGCAATGACTCACCTATGTTTATAGATGTGATTGGCTAGGTCACGGTTGGTAACTGGGAAAGGACTTCAAAAATGTTCAGATCATCATAGAAATTCAAGAGATTATTACTGTTATCACTGTTGATGCTTTTGAAGCTTAATATTTCCCATTTTAACTTTTAGTCTGACTTTCCATTTGTAATCAGATATACATAAAGTAAATAGAAATTTCATTTGTGAAGATTCAAGGATAAATACTGAAGAGACAATGTTTTATAACATTATCTTAACAACACAATGCTCTGATAGAATTATTCTGGTGCGAGCTCACATGGTCTCATTCTCATAGCCTTTTAGCATTGTTAATGGATTTTACTGGAAGAGATTAGGAGATACTCTATGCATGGTACAGAGAAAGACAGTCTGAAATGTTTAAGCAGATGACATTAATTTTAAAACTAAAATGTGTCTCAGATACTAAAATAGCCCTTGTATTTGAGGCAAAAACAAAACAACCCAAATCAAAACAGAGAGCAAAACAAAAATCTTCCAAAGACAATACCTCAGAAGTAAATGATTCTCCAAACCCCCTTCAAGGCACATATCATTTCAAATACAAGAGAGGCTGATTTAAGAATCCCTGCATTAAAAGCTATTTAATTATTTTCTGTAACTTAATTCACAATTCAGAGCACTTTTTCTCCTTTGATTTAAGGCCACATCCAAATATCTAAACATCATGTCAACTAACTCTACTCAATCCAATGAGATGTTTAGTGATTGTTTGACTCTTGTTTACCTCTGTGTGAAAGAGGTGGTCTGTTCTCACTCAAGCATGACAGGGACTGCCTGTGCAGGGTGACTTAATCAAGGTCGTTCTCCCTGGCATTCATTCCAAGCATCTGAAGAGTGAGTGGTCTCGAAGTCCCTCATGTCTGGGCTAACAATTATCCCTCTTCTGCTGTCCGTGCAGATTTGAATCCTGTTTTATGATGAGTGAGTGCCTACTTTTATGTTGATGGTTGCCAGGTCTTACAGCAATCCCTGATAGCAGATTCTTAGGTCAACTGCTTTGATCTCTTCTCTGCTTTGCTTAGAAATAGGTTCTTATTACAGGGTGAAGACTGAGGACCAGTAACTGGAAGTAATGTTTTTCTTCTTTTCTGTTGCAACTCGGTGTGCCCTAGCGTCGTTCCAGTGGAAAGACATGAAGGCTTTGCACATTAACTACGTTCAGTCCAAGCATTTGCGGATAGAACCAACTGCCGATCGGTTTGTGGTATACGTCACAGATGGGAGGCAACGCTCCTTGGAGACACTATTTTATATTACAATCAACCCAACCAATGATGAAGTTCCTGACTTTCTAGTGCAGAATATTACTGTAAGAAACTCATTGGGATTTTCCAATTCTCCCTTATCATTTTCTGATTTTTAGTGTCACCTCATCCATATGTTGATTTGGGTGCACCTAACACACTTATTTGGTGAGGAGTGGAGAAGGCAATAAATAGCCTTTGTCTGGTAACTCAATCACTTGAAAACTATTACTATAATAATAATGATAATGAAAGTAATAATTGCTAATTTGTAACAGATGCAGGGATGCATTCGCTAGATTGCCTATGTATAGGATGGAGCACTTACTAGTCTGTAGGTTCAAGCCCTTTGCACATATTCAGTTTGACCCCTACAATAGGCTTTTAGAGTGAGGGATCATTATGCCATTTCATGACTGAAAATTGAGGCAAAACAAGGTTAACTAAGTAGCCTAACTAATCTGTGCATCTGCCAGTAATGCATATGTGTACTATGATTTTTCTGGGTTTTACTTACAAATTAGGAATCTTATTTAATCTGCTATATACTTTACTTTCTAAAACAAAACATTTGTAAAGCATATAATAGTTGTGCGGGGAGTATGCATTGTGACATTTACATATGTGCTTACAATGTATCTTAATGACATTCATCCCCTCCATCATTCTCCTTCATTCCCTCCCGTTCTTAGAACAATTTCAACAGGTTCATTGTTCTCCTTTCATCCACAAATACAAAATACATCCACCATATTAGGCCTCCTTTACCCTCTCCTTTTGCCCTCCCCCTTCCCACTGGAATCTACCCCCTGAAAAGACCTGTCCAAATCAAAACTTACTTATATTGGAAATCTTTTCATATTAGTATGTAATTCTTTTTAATAATTATGTATGTATTTATATGATTACCTAATCTAGACATATGTATTAGCAAATCCTGATAAAATGGAGTGGGCACAGACTTTGGAGCCGGAAGGACTTGGGTACTTGTAGGATCTTGGGCAGGGTATTCCTCTCCAGGTTCTGTTTCCTCACCCACAGAATATGTATGGGATCTTCTTTAAGGGATGGTCATGAAGATTAGGATTAGCAGGTACAGAGTAAGTCTTAGTGAATGGGTGCTACCAGCGCTATTGTCCTTGTTATGTGTGTCACTTTTTTTTGATATTGATCAAAGCAATTATTTTCCCTTTTTCACTAACAATAGTCACATTCTAAATGTAAAGTTTTTATTTGATTTTAATTTTCTACTGAATCTTAATGGTACATGAGAGTCACCTCAGCATGAAATTTTAGAGTCAGTCTTTCTTATTCTTTTGGCATAAGGATTTCTCTGGAGAGTCCTTTGGTAATTATGCCAGAGGAAAAAAATCTACAAATGATTCCTTTTCTACCTATCTCTATTGTCTTGTATCTGTCTGAGGTAGGGGCTTCTGAAGTAATTAGGCCACTGGGATGCTGTCCCTTGCTCTTGCCTGGAAGTAATCATGCTTTTTACCTGTGCATTCCTTAGAGAAGCTGTCGTGGAGTAACAAATACGGAGCCCCTACCTCACTGGCAGAGCTGACTTCAAGCTTCAAGGGATAGATTTTTAGACAACCACGTTTGGCCCTCTTGTGAGAAAATGTATTTATTGTGTAGATAGGTTGGGCTTTCATCAAGTTGTGCTGTAAAAGATTTTAGTTTAAGTTATGATAATCCCTTCCAAAACTGTGTAGTAGTAAATGTCTCTTACATATTGAGCGAAACTTTTTATTGTCATAGTGTCAAGCAATTAACAATGTCACATTTTTTCAAGTAATGATTCTAGTAATGTTGTGAATGAACTTACCATTTTATAAATAAGAAACATTGCCATACAGTGAGTTGAGGGAGAAAAAGCTGCATAGTGAAGCTCTACAAAAAAGGATAGTTACCACATATTTTTAAGTTGCTTTACTGAAGTTCCTGGGGAAAAGGCAAGTTACCACCAACTGTGATTTCTTAAGTATATCATTATGAATTAATCTATGATGCCACCTTAGTCCTTAATAAGTTAGGCGAGAATAAAAAATAATCAACATCATTTTAGCTCGAATATCATCCATGGCAAGTCATTCTTCATGAAAGTTCTGCCAGAAGTGGTTGCAGGAGGGTACTCTTCAAAGTCAATGACAAGAAAAGATGGTTTCACAACTTTAAGCCATATATATCCTTCAAGGCTTAATTGTCTTTTTGGCCATGAAGTCATCCTGGTATCTTCTACCTGTTCATGCTTCTTACTTACTGATATCTAGTGGCACTGGATTTCTTCACTGTGGTAGTCACTGGTGGACAGGCCTTGCCAGTCTTGCCTGCCTTTGTTTCTTGAGAATATGTCTATCCCCACAGCATGGAGCCTGCTGTCGTTGCAGGTTTCCAAAAACCATGTATAGAATCATACACTTTTATGACTTAAATCTTCATATTTCAAAAAAGGAAACAAATATTTCTTTGTTCTCCCTATCCTCACCATGAGAGGAAAAAAGTTCAAGACAGCTAAATATAATATTGTGAAGTTCTAAATGACTAGATTCTTCATGACACAGTAAAATTCTACTCTCTTTGCTTAAAAAGATTAAAAAACCTGAACTGTGGTGTAGGGAGGAGGTGGGAAGGGTGGTTTAAGAAAATTAGAGGTGTGAGGACTCAGTTAAAATAAATACTATGTGCTCCCAGAAGCATCCTTTTAATTATTGACTACAATGAAACTTTGTACTGCAATAATATAAAATTTAAAAGACCAGAATTTGCCTAGTGTGTGTCACAGATATTCATGTTATTTCTAAAGCAGTTAGAAGCATAAGAACTATGAAAACAATGAAGTCCAGGAGGTTAAATAACAGATTGGTATCTAAAGGTGAAGATTCCAGATTCAGTTTTACAACTGAATTATTCTGACTTCTAGAAACTAAGCATCTTTTTAATCTCTTTCCCCTCTGCCAACCTTTGAATTATAAACTCTCTATATGTTTTAAAACACATGTCCTTTGTCAAGCATGGAAATAAAAAGTGCTTCAAAATCTTCAGAAAAAAATGTGAAGGAGATTAATAGAATCGATATTTCTTTTTGTGTTCCTATTGAGCCAACAATTTCTCTTTAGGACTCATTCTATGAAAATGTCATGGAAATCTTGAAATAAGATATCTTCAAATGAATATTTAAGCTGTTTGTCAAAAGAAACTAGTAGACAAGTTCTACTTCACACTCAGCTGACATTCCCACGTCTGCTGACTCTTCCAGGTGTGTGAGGGTCAGGGGGTTGAACTGGACTCGTCCATCATCAGTGCTGCTGACTTGGATGTTCCCAAGGACCCCTTACTGTTTATTGTCACTCAGAAACCACGACATGGCCTCCTCATCAACTGGGCATTCAGCAAAGACTCTCCATCAAATAGGCAGCCAGCCAACCCTGACCCAAAACATGAACTTGTTCACAGCTTCTCCATGGAACTTCTCAAGACTGGTATATCATGTTCCACTTCTATTCATTTATTGTGGCTGATTTAATAACTTAGGTCATACTCATATGTGCGCTCTAAGAAAGTTGAGCTCTTTAAAACAGAGAGGTGAGTGTAATAGAAAGGTGGTGGTCAAAAGTCCAAAATTTTATTGAAACAGGGAAGAAATTCAAGACATCTATTGTACCTCATGGGACTATAGTTAATAACAATATGTTATATACTTGAAAATTGCTAAGAGAGTAGATTTTAATTACTCTCCCTATAAAAAATGATAAATATCTGAAGTAATGCATGTGTAATTTAGTTTGATTTTATCACTATTGTATTCCATAAATACATATAATTTTCATCAATTTAAAATAAACTTAAAAAATAATTTAACCCAGAAAAGATAATAATAAGTCACAGAAATGGAAGGTGAATATAGCATTACCTACTTTATTTATTTATATCTTGAGGGTTACTTCTGGATTAATGTAGGGCATAAAACCCCAGTTAGAAATAGTAGAAAACTGAAAAAGACAGTAACATGTTTCTTTCACTTTTAGAGTACCATTAAAAATGATATTTATGATTTTTCGGTATTTTACCACAAACTTTTCATGTCATAATAAAAAAATTCCTTTTTCAATCTATTGAGATCATGGGACTACATTTTAAGAGATTTGTCTGCCAAAGTTAAAACAAATATAGAACCACATACAATAACGACTCATTAGTCTCTGAGGAGATAATTTGCTCCTTAGGGAAATGACACATGGCAATAGCAGCCTGAATGATATTTTAATTACTCCTTTTTTTTTTAAACTGATCATCCCACTTTCCACATACAAAATAACTTTCAAAGACTTGAGCAAAGTGTGCAGTTCTAGAATTACTCGCTACACACAATCTCTTGTTTTCTCAGCTTGGAAGGTCCATCCCAGCCTTGGGCAAGCCACCATGGCACCAACATGCAATTCTCTGGCCCCTCCACCCCCAAAACTCATCCATACTCTCCAAACCCTTTCCTCTCTTGTCTGCTGGTCTTAGCACTTGTTGGACAAGTACTAGAGTGAAGGCTTTCTGTTCCAAAGATTATTTTGTCAGAGTCACATAATGCCATTCAGTGTTTGAATTTGAAAAGTGAATGCATTGAGTTCTCATTTTTTATCTACTGAAAAGAAAGAAATTCTGGAGCTTAAAGGATGATATGACCAAATCAATCACCAGGTGCTACAAATAAACAGAGTGTATTGTTATAAATAATGCTTTTATTTCAAGTTTAAGATGAATGAAAGAAATAATAATACTTCAAATTTTACTCTCAAGAAAGTCAGGGTTATTTTTTGTTGTTGTTTTTTTAATTCTGAGGGCATGCTTATAATTCTAACATTTGGGAGGCTACAGCCTACGGATTGTGAGTTCAAGGCCAGTCTGGGCTATGTAGTGAGACCCTATCTCAAAACAAAATACACATATCAGAAAAGAAAGTCACTTAAAAAAATGTTACTGCTGATTATTAAATTAAATATTACATATTCATTGTGTGAAGTTTGGACTACATATCCATTTTGAAGAAAAACATAAAAATTATTCACATAAATATTTTGGTGATATTGCTAGAGATTAGATTTTACCTTTATTTTAATTTTGGCTCATTTATGGCTATACTAAAAAGGGGAAAAAAAACAACTTTAGTGTATTCTCACAAACATCCCCCCCAAACATACAAAACTGCTATCATATTATGTAACCTGTTCTTCCTTGTGAATTATTATAACCTTATAATTACTTTATTACATTTTAAATATTAATGGAAAGACAGTTTTTGATCACTACAGCATTTCATTATATAGATGTACTATACTATAATTTCACACATCTATCTCCTATTTTAGAATATCTTGATAGTCTTCCATTTCTTTTTTTTTTATTTTATTTTATTATTCATATGTGCATACAAGGCTTGGGTCATTTCTCCCCCTGCCCCCACACCCTGCCTTACCACCCACTCTGCCCTCTCCCTCTCCCCCCCCCCTCAATACCCAGCAGAAACTATTTTGCCCTTATTTCTAATTTTGTTGTAGAGAGAGTATAAGCAATAATAGGAAGGAACAAGGGTTTTTGCTGGTTGAGATAAGGATAGCTATACAGGGCATTGACTCACATTGATTTCCTGTGCGTGTGGTTACCTTCTAGGTTAATTCTTTTTGATCTAACCTTTTCTCTAGTTCCTGGTCCCCTTTTCCTATTGGCCTCAGTTGCTTTTAAGGTATCTGCTTTAGTTTCTCTGCGTTAAGGGCAACAAATGCTAGCTAGTTTTTTAGGTGTCTTACCTATCCTCACCCCTCCTTGTGTGCTCTCGCTTTTATCATGTGCTCAAGTCCAATCCCCTTGTTGTGTTTGCCCTTGATCTAATGTCCACATATGAGGGAGAACATACGATTTTTGGTCTTTTGGGCCAGGCTAACCTCACTCAGAATGATGTTCTCCAATTCCATCCATTTACCAGCGAATGATAACATTTCGTTCTTCTTCATGGCTGCATAAAATTCCATTGTGTATAGATACCACATTTTCTTAATCCATTCGTCAGTGGTGGGGCATCTTGGCTGTTTCCATAACTTGGCTATTGTGAATAGTGCCAATAAACATGGGTGTGCAGGTGCCTCTGGAGTAACCTGTGTCACAGTCTTTTGGGTATATCCCCAAGAGTGGTATTGCTGGATCAAATGGTAGATCATGTCTAGCTTTTTAAGTAGCCTCCAAATTTTTTTCCAGAGTGGTTGTACTAGTTACATTCCCACCAACAGTGTAAGAGGGTTCCTTTTTCCCGCATCCTCGCCAACACCTGTTGTTGGTGGTGTTGCTGATGATGGCTATTCTAACAGGGGTGAGGTGGAATCTTAGTGTGGTTTTAATTTGCATTTCCTTTATTGCTAGAGATGGTGAGCATTTTTTCATGTGTTTTTGGCCATTTGAATTTCTTCTTTTGAGAAAGTTCTGTTTAGTTCACTTGCCCATTTCTTTATTGGTTCATTAGTTTTGGGAGAATTTAGTTTTTTAAGTTCCCTATATATTCTGGTTATCAGTCCTTTGTCTGATGTATAGTTGGCAAATATTTTCTCCCACTCTGTGGGTGTTCTCTTCAGTTTAGAGACCATTTCTTTTGATGAACAGAAGCTTTTTAGTTTTATGAGGTCCCATTTATCTATGCTATCTCTTAGTTGCTGTGCTGCTGGGGTTTCATTGAGAAAGTTCTTACCTATACCTACTAACTCCAGAGTATTTCCTACTCTTTCCTGTATCAACTTAGAGTTTGGGTCTGATATTAAGATCCTTTGATCCATTTGAGTTAATCTGATATAGGGTGATAAACATGGGATCTAGTTTCAGTTTTTTTTTGCAAGACATGCCCTAACCAGGTTCCCGCCAGTTTTTGATTGAAGAGGGCTTTGCTATTCTCCATCGTCGTATATTTTTAGCTCCTTTGCAAGAGACAAGTTGATTATAGTTTGTTTGTTCATATCTGGGTCTTCTCTTCTGTTCCACTGGGTCTTACATGTCTGTTTTTGTTGCCAGGTACCATGCTGTTTTTATTGTTAATTTGCTTATGTAACTAAGATTTGAAGTCAGGTATTGTGAATTACCCTCCCGCATTGTTCTTTTGACTGAGGGTTAATTGCCTTGGCATTGTGGCCTCTTTGTGTTTTCCATATAAATTCCATGGTTAGATTTTCGATCTCTTTAAGAATGTCATTGGAAGTTTGATGGGATTTGCATTAAACATGTAGATTGCTTGTTGGTAGTACAAGCCATATTTACATATGTTGATTCTACCAAATCCATGAGCATGGGGGAGATCTTCTCCACTTTTCTTAGTCTTCCTGCAATCTCTTTCTTCAGAAGTATAATAGTTTTTCCTTGTAGATGTCTTTTCACATCTTTTGTTAGGTTTACACCTAGGTAATTTGATTTTTTTTTGCGGCTATTTGTAAATGGAAAAGTTGTTTTCATACATTCTTTTCAGTTTGCTCATTGTTAGTGTATAGAAAAAGCTAATTGATTTTTATGTTGATTTTATATCCTGCACCTTGCTATAGCTATTGAATGATTGTCTAGGAGCTATACTGAGTAGAGTTTTTTGGGGTCTTTTAAGGTATAGGATCACTGGTCGTCTGAATAGGGATATTTTGAACAGTTTCTTTGCCTATTTGTTATTCCTTTTATTCCTTCTCTTCTTTGCCTAATTGCCTGGCTAGGAATGTCCGCATACTACTGTTTGAATAGAGTGGAGATTTAGTGGCATCTTGTCTGGTTCCTGTTTTTTAGAGGGAATGGTTTCAGATTTTTTTCTCCCATTAAGTATAATGCTGGCTGTTAGGTTTGTTCATATATAGCTTTTATAATGTTGAGGAACTTTCCTTCTATTCCTAGTTTTCTTAAGAGCTTTTATCATGAAATGATGTTGGATCTTATCAAAGGCTTTTTCTGCATCTATTGAGCATGATCAAGTGGTTTTTGTCTTTGGCTTCTGTTTAATGTGGTTTATTACGTTTATTGATGTTTCGTATGCTGAACCAACCCCGCATCCACTTGATGAAGGCCTACTTGGTCGTGGTGAATAATCTTTTTGATGTGTTGTTTGAATTCGGTTTGCCATTATTTGGTTGAGGATTTTTGCGTCAATGTTCATTAAGAGAGATTGGCCTACTAGTTCTCCTTTTTGGAGTGTCTGTTGCCTGGTTTTGGGATAAGTTGTATACGGTGCTTCATAAAATATGTTTGGCAGTTTTCCTTCCCTTTCTATTTCGTGGAACAGTTTTAAAGAGGGTTGGTATCAGTTCTTCTTTAAAGGTCTGATAGAATTCAGCAGAGAATCCATCAGCGTCCTGGACTTTCTTTTTGGGGAGACTCTTGATTGCTGCTTCAATTTCGTTTTGTATTATAGATCTACTTCAGGTGATAATTTCCTCTTGGTTCAGTTTGGATGTCGTATGTATCTAGAAATCTGTCCATTTCTTTAAGATTTTCAAATTTATTTGAATATAGGTTCTCAAAGTATCTCTGATGATTTCCTGGGACTTCCCATGTGTTTGTTGTTATCTCCCCTTTTGCATTCCTGATTCTTACTAATTTGGGTTTTTTCTCTTCCTCGTGTTTAGGTCAGGTTTGCCAGGGGTCTATCGATCTTGTTTATTTTTTTTCAAAAGAACCAATTTTTTGTTTCATTAATCTTTGTATGGTTTTTTTGGTTTCTATTTCGTTTGATTTCAGCTCTTATTTTATTATTTCTCTCCTTTTGTTTTGGATTTGCTGTTCTTGTTTTTTCTAGGAGTTTGAGATGTATCATTAGGTCATTGATTTGGGATCTTTCAGTCTTTTTAATATATGCACTCATGGCTATAAACTTTCCTCTCAGTAACTGCCTTTAGCTGTGACCCATAGGTTCCGTTAGGCTTGTTTTCATTTCATTTTCAATTGACTTCCAGGAACTTTTTAATTTCCTCTTTTATTGCATCGATGATCATTCTTCATTAAGTAATGAGTTATTTAGTTTCCAGCTGTTTGCATTGTTTTTTGTCTTACTTTTGTTGTTGAGTTCTTTACTTTTTACTGCATTGTGATCAGATAGTATGCATATGGTATAATTTCTGTTTTCTTATATTTGCGTAGACTTGCTTTGTTGCCCAGGATATGATCTATTTTGGAGAAGGTTCCACATGGGCTGCTGAGAAGAATGTATATTGTGTAGAAGTGGATGAAATGTTCTGTAGACATCAACTAGGTCCATTTGATCTATTGCATGTTTTTTTAGATCTTGGATTTCTTTATTGATTTTTGTTTGGATGACCTATCTTATTGATGATAATGGGTGTTTAAAGTGCCCACAACCACTGTGTTGGCTGTTTATATATCGCTTTTAGTTTTTTTCAGGGTATTGTTTGATGAAATTGGGTGCGTTGACATTGGGTGCCAATACAGTGTTGATAATATTTCCTTTTTGTCTATTTCCCTTCTATGAGTATGGAATGTCCTTTCTTTATCTTCATTTGGATCAATGTAGGTTTTGAAGTCTACTTATGTCAGAGATAGTAATTGGTACTCCTGCCTGTTTTTGGGGGCATTGCTTGGTAAAAGGCTGTCTCCAGCCTTTCATCCTAAGCCTATGCTTATTTCTATTGGTGAGATGGGTCTCCTGTAAGCAACAAATTGTTGGATCTTCCTTTTAGTCTTCCATTTCTTGGTATTAAAAATCACAAGCCAATAAACATTTCTAAAATTTTTACACATCTATTCATATGTGCGTACATTGTTTGGGCCATCTCTCTCCCTGCCCCCCCCGACTGCCTCCCCATTCCCCCCAGCCCCCCTTGCTTCCAGGCAGAACCTGTTACACCCTCTTCTCCAATTTTGTTGAAGAGAAAACATAAGAGATAATAAGAAAGACATAGCATTTTTGCTAGCTTGAGATACAGATAGCTATAAAGAGACTCCTAGCATTGCCTCCATGCACATGTGTATTACAACCGGAATTGATTCATCTCTACCAGACCTCTTCACTATTTCCCAGTCACCTTCTCATAGTGGCCTCTGTCACTTTAAGATTACTTTATTCACTCCTCTACAGTGGGCACATCAAACACTTTCAAGTTTTAGGTTTCTTTCCCTTTCCCTATTCCTCCTGTGCATGTTCTCCCCTTAGTGTGTGACCCACGTCCAATAATATTACTGCATTTGTTTTGGGTCTGTAATCTGCATATGAGGGAGAACATGTGTTTTTTGGCCTTTTGAGCCTGGCTAACTTCGCTTAATGTGATGTTCTCTAGTTCCATCCATTTACCTGCAAATGACAAGATTTCATTCTTCTTTGTGGCTAAAATTCCATTGTGTGTAAATACATTTTCTTGATTCATTCATCAGTAGTGGGGCATCTTGGCTAGTTCCATAAGTTGGCTATTATGAATAACGCTGCAATAAACATGGGTGAGCAGCTACCTCTGGAGTAACCTGAGTCGCCTTCCTTTGTGTATATCCCCAAGAGTGGGATTGCTGGATCATATGGTAGATCTGTTTAGTTTTTTAAGAAGCCTCCATATTGTTTTCCAAAGTGGTTGTACTAGCTTACATTCCCACTAGTAGTGTATGAGGGTTCCTTTTTTCTCTGTATCCTCGCCAATATTTGTTGGTGGTGGTCCAAATAAACATTTTATATAAATCTTGGTGCACATCTTTTAGTAATTCTATTGCTATTAGTATTTCTATTACTAATAGTTACTAAATGATTAGGAGAGATTTGTAGCTTTGTAGTAAGGGTTTTGTGTGTGTGTGTGGTACTGGGTTTAAACTCAAGGCACTCTACCCCTTGAGCCATGCTCCAGTTATTTTTCAGGTAGGGGCTCATCAGGTTTTGCCTGGGGCCAGTCTCATACCATAATCCTCCTATCTGTGCTTCCCATGAAACTGGTTCTATAGACATGTGCTACCATGCATTGCTCCCATAGTAAGTTTTGAAAATAGGAAATGTAGGTTTTCAACTTGGTTCTTCTTTTTCAAGACTGTTTGACTTCCTGAGTGTCTTGCATTTTCATATGCATATTATGAAACATATGCATATATAGGTAAGTTTTTTAAACAGTTAACTATACTTTTTATATTTAAGTTTTGATCTACTTAGAATTTATTTTGGTGATTTGCTCAAGGTGATTCTCTCATTTTTTCAGTTTCACTTAAACACTTTGACACCTTTGTTTTTATACAGTTTACTTAGTTTATCTTTTTCTTACTGATTTGAAACTGAGCCCTACCAAATACTAACTTGTTTAAGTAGAGTGTCCTTACTGGGTTTTGAAGGGTGTCCTTTACTTTACACGACAGGCTGCATTTCACCCTACTGCACCATTAATGAGCTCTTCCTAATCCCAATGCCTTAGGAATTGCACCAAATCTCCTGTGGCATGTGTTGGGATGGTTCAGTCTCTTCCTTTCTCTCTTTTCTCTCTTTTCCAGGAATGAGGCTGACATATGTGCATGATGACTCCGAGAGCCGAACTGATGACTTTACAATCCAGTTGTCAGATGGGAAACACAAGATTCTTCAAACCATTTCAGTAGAGGTCACCCCAGTCAATGATGAGAAACCAAAGCTAAGCAAGTAAGCCACCTGAAGAGTCTCTTTCAGATTTCTACTATGAAATACTCATGTGAAGGGAGTTTGTTCCCCTCAGAAGCAAGTCACTGCTCCTGTCTACACAACCTGCCCTGCTCACTCAGGCACCTGCAACCTTTACTGTGATGCTAGTGAACATAACACTAACACTTTAATTATTGGGTTTTTTTCCTAAAAGTTCTAATTAAATATGGAATACATGAATAAATAAACATAGAATGCATATTCTACTAAGTATTTAAACACATTTTGTTAGTTTTATTGTCCCTGTGACTAAATACCTGGGACAAACAACGTAAGGGACAAGGGATTGAACTCAGAGCCTTGCACTTGCAAGGCAGGCACTCTACTACTTGAGCCAAGCCACCAGCTCTCTTTGCATTGGTTATTTTTGAGACAGAATCTTGCTTTATGCTCAGGCTGTCCTGGATTGTAATCCTCCTATTTGTGCTTTCCCGAGTAGCTGGGATGTCAGGTGTGTACTACCACACCCAGCCATTGTTTGGGTTGGCCTTGAATCTCTTTCATCGTGATCTTCACCTCCCAAATAGCTAAGATTATAGGCATGAGTCACCAAGCTCAACCTTTGAAAGATTTATTTGGGCTCATGGTTTCAGAGGTTTCAGTTCATCTTGGTGGGGAGGGTATGGCAGAGCAGTTTGTATACCATGGCCAGGGAGAGCTGATAGAGAGAGAAAGAGAAAGGGGAGGGGAACAGAGAGAGGAGAGAAGAGGAGAGAGGAGAAGAAGAGAAGAGAGGAGAGGAGAGGAGAGGGAGTGCTTGCAGGGTTTTTCTTCTTTAACCCTTTTCCATCTGCAATCCCAGCCTATGGGATTGTGTTGCCCATATTCAATGTGGGCTCCCCTCCTAGTTAATCTTCTTTGGAAACACACACCCAGAATCTGCTTTTATAATCTTATAGGTGCTCATCAATCTAGTCAAGTTGACAATCAAGATTAACCATCACAGACTTGCATGCACTCACCAAAATGCAATTAGTATTAAATTCAGCTGAAGAATGAGAACATGAACTGCAGACAGTCCTAACTATTAAAATTGCTCTCTTAACAGTGACCCTTTGGCTTTCCCGCCAAATCTCCTCACCTTACTAGACCCTGACAGACCGTCTGATACCCTTTCTTTCATGGTCTTTCTCCATGCTACGAAGATGTTCTTTTGTTCCCTGATCACAGCCTCTCAGCCCACCTCTTGTTGGTGGTGATGGAGGAAGGCGTACTGTCTTAGATGCCCACAGTACTTCACTCCACTTTCCTGCCTCAGGGCCCTCTCTGAGCTGCAGTGGCTCATTCAGCCTAAATCCAGGCACAGTGGAGAACAATGTAGTAGCAGCCCTTAACCTTGTGGGCTGGTGGATAAGATAAATGTCACAGCTTCCTGTCTTCCAGACTTAAAATCTGAGTCACATCCTACATGGTTCCTCAAAGGCTCCCCAGCATTTGGTCTTGATGTCATATGCCTGTTACCTGGAAGGCTGAGGCCAAGAGCATCTCATAAGCCAGGGACAGCCTAGGCAATGTAGGTAAATCCTGTCTTGTCTTTTAAAAAATAACAAAAGGGGTTGGGGGTGTGGCTCAAGCATTAGAGTACCTGCCTACCAAGTGCGGAGCCCTGAGTTCAAACCCTACTGCCTCCAGAAAATAATAAAGAACAAATAAATAAATAGATAAATAAATAAACCCCAATAGGACTGAGCTCCAACTGCCACAGCAATTAGAAGATGCTTTGTCACCTTTCTTCTTTCCCTTCTTTCCTGGAATCACTTTCTAAATAAATTACCTGTACCACATTCCCTGTTCCAAGGTCCCTTTTGGGGTAACCAAGATTAGGATACTCTTGTCTTCTCTGGCATTCAATTCTGACACTTTCTTCCTACCAAACTCCTCATCTTTTGTCAGGGATTTTCAGTGCCACGGGTGGGTAAAAGAATTTCCCAAGATAGCAAGTAAGAGGAGCAAGAAGTTATTAGAACACAGTGAAGCCATGGGCAGCTGAGCACAGGGGGTGTAGCTGCTTCTTGGATATGAGGGTTGGGGTGAGGTTATTTATACAAAGTGAAACAAAGGTGCCCTTTCAATAGGAGGGTGGGCAGACTCAAGAAGGAGCAGTGTGTTGGAGGTCCCAAGACTTAAGCTTTTACTAGGGTCCATAGAGATGGGAGTGGTCAGTCCTGGAAAACTGGATTATGTGTCATTAACTCTCAAGAGACTGGGCTACATGTCATCAACTCCTCCCACTTGTCCTGCACGGAAAATTTTTGGCCTTGGATGGTCAGACTAGGGTTGTTATTTCCTGTGGGCTCCAGGAGCTGCAAGTCAGCAAGACCTTGCTGTATGTCACAAGCCATGCTGTTAATGTCAACAATCTAGGATGTGGTTTCTAATCAACATCCAAGCTGTGGTTCTCAGCCATCAGCTTTCCTAAACTCCCTGCTTAGTCCTCTTCTACATTATAGTGGCATATCATTTTGATTAATCTGGTTTTTTCTTCCTATAAATGGCACCCCTGATCTCCAGTCCCAGCCAACAGGCTCTTCATCCTTCTAGAATACTGGGATTAAATATTCTCAGTATAGAGACAGGTGAAAGTCTCCTATTGGCATGGAGATATCAGTCCTGGATGGGCAAGAAACCCTCCCTGATAAGAGAGGATGGAACTGAGGTGTTTGGGCTTGGCTTCTCAGTGGAGGACTTAAGACTGCTGATGCTCATTGGTGATTCTCAGTGTTCTTGACCTGAATCCCAAGGTCTCGGCTATCCCAATATTTCTCAGAAACAAAGCTGTCAGTGTGAACAAGAGTAGGCATGCATGATGAGATCAGACGAGAGCTAGAAACACTGGTAGCAAGAGAACACTTCCTCTGTTGGGTGACACCAGGGATGTCGGCCATATTGGCAGTAAAAGCAAAAGCATCCATCCACAGTAGAAGCAGCAGCTGCTCCCTGCCCTGGTCTCTCTCTGTGCCAGTCTGCTGTTCAAGATGTCAGGAGTTAGCTTGCTGGCTCCAGCACAGAAAGGTAAATAGCTGTGAGAACATAGCACCAGAAGATTACCAAGAGAGGAAGTCATTGAGAGGGTCACAGGTAACCGAAATACCCAAACTCAGAAGGGTGTGTCGTGAAGGGTACTGGAACACTGTCTAAGTCATTTCATCTCTATCAGTAAGTTCTCTTTGTAAAATTAGAACTGTAGTACCTGGATCTGTTGTTGTGTCAAATGAAATACTGGCAACAAAATCATTTTATAAACTGATTTTTAATTCACAAAATTGTAAAGTTGAACACATATAAGCAATTAGAAATATTTAATTACATGGTATCCTATTCATTGTTTCTGTCTCATTGTCTTTTGAAACTTGCACCTGTCCAACAGAATGGTCCCCTATTTCATGTGTCTAACCAACCATTTTTCAGTACTTTGGATATTGAATATTATTCCTTACTTGTGAAGAGTGGGAACTGTAAGCAACCCTTCCTTTTTGATAGCAACCCAGTCTTTCGTTTTCCTTTCTTGCAGGAAGGCTGAAATTATCATGAGTATGGGTGATACCCGGATTCTGTCCAGTGCTGTTCTTTCAGCCACAGATAAAGACTCACCCAGGGACAAGATTTACTATTTATTTGAAAGGTTTCCCCAAAATGGGCAACTTCAGCTTAAGGTTGGTGGCCTTTTTACCTTTATTTTTCAAAACAAATGTAGCAGGTCTACATTTTCTCAACATACATATTTCTACAATTGAATTTATTCTCTAATAGCCATATTACTTCCCAGAAGCAGAAAATTTAATTTGTCTACACCAGGTTAAACTCACACCCTTCTACATTTTCTTAGTTATCTCTGGGTAAATTTAGCCAATATTAAGTTTCTTCATTGCTCCCTTCTCCAGAGGATCACCCCTGAACTCTGAGGGATGGAGTTACCAGGGTAAAGCATGCTGGGGTCTCTGGAGAGAACCAACATCTTTTGAGACACCTTCATTCTCACCATGTTTTTTACAGATGATCCTCTTTCCTCATCATTCCAATCATAAAACTCCATTAAGGTCTACTAGCAGTCTCTCTCTTTCTCTGTGTGTGATATGTGTCTTGTCTCTGTGTGTGTCTGCCTCTGTCTCTGTCTCTCTTTCATTCTCTCTCTATTTATGTCTATGTCTCTCTGCTTCTCTCTGGGTGTCTGCTCCTCTGTGTGTCTCTTCCTGTCTCTCTGTCTGTGTCTCTATCTCTCTCTCCCTCCCTTTTTCTCTTTGTGTCTGTATGTCTCTCTGTGTGTCTGCTTCTGCCTCTCTCGTCTCTGTTTCTCTCTCTCTTTCTTCCTTCTCTTCCTTTCTCTGCCAGGTTCTAAACCATTCTCAAAAACATGAGTAATTATTACATTTCTATGACAGTGGGGCCTAGGAAAATTGGAAGCTCCCTCCAGCTCCTTCTGCCCTAATCCCTAAGCAAGGATGATCTCTGTCTGCTTGGCTTTGACACCACAGTGCAGGGATCTGGGGGCAGCAGCTAAGGGCATAGGCTCCTCTCCCCTTTAGACACCAAACCTGATCTGAGTATTAACCCCTCCTGCCTTCTCAATGGCTCTCAGCAGGGAGCAGCTTTCTTCATTCTTTCCCAGTTCTCATCTTCTCTGGGAGTAGGGACAATCTCTATCTCTTCTCTAGGGAAACAGCTCACTCAGCAAACACAGTGCACAGACTTAAAACCTGAAAGTCTTGAACCAAAAAGTACACTGTGGAGTGGGGCAGGGGGGCTTTATGTGGCGGTCATCCCACCCCACTTTTAGCAACTGCATGACACAATAAATTAACATTCCTGGATTTGTGTATGTTCTGCAAACAACTTAAAAGTGAATAAGCATGGAAACCTTGTACTGTATACCCCCATATCCTAGGTGTTCAGTCACCTGGTTTCTACTGCTAACCCTTCCAACAGCTTGTTTGTGGTCTCATCATTGCCTCTGGCTTCACTTCAGTCCTAGATTCACACTGTGTGCATGATGCTTAAGGATTAGCCCAACATGAATTATAGATCAGTCACTTGAGTAATCACCCAAAATGTTTATTTGGATGGTGGATTAAGACTAGCAATGACCACTTACCATCCCCAGTGTGATTATTTGACTGAATGCTTAACTCTACATCTAACATAGGCACAGGCCTAGAAAAGCAGTGAGGATCCATTCTGTGTGGAACAGCTTGGCTCTCTTAGATTGTGGGCACCATAGAGAATGAGAGTGAAGAGCCATCACTGATTTAAATTGAGGTACAGCTGTGTCCTTATTTCATTTCAAAGAGTAATGAAGCAGAAATGCAGTGAAAGCTCACACATTTAGGTGGCTTGGGAACTGAACTGTTTTGGATGTGGGAAAAGCCAGATGGGCCCAGGTTCCCAGTGGGGCTGACACCATTCTCTTGCACCTCCCTTGGGACTCTGTAAGAGGAAGGACTGGGACTCCAGGCCTCCTGGACACTTTCAAGGGTTCTCGTTTTCTTCTTGGCTTTCCTTGGGTTTTCTTATTTTGAGACAGATTCTTATTCATCTTTCTGGTCTTCAGATGATTCTGTCAAGTCAATCTCACATTTGGGGGTGTGAGTGAGGAATTAGATGGAGATAAGACAGAGCAAAAGATGTCTTCTATATTTATTTTCTTGGACAAGATTTCAAAGAGGAAATGTTCAATAGAATTGCAGGCTGTCTAGTTTAAAATTTCAAAGAGAATCTGCTTAAAAATTTCTTTTGCAAATAGATCTCATGATGGAAACAAACACTGAGTTTGTGTTATAATATAATTATAATTGTGTTACAATAGATTAATTTTCACCTGGTGAGCCCTCGGGCAGAACATACGTCTGTGAGTATCATATGGACAAAACTATTAAAGAGGAAGAAATTTTATCAAGTGATAACACAATAGGAAGAGAAGACAAAACTCTTTTCACAGCAACTGGGAGTCTGTGGGATAATCAAAGGAAATCAAAAACCAATGATTTAAACTCCTGTTTTAGTCTGTTAAGCCAGACAGGAAAAATGCAATGTAATTTCAGGTTGTGATATGTTAAAAGTGACATTTTCCTTGCATCATATCAAGCTATTTTTCATGAGCTATTCTTAGAGAAAGCTATATGTATATCGTAAGAGACTAGAAATAAGAATGTTGATAAGATATAGATTTGTTATTTCTCTTCTAATACTCTCAGTTAACCAAGGTTGCCAACATAGGACTTCTTTTTATTAAAAATGCCTTAGTTACTATATCAATCTCTGTGCAGAATATTTGCTTAACTAATGTTGGCTGGTTTGTGGAAGATTCAGATAAAAATAGTATATGATTTTGCAGTTTATATGTTTATGCTGACTTAGGATGTAAATGTATGGATGAAGAGGGCTCCTCATCATTTTCTTTAGGCTTTAGTAAGGATGGAAAATAGGTGGGGAATAAATGGATTCATTCTAATTTTGTTTTATTAGATATGCCTGGTAATGAACCACTTTGGAAAAAATAGGTCTGATTAGTTGTACAATGATATGAAATTTAAAATAAAAAGGAAACTCTGAAAGAAACACATGTAATTTCTAAAGAACCCATTCCAGCAGCTCAATTTCCCACCTGCTCTCATTAATTGGAATATTTAATCAGCCATGATTACTTATGATAGCTATCTTGGAAGTATCAGTGCTGTTGAACTGCTGTATGACTTTGTCAAAAAAATCTTGGTTGAAGCTATTTTTTCCCCAAGGTCTTAAATTATTTTAATATATTCCTTTGAAAAGAAAAAGAAAGATAAGATAACATTACAAAAAGTAGCCTTGAATTTCCTTGAAATATCATTTATATTGGACTTTTCAGGGGATATAGAAAATACTCACTAATACAGTAGGGGGTGTTGATGGGCCTTGGGCAGCTGACTGATTCTGGCACCTTTCAGATAGGGAGGGATTGGGTCCCTCTCTCATCTGGTATGAAATGCACTCAGGAGGATGTGGATCTGAACTTACTGAGATACACACACACCGGGGCAATGGATTCCCAGAATCGAGATAGCTTCACCTTCTACCTCTGGGATGGGGACAACAGATCACCCGCGTTCGACTGTCACATCATCATCAAGGACATGGGAAAAGGTAATAGCATGTCTGCCAGTGTTCATTGGAATCAACTTTTATAACTGGAAGTGAGCTCTTGTAAGTACTCAACATCTGTTTCTTTATCCTTCCTTTCCTCCCTTCTTGCCTTTCCTCCATTGTCCATCTGTGAAATTCCACCATTTATGGTTCAATTCTTGGACTCCTCACCTGTTCCTCTTGGGATCTGTGAGGTTTCTACTTCCTGTTAGCAATCCAGCCCTGCCCACAATATGGCTACCTGCGCTACTTTAATGGTTAGGGGTCTTTTTTGTTTTAAGTAAAATTTTACCGAAGTGATGTGAACTCTAGTTTTATCTTCAGTAAGTGAACTATTATTTGAAAACAGAGTTTCACAGCAAAAATATTTCCAATACAAAAATAATAAAGGAATGGAAATGTATTTTTACTTGATTTTAGTTTTTGGCAGTACTGCGGTTTGAATTCAGGGTTTCATGCTTGTTAGGCAGGTGTTCTATTGCTTGAACCATGCCTTCAGCTCTATAAATGTATCTTTAAATTAAAAGAAATAACAAAAAGGAGCTTTTTCATTGAAAAGTTCGGAAGCTGTTGCTCTTTTCACTTGCTAATACCCTCTTTAGGCATAAGGAAAAACATTATAAGATAATGAGTTTTCTTTAACACATTAAGCAGAACCGGGCAGCTTATAAATGATGAATGAAGAAAAGTTTCTAAAAAAAAAGCTTAGCAAGGGAGAGTGTATGCAAGCCATTGAAGCTCAATGGCTTCACCTTGTGTGAGGACAGCAAGAATCCCACCAGCATCATCTTAGATCTTCAGTATGTGTTTCACTGAGATCCTTCCTTCCATCCTTCCTTCCCTCCCTCCCTCCTTTCCTCCTTCCCTCCCTCCCTCCCTCCTTTCCTCCCTCCCTCCTTTCCTCCTTCCCTCCCTCCCTCCCTCCTTTCCTCCCTCCCTCCTTTCCTCCTTCCTTCCCTCCTTCCTTCCTTCCTTTCCTACTTCCCTCCCTCCCTCCCTCCCTCCTTTCCTACTTCCCTCCCTCCTTCCTTCCTTCCTTCCTTCCCTCCTTCCTTCCTTTCCTCCTTCCCTCCCTCCCTCCCTCCTTCCTTTCCTACTTCCCTCCCTCCTTCCTTCCTTCCTTTCCTACTTCCCTCCCTCCCTCCCTCCCTCCTTTCTTTCCTCCCTCCCTCCCTCCCTCCTTTCCTACTTCCCTCCCTCCCTCCTTCCTTCCTTTCCTCCTTCCCTCCCTCCCTCCCTCCTTCCTTTCCTACTTCCCTCCCTCCTTCCTTCCTTCCTCTTGCTCTTTTCTTTTTCTTTCTCCTTGGTTACCAGGAAGCTCAGAACTAAATCAGATGATTAAGTCCAGTAAATAAAGCTTCCTTCATTATAATTGTCCTGAATTAATTTTCTTTTCATCTTAGTTGATGTTGAAATATTTATTTTTGCCTGTATATTTTATTTCCTTGTTAAATGTTTTCCTTGAAGATGTCTAGTAAGTGACTTTCAGATAAACCAGCTATTACTACAGATGTTAATTTCTCTCTGCAAAAAGTTATGTGCATTATATGCCTAGGCAAAATGGAGTGCAAGTAATACATAGAGCAGACAACTAATGTGTTGGGGTAGGTGACCTTTGTATTGCCTGAGCACAACACAGCAGAGGGGTGGAGCCCTCTTCCATGCAGGTATTTGAGTGCTCTGTGTTGACACTCCCCTCAGAAGTGAGGTGTGGAGGGAATTTTCATGGGCTAGGATTTCATCAACTAGGCTTGAAGATAGTGTGTCTCCCTGTACACATTCCTTGTAGACATCCCAGAATCCTTGATTTCAGGGAAGTTAAGGAAGGCCCCCCTAAAAGAAAGGCAGTTGGGCTGGTGAGTGCCTCACTAAACTCTGCCACAAAAAAAATTGACATGTGATTATTTTCCAGAAGATTTGTGAAAACTTCTGCTTAGCACATGCATTCACATATTAGCATCTTCAGAAGTTCCTCAGTTTTCCTTTGTTTCTTTGTTCATAGCTGGGTTTTATTGCTGTACAGTGTTATATTCTGTTTTCTCTGTTGCTTTTGTTTTACTTAATATGAGTTTTCTTAGGTTTATGAAAAACTTTAGAAGCAAAATTGTCGATCTGTAAATAAAATCACAATGGATAGTTAGATTCAATCATAACCTTACCACTTAACACTTGGTTCCAGCTAAGAGCTCCTTCTTCTGCTCAGACCTGTTTTCTGCTCCAGGATAAGTTCTCACAACACTTTCTCATTTCCCTAGCCTTGTTTATTCAACCTGTGGCCTTAGCATGGTAGGCAAGAGATCTACCACTTGAGCTGCATCCTCAGCTCTTTCATTTTTATCTTGTTTTTAAGACGGGATCTTGCTGCTAACTTTACCTGGACTTGAGATCTTCCTGCTTTTGCTTCCTGAGTAGCTTGGATTACAGGCATATTCCAGCTGGGATTATAGCTGTATATCACCACACTTGTTCATTCTTTCTTTTTTGAAGTATTCATCTGCACATTAGTGGCTAGATTTCAATTTGTTTAGGATTGTCTTTGATTCTTGCATATCATTGTAAGATAAAAGCATAATATACCAAAAAAGATTAATTTTGACATCTAAAATAGGTTTCCCCAATCTTGGCATGGATAATTCTTTGATGTAAGGAGCTTCTTTGTGTGTTGTAGAATGCTTAACAGATCCATGGCCTGCACCCATAATGATGACAGCCAAAAAATGTCTCCAGACATTGACAAATGCAACCCAGTGTGACGTGGGTAGCAAAACTGACCCTTATTGGGAACCACTGGTCTATACTTATATTGCCTTGATGTTTTATTTCAGTTTTTTTTTTAACAGTACTGGGTTTTGAACTCAGAGCCCTGCACTTGCTAGTCAGGCCCTCTACTATGTGAGACACACTACCAGCGCTTATTTTAATTTTTTTCTCATGAGATTGAATGTCTTCAAAGTCTTACTGGCCACTTGTACTTTTTAATCCAGAAATGGCTTGGCATTACTTCATAGCTATTTTCTTTTGGATAGCTACCCTTTGAGCACTGATGTGTAAGAGTGCCCTATATGATAAGGAAAGGGAGCAAAACAATACAGTGAGTGGTTTAGAGCTTGTAATCTCAAGTCGAAGTCTATCTCCACCTTTTATTAATCCTGTACCCATTAGCATTATTACTTAGCATTTCTACTTCCTAGTTTCCTCATTTGTCACTTGGGTTATAGGGTAATACCCTGTCTCCAGGACTGATGTGAACACATAAGAGCCCTTAGTCTTGTGCCTGATACAAGTACAAACTCTGTATTTTAGCTAGGATCAGTTTTAATGGGCCTCAGGTAAATGAAAATTGGATTATAATCCTTACTTTGTGAAGCTACATCTTTGATCCATGCATGACCCCTCTGCCTTGCTCATTTACACACTCAGTCATGCATTTTCTTTAAAATTGCGATAAAATATGCTTACCATAAAATGTACCATCTTAGCTGTTTTAAGTGGACAGCTCAGAGTGTAGACTATATTCGTATCACACACTATACTGTGTATCCAACCTCCAGAACATTTTCGTCTTTTTTTTTTTTTTTCGAAACAGGGTCTGATAATGCAGCTTAGGCTGCCTCTCGAACTCTCAGTCTTACTGCCTGAGCCTCCCAAGTGCTGGGATTGCAGGTGTGCACCACCAAACCTAGCTATGTTTTTATCTGGCAAAATTAAAACTCTACATTTAATTAACTAACAGTTTCTCATTTTCTTTCCATTTAGCCTCTAGTAACTACTATTCTATTTTCTCTTTCTCTGATTTTGACATTAATTGCCTCATGTAAGTGAAATCATCCAGTCTATATCTTTTCTGTGACTGGCTTATTTTATTTTGCATATTGGTCTCAGGTTCAACCATGCTGTAGCATGTGCCACAGTTTTCCTCCTGTTTAAGGCTGAACGCATACTCCATTGGATGTCTTTCTCACGTTTGGAGGGACATTTGGGTTGCTTCCCCTTTCTGACTATTGTGCATAATAGTCAGACATGGTGTAGACACATACCTTCTTTTCAAAATACACAGTGAACTCCTGTGCAGCCACCTCACAACAAGACCTGGCTGTCCATTAGCAATAATGATCTGTGTGCTCCTCCCATCCTTGAGAAAATCACCATCCTGAATTTGGTATTATTTTCTAATTTTACTTGCTGTCTTCTTGACTTACTCACACAACTGACAGTGTTAATAAACTATATCTGTGTTGCTGCCTGCGGCTGTATTCATTTTGCTTATTGCACAAAGTTCAGCTGTATGAATAAACCCCTCACTGGTTGAAAAAGCATTTGGTTGTCCCCAGTGGTTTCAATGATAAGCAGTGCTACAATGAATTTTTTGGTACCTGTCTCTTAGGGTACAAATGCAAGTTCTCTTTAGTACACAGCTGGGGTAGAATTGCTAGGTCAAAGCAAATACATAGATATTCAATTCTTTACAAAAATCATTCCAAATTGTTTATCAGTTTATATAATTATATTACTTCCACAGTTGTGGGGACATTATCTAGATCTATATCCTCTTTAACACTTGATTTAGCCAGACTTCTATATCTTTGCCAAAGAGTCATGAAATGGGAATTTATTGTGATCTCATTTTATTTCCACAATTATTAATGAGGTCAAGCATCTTTGTGTATCTTTATTGGCCATATTCTTATGCTTGCTCTTCTGTGCCATAAATGCTCATTCTTTTTGCTGTGTTATTTTATTATTAATAGTTATATAAGGCTTTCCATCTCATGTTTTTTTGGTATACTTTGGACTTTGTCTTTTACCTTTATTGACCACAACCTCTTCAACCATGCAGGTGACCTTGTCATTCTCACAAAACCACTCATGGTGTCTAAAGGTGACAGAGGTTTCTTGACTACCACCACTCTCCTGGCTGTGGATGGAACAGACAAGCCAGAGGAGCTGCTGTATGTCATCACCTCCCCACCACAATATGGCCAGGTGGAATATGTCCGCTATCCTGGGGTCCCCATTGCCAGCTTCAGTCAAATGGACATAGCAGGACAAACAGTCTGCTACGTACATAAGAGCAAGTCAGCTGTCCATAGTGACAGCTTCAGGTAAGCCTCACAGAAACTTTTCTGAACCCCTTCCTGCAGTAGAATATACAAGGGTTATGTTAATGCGTTCCCCTATAGTAATGATTTTACTTTGTATGTCTCTCATAGCATCATGATGTATACCTTAAAGATACATAATAAATTATTTTTAAAAAAAAGAAAGATGAAGGGAAAAGTAGGAAAACAATTACACCTTTTCCAGCTCTGCCATAGCTGTGCTTTCAATCCACTGCCCAGCTATATGAAGACCTGTAATTAAAATAGCAGCAGCAAAGCAGGGGTCTATGATTGAATAAATAAGTGTAACAAGCAGATCTAAATGCACATTCTCAGAGGAATGTAAAGGACTGAGGACCAGAGCTAAGGGTAGACATAGGAAAGTAATCTCCCTCTTTCCTGAGGATCTTTTTCTATCCAAGGCAAAGGCATTTATTAGCATAATAAACTTGGCAGAAGCAGTCACCTCCTTTTGACACAATGTGTTCCTGTAACTGTATCATAAATCATGTTGTCACAAAGTGGATCATATTTCCCCATAGAAGCAATGTTATAATTGGGGACTGTGCACCTGCTCAAGGATTTTGTATCAAATAAATGATTGGAAAGAATAACAATCTGGTGAAAGGCAAAGACACAACATTAATGAAAATCTACGTTCATTTAAAATATAGAGATTTGTTCCAAGTCCCATAAAGCAAGAGAAACTCTAGAAGATCTATCATCTGGGTGCTCTCAAAGTTGGCCTGACTTGAGGTCCTTGATAAAAATACAGGTCTCCAGGCCATGGGTGACCACTGGGAAAACTTGGAGTAGCCTTTGGGGAACCATGGTGCCTAATCCCACCCTGAGTTTTACCAGCTGAGAAGGAGGCTGTGAGAGCATTGGTTTGTCTGCCTCATACCCAAGGCTTCTGGCCTTGCATTCAAGTTTTCACCATGTCCAACACAACCTTCCCAAGAGCACTATAAAAGAACAAAAAGTCAGCAAACTCCTGTATTAGTCAATGGGTTCTCATAAGTTACCAAGTATTACCAGTGCACCCTTGTCCAAATACCTTTCTTCTCTAGTATACTTTTACTATCTAAAGTCAATATGCCTGTTCTGATGAATGCTTTCTAAAAGTGAGCAAAAATTATTTTGTATGCCTTTTGAGTGTTTACCGTGATTTCTGAAAGATGATCTGGATAGTCCAAGGAAGTGTTAAACAAAAACATATAGGGAAGCTTGAACTAACATCTTTTTTCTATTGATAAATGTCCTTTAGCAAGCAGAAATCATTTAATTGATCCATGTCTTAACCAAGTCTGTGCCTGAGTGTTGCTAGGCATTACCTTCAGCATCAGATGAGGACGTCCTCTTCCAGCTGGTTCTTGTGTTGAGCAATGGTGTCGTGTTCTTGTTAAGATACAATGCAGGATCCCTTTCTTCCTCTGTGACTCACAGCTCTATGGACTTCCTCAAGTTAGCCCTATGTGCTGTTGTCCCCTCTTCTATGAAATGGGGTGATGCTTTTTGCACCTGCCAAACAGGGCCATTTGGAGGGTTAAATAAGTTTGTGCATGTAAAGTACATAAAACAGTACCTGGTGTTAGAAATATTGGGCTGCTGTCACCATCACGAATCAGACTGTTCGAAAGTTGTTGGGCAAGGCAAAATTTACTTCTGCAGAAGGGTGTGCCTCCGACTGGAGTCAGGCAAGCAAGCACACTGGGTGGAAAGACCACCTCAGTTTTCATCTCTAATGCAGGACTGCCCCTTGCTCTAATGGAGTGAGCTCAGGTTCACAGTCTTCATGATTGACTAAGGTAGAGGTTTGGGAAAAGAAAAAGAAAATGTAGATGTTTGGGGAGAGTATAGGGGAAGAGCAGACATGACTGGAGAGCATGGACATGAAACTTAATTTGGTTGGTGTACACAAAAACAAAGGGGTGACTCATAAGGCACAGAATTCTAGGATTCCAGAGAAACTGAGGCCTGAAATGACTGTTTGACCTGAAATGAAAACACCAAGTATATAATTAACCCGTGAGTCAAAGAGAGCTTGGGACAGGTGAGCAGAAATTCCTTTGGACAACGGTTATCTGTAAGCCAGCAGTTTGACTTTAGGACATCCAATGACAAACAATTCTCTGCTGAATGCAGATGCTTTACAGTTAGGTAACGTGCCACAGAGCACATGGGCAATTGGGGAAATTAGCTAATATCCACACAATGACAGACATATTCCACAGTGTGGTATCAGGCATCAGGGAGGGGAGTGGTGTTTGAACCCACAACTCTGAGATGAAGAGTCTCATTCTGTACTGACTGAGCTAGCCCCTTGACAGAAAAGACCCCATTTAGTTGACTCTCATACTGGCACAGAGGAAGAACTAAATACAGATTAGCTACTATCATTATTACTGTTGTTGTGGTTACTTACTGTGTTCTTTCTGTGACCCCTACTTACCTTCCATCTTTCTAGCACCACGCATAGTCTGAAGGAGGAAGATGTGGTAGAGAAGAGCAATGCATGTTCTTTTCCTCCCTTTGATAATGGAGGCCAAGTGCTTCTTGGCTACCTACATGTGTTATCATATTCAGGGCTTTTCATTTTACACCGGCTTCTGGAGCTTCTTGCCTCTCTCTGTTCCTACTGTCTCAGTCAATGCCCCCAAGAGAGTCTGCTGAGACAATGTTGGAGAAACCAATGACTCGGCCAGAAAGGTCAGTCAACAAATGTGTATAGATGTTGAGAAATGAAGGTTAGCTTATGTGAGAAGAGAAAACCCAATCTCTATGTGGAAAGATTGGTAATATGTAGAAACTTCCTAATTTGCATCCCGAGAAAGTCATGTTACATGACATTTAAATAATTGTGTATCCTAGAGATGTCTACATTTCCAGATCCTCAGAGAATTGCCTGGGAGAATTACAAAATACAAATTCTTCTGGTTGTTTTATATACTGAGCTTCAGGAAAAAGGTTTTCTTTTAGAGAAAAAAAGAGTCTGTGCCTCTATTTTCTGTAGCTAGTGATTTGTACCACCAGTGGTACAAAAATGCGAAATGATGTGGAATGGGAATAGGAAATAACTAAATAACAGAAAATCAAGAGAAACTCTGCCCTACACGTTCTCTTCATCCTTCTGATTGGCTCAAGGAGGAAGTCTCAGGTTGGTGCAAATATGTCTTTACCAGCTCAGCATTTTCTATTTAGGTTTCCCCTTTTAAGAGAGTGCAAGCCTCCAGCTCAAATCCATTGGGCAATAATATTTAGCTAGAATTAAAAATGTTGTCTTGTAGTTTTGTGGTATTTACAGAATTAAGGTTTTGGTGTGCAAAACCTTTAAAGTACATTTATTGAAGTAAAAAAGTAAATTGATGTAAAGCAAAATAACAAATACCAAGATTACAGTTAGTACAGGCATATGGTGAAAATGATGAACGGGCCTTTGAATGACTCAAGATTAGGAAATAGGCTACCGGGAGAAACAAACCAAAATTGGAAAGCATTGATTGGGTCTAATCCCTTCATGTACCTGTAGGTAAACCAGCATTGCTTGCACACCTGCAAGCCACCAGTGTGCACGCACTGTTTGTGTTTTTTTTCCCTTGAGCCTTACCTGACTACCTTGAGAGAGAGAAATCTTTGTTACTATCTTATACAGGAGACAACCAAAGTTTCAAAAGGCAAAGGAAGCCACCTAAATAGATGCAACTGGATATCAGAGCTGAGTTTGGGGCTAAGAGCTCATTTCCAGTGGAGAGTTTTTCTATTACACCATGTTGTTCCAGGAATTTGTGGGGACTCTGCATTTGGGGAAGGAACCACGTTCATGTATCCTTCTGCTTTTTGGCCAGCAGTTTTACATATTTATAATGGAAGAGCTGAGCATCTGCCCAAGGTCTGCATTTTAATCTTGTCATTTCCCTAACCCAATCACGGACCACAGCACTGTTTGTCAGGTGGCACTAAACCAAAGCTGAAATCCTGTTTTAATGAAAGTGTGATCATGGTGCTTTTAAAAAATTAAATATATGCAACCAATTTAATCACCTAAATTTATGTTGCTTGCTGTTAAATTTGGCAAGGAATTTGGCTGGGTGGAAGAGATAAATTCTGTGGTTGAGGATTTTTTTCTCTCTTCCCTTTTTAATGTAAGCTATGGCAACATTAATTAAACAGGGGAGTTTAATGGTGAGATTTTACCTTCTGCAAAAATATTTTGTGAATCATAAATTTCTCCTGCATTGTTTGGTGCTGCTGGCCTGGAAGAGAGGTTTGGCAGCACGCTGCAGGACAGATGACACAGAGTGATTAGCAAGCTGACTTCAGCTGCTGGCAGCCGGGTACTAAAAGAACATGCTAATGTCCTCCATTTTGACATGCCGGCTGGACTTTTTTTTTTTCTTCCTGAGGAGCTAGCTCTATTTATGATTCCATTTTTATCTTTTAAATGCCATGACAGATGGCAGATTCTTCATCCAACTCTATTGCCAGGAAATGCAGAAAGCTCTTGGAAGGCATTGTGGTAATGGTGAAATCAGACCAGGCAGACACCCCAGACAAATCTGAAGTCATCCCCAAAATTTCATGAGAATGGTGGTCATCTTGGCTGCGTCTCTCCTCTGAGGGGTGTAGTAAGGGAAATGAAAGAGAATGAACCCATGAAAGAGTTTCCACCTCCATACAAGCCAGCGTCCTCCCCTCAGACTAGATACCAGCATGGCAATGGCACTATTGTCTTAAACCTTGAGAATAGATTTGCAGGACTTGGGGTGGGGAGCATTTGGAAGATCATCTGGTCGACTTTTGCAGACATGAGCTGCACTGACCTTCTTTCATTGGTCTGCTAGCTTTATTTTGCCTGGGAACCCAACCATAACTTCTCTCTCTCTCTCTCTCTCTCTCTCTCTCTAGCTCTCCTCTCTCTCCACTCATGAAAGTAGAATGATGCATTTGATCCAGTCATGTTTAGAAATTGCATCCTTTTCACCCCTAGCTTATTAGCTTTAGGTCAGCACAGACAGCTGCCTCGGTGTCCCAGCTGGGAACACTGGCCGCAGTAAACATATTTCTTTCTCTTCCATGGTCCCTGGCCTGCTTGCCCTTGTCCCCATCTGTCTGATGGCAGGCTGCCTATTTCCAATGTGGTCAGATCCGTTCATCAGACAGGGAGGAGTTTGAGATGGACAGCCTGGATCACAAGACAGCTTCAGTGTCCTCACAGAGGTCACCCATGCACAGAGTAAATGTGGCAGTCCTAGGGCAAAGCTTTGAGGACCCCATCTTGAAAGGACATTTGCTGAATGGAGTCTCCAAAGAGTTAGATATTAAAAATGGCTGCCTCGGACAGAACCTGGTGCTCACTCAGGCTTGCAGGGAACCTTGTTGTTCCTGATTTTTTTTCCCTTTTCACTTTTGTCTCCTTCCTTCTCTGCTAATATTGACAGGCTTCTAAAGAGCACAAAATTGTCAACCCCACAATTTATGCTAATATTAAAAACACATGTCCTTTGGCCTGTGTTGATGTTGCATTATCAATGACTGATTTTAAATTCTCTACAAAAGCACATTTAATGTTGGGATCCACTAGGGAATACAGAACCACTTTGTATGTGCAACAGAATAAAATGGGCAGTGCAAGTACATTCAGGAGGAGTAAAGTGGGAAAAAACACATAAAGTCTTCTCCTTAGCTCATGTTTGGTCAGGAAATAGAATCTAGGGAGAGGGGAGAATAAGGAAGAGTACCAGGAAAAAAATAGGACAAACTGATAATTCCATGGGAGGCTTTGCCTGAGAAACAGAGCAGAATTTTTATGCCTAAGAATGCATATAATTTGACCTTTGGATTTGTCAAGGTGACTAAAGTCAAAACTTTGAAGAACACAATTGTTTTTCCACATGTGCTTCTTCCTTCCTTCTGTTTTCTTCCTTTTTTGTCTTTTTTTCCTTTTTGCCTTTTCGCTCTCTCTGTTTTCCCTTCCCTCCTTCCTTCCTTCTTTTTTTTCTTTCTTTCACAAAAAAACTAATTTTATAATACCTCATGTCATAGCAATGAAATTGTCCAATTTGCTTAGAATACATTAATTAAAGGTTTAGCTTTACAAAAGGAAAACTGATTGGTTTGTTTTAAGGCAATTGATTTTTCTTCAATCTACAGTTCTACAAGTAACTCACTGCCATTATTCAAACTGTGCAAAATCATGCTGTAGGAAAAAAAATTACATTCCTTACAAATCTAGGTATGTGAAATGTCAAAATTTTACTTTGTTATATTTCTCTTAACCATTTTAACTTTTGAGATGTAGTGTACTTATTCTGTGTTATCGCCTCATACATTTCTTGTAGGCAATCTTAGTGACTAGTTAATTAGAAAGTTCAAAAACTTTGCCTTCAAAGGAAAATCTGTAAGTCAGCCAAACTCCTCTCCTTTTATTTTTTGTCTGATTCTTCTTTGCTCTGAGTCCTTGGCTGCTTGTAGGTTGGGTGACTCACTGTAGTCAACTCACCAGGTTTCAGGTTTCTTTATGGTTTGAAGTGAAGCTCCAACCCTCAAACACTGAAAACAAGACACAGTTAGCAAAGAATAAAGAATTTGTTAGTTAAATATACCATATAAACTCCAGGACTTCTCTACTTTAAAAAGAATCTCCAAAGGTAATTTTTATATATTCCAGTAAAACATTGTTTTTAGAGATTTTTACATCAGTGGAATGTGAATGTATTCTCCACGAATATTTCTAACAATTATATATTTGCAGAAAAATTAGTAAGACATAACTGATTAATTCCAAGTACATTTATTTGGTTTGTGATGAATTTTGTCTATGATGTCAATTTCCATTTGATAGTGGTCATTTCCTAACTTTTCGGAGTTTTACTTTTGTGTCTGATTTACATGATTTTCTTTAAAGTAAAAATATGTTGAAGTGTTATAAAATCATTTATAATTGGTGTTATTGTGAGACTGAGTGGAGTGAGTAGAATGTGATTTAGTGATCAATATAATAAAAACACATTATGGTATCACAAACCAAGACTGTAAGAGAGAATTGGTCTAACCTTGAATATGTATCATTTCAGCTTTCTCTTTGTATTGGTGCTCAAGTACCACAACTTTTTTTTTTAATTACTAAAGCAGCATTTATTTAAGAACTCTGTAAGAGCTGAAAGAGGGTCAAAGAATCTGGTTCTAGGACCAACTCCACCTCCTACCTGCCTTTTGATTGCCCACCATGTTTCTGAATCTTTCTATTAAGCAGAGAAAGAATCCTTGTAACCTAGCTCTACATCCTGTAAAAGGAGCAAATATAGAAGCATATGTACACTGTACAAGGTCAGAGACTTGCATAAGGTAGTAGTAGATGTGTCCATCACTTCATGTTAAAGAAGAGTGAAAAGTGTCCCAGAAAGGGACATAAGTTAGGTAAAATTATACAGCTGAATAATGTGATCTGCCCTTTTGGAATTTCCACAAAAGCATGAAGAGACCAAATGAAACAAATTCAGCCTGTTCAGGCCTTTGTTGGCTCCCCAGTTATCAGTCTTTAAAGTTTAGCTTATTACATTCCCACGAAAAATACAGTTGAAGTTTAGAAATATGTAAAATGAACATGTGCTTTTAACTCACATGATGGGTCTAATTGGTCATAACAGTCCTATTTGGAGCAAGGAACTACACTGAGCAGAGACCAGCTGCCTGCTCCAATGCAGGAGTTGTTGAGAAAAATGTTCTTGGATGTAGAATGATCAATTTCTGTGGTATCCAGGGACTGGTTTAATAATTGGCAGATACTCTTCCGAAAGATCTGCCCTTAATTTTTCATGTGAGTCACAACACAACATACCCTTTAGTAAAGGTGTGTATTGTTATCATTTCATTCCAGTAGATGGTGACACACGAATCCATGCTGAAGGCTGCCTTGCCTCTCTTTGCCAGATTTATCATCAGCAATGGACTTTGGACCAAGCACGGGGTGTTTGAGATCACATTGGAGACCATGGACAGATCCTTGCCTGTGGTGACCAGGAACAAAGGACTGAGACTGACTGAAGGCACCATGAGTCTGCTTTCCCCCGACCTCCTTCAGGTGACTGACCCTGACACACCTGCAGAGAACATCACCTTCCTCCTGGGCCAGCTCCCACAGCATGGCCAGCTCTATCTGAGGGGGACAGTGCTGCTTAAACACAGCTTCACCCAGCAGGATGTAGACAGTGGAAAGGTGGCCTACCACCACTCAGGAGGCAACTCCCAGATGGACTGCTTTACTTTTGTGGTCACAGATCGGATGAACCAAGGCTTTGTTGTGGATGGAAGAGTGCAGGAAGAGCCTGTTCCATTCACCATTCAGGCAAGTATGGCAGACACACAGCTCATGCCAGAGATGTGAAGAAAGCAGCTTCTAGAAGATCTAGTTCCTCATTTCCTTCCCTCTTTCATTCAGATATGGATTGTGCACCTGCAGCATTGCCAGGTGCATCAATGTGACTAAAACAACGTGATTCCTCTGTGGTGATGGTACAGGAAGGAGCAAAGACATGGGGTGTTGAGTTAGACAGATTTAGGTTTGAATTTCTGCTTTGCCATTTATTAGCTGTGTGATCTCAAGAGTTTTGTTTTTGACTTTTTTGTTTTGTTTTGTTTTATATTGGGCTGTACTGGGGTGTGAACCCAGAGCTTCATGCTTGAAGGCGTTCAACCACTTGAGTACACCTCTCTCCCCTCAAAAGCGTTCTTTTAGTCTTCTGAATTACTTTTCCTTCTTTGAAAAACATGCCTACAGCATTGTGGCAGGAATTCAACAAGTTGAGATATTCAAGGCACTAGCAGATTGTCTGCAGCGGATTTGGGGTTCAGTTACAAGACAATAATGATGCTATCAGGACGAGATCATTGGTCCATGTTGTCTTCTGGCATTTTGATGATTTTCAACTAAACGTGTGAGAACTTACAAGGCAGCATCGGTATTACCTTGTTCTTATCGTGAAGATTATTAGTAGCAGCAGGTGTGATTTGTCGCCGTTAACTAAAGGTCAGACCCACTTTACATAAATCTCATTTGAGTCTTGTAAAAATCCTACGAGGTAACTTTTATCATCTACGCTTTATAGATGAAGAAACTGAGATTCAGAAGTTAAATACTTTGATCAAGTACACACAAAGGCCTTGTCTTCTGATCCCAAATTCTGTGTCCTTCTTGTGGCACTACACTGCCACATTTGTTGACTCTTTCAATGATTCTTGGAGGGCTTAGTGTGTTTTTCTTCTTGTAGTCAAAACATATGAAGTATGTTCAGGCCCTCAAACCTAAAATCTCTTCTCCTTGGATGGCGTTCACCCCCCTTCTATACACTTCCAACAGCAAAAATATTGTAATTTTGTCTCTACTTCAGGATTTTTTCTGACTAGTTAAAATAATCCTATTTCTCTTTTGATCTTTAGTCTCTACATTAGGGTTCGCCACAAAAACAGCAAATGTATATGTACGTATACGTGCACGTGTGTGCATGATGTATATGGTATACATACATCTACATAGAATAGATAATATGGAGAGAGAGGGATTTTAAGAAATTGGGCCTGGTATGCCCAAGATATACAGAGAAAGCTAGTAGGCTAAAACTTTCAGGCACCAGTTGATGTTTTGGTCTTGAATCCAAAGATAGTGTGCGGGCAAAGTTCTTTCTTTTTCGAGGAACCTCAGGCTTTTCCCTTAAGGCCCATATTAATGATAGCTGAAATAAACCCTTACAAAAATCATCTAGCCTGGTGTTTGCCTGGGCGACTAGGCACTATAGCCTAGCAAACTGAACTGCTAAAACTAACCTTCACATTTTCTGTCTGAGGTAGGGAGCTGTGATAACAAATAGGAGCTGGATGACTCTTTGGCACCATAAAGGTCCAGAAAGTGTAACGATATGATGATATGTTGGGAAAGGAGAGAAGGTATTGATATAACTGATACAAATATCATTGATATGTTACTGAACAGTATGACCAGGGATAATTTTTGGGAGTCTGTTTGGTTGCAAATTTGAAAGAGTTCTAGATTCTGAGTACAGATATAAGCGCTCCTTCCTACACTCCAGAGCAGACAGAAATGGGGCGGAGCTTGTAGAAAGTTCCAGGACTTCAGTCAGGTCTTTCCCAACACCAACACTCATCTTAAAGTGCAGGACTATCCTAAGAGAGTTATCTCCTGGAAGTTGTGAACTTTACTGACAGGAAAGCACTGTTTTCATGTTGTAACACTTCTTTATCATCAATAGTACAAGGTTTCCTCTGCCATATATATGTGTATGTATCTTGTTATGTGTAAAACAAAACCCTTACAAGGAAAGCCTTATGCTTTCCTGTAACCCCCTGAACTTCCCTGAACCCCCTGGTCTCTCTCAGCAGAGAAGTCAAGCAGCATAGGAAATGATTGGCCCTGCCCACAGTGTTGGAGAGGTATCACCCTCAGTCCCTTGCTTGTCAGGATGTTTTCCTACAGGACAGTATGATGTTGACCACCACCAAGTGACACTGAGTCACCAAGTTGATCTAAATAAGTCTACCAAGCCCAGGTGAACTGCTTTTATGGTGGTATCTGGGTAACCGAGGGCAGAGCTGCTAGATGTAACATGTGCTAAACACAGGCGTACTTGTCTGAGAGCAGGCACAGACTGACGTTCATTTGGTAGGAAATTCCATCTGTCTGAGCAAGATTGATGCAATCAGTAGCCTCCTGTAAAGAGAGCAGGGCTCAGATGAGGGAGAAAGGACCCTGCCATTGCTTTCTATGGGTCTAGCATGTCTGCGAGAATTTTCAGTAAATCCAACAGGAGTTATCAGAAGATACAGCATTCTTAAAAAATAAAATCTTGTACTCCAGTATTTTTAAATGCTCCTGGTATACTGAGCCAGATGACCTGCTTTTGAAGAAGCTAAAGTTTAATAAGACTAAGATATAGGTGAGCATCAGTATGGCCAGGAGCACAATGGGACTAAGCAACCAGAATTGAGCTATTAATATATTTTTAAAACAGATGTCCACAGCAGGCATTTATTACTTTTTTTGTGTGTTTGGTACTGGGGTTTGAACTCAGGGCCTATACCTTGAGCCACTTCATCAGGCCCCTGCCCCATCCCTCCCACACCTTTTTTTGTGATGTGTTTTTTCAAGATAGGATCTTTTGAACTATTTGTCTGAGCTGGCTTTGAACCAAGATCATCCTGATCGCTGCCTCTTGAGTAGCTAGAATTACAGGCGTGAGCCACTGGCACCTGACCCCATTTATTACTTTTGTAACACTTATTTTTAAGGAAAATATAACATCAAAATACAAAAAAAAGGAAGGAAGGAAGAAAGAACTAGCAATGACCCCATCTACTTATCATCTTTGAGGATTTCTGACATGGCATGGTGCATTCATGCTTTTCCTCTTTTTTTGGCCCTCTCTCTTGCTGGCCACCATGGCTGTGGGAGCTTCTGTCCTCAAGAGGTTATGAAAACAGCTCCCTCCCCACCTCCCGCCCAATCTCACAGTTCTGAAAGTTGCCACCCACAGTTTTCAGGACTTTTGGCCAAGTAGAAGAATGACATGACTTTTGAAAATGTTTGTTGCCTTTTCAGTTTATTGTAAAGAATTCATGAACTATAGAGAAGAACAAGAGAAAAATCACTCATATTCATACCACTCAAGGATAATTACGGCAGGTAGTTTCCTTCCATTCTTTTAGTCTGTGCAATAAAAGCTACATGACATGTACTACGTGCAGATTGCCTGTTCCACTCTTCATGTTCTCAGAACATTTTCTCACATCATTAAATATTCCCTGAAAATATGAGTTTCAAAGGCTGCAGAGGACTTGGTCTCAGGTAGAGATGGTTTTATGTTTTCTGGATTTTTTGTTAATTGAAAAATACTTAACATATTATAAGTAATATTTTAGTGGATGTATATTAATACACAAGCACACGCACACACCTGGATACACACCTAATTGTTTCTGTATGCTGGAGAGACACACCTTTCACTGTTTTATCCCTCCACCAGCAAAATGTAAAAATATCTGCTTTTCCACATACTTACCAACATAGGATATGATTATTCTTGTTTTTAAAAATCAACCTTGCCAATTTTAGAGGAAAAAAGTCACTGGTTATTACAAAATTCCATATAGAAATAAATGGAGGAGCTGTAATTTTTTCCTTACCCCAGGACAAACAGTTTTGTGAAAATGTTTCCAGACTTTTATCTATGTCTATACAAATGGAATACATTTATCTTTAAGAAAAATAGTATTATAGTCATTTTATATTCTGAATCTCATTAATTTTTTCATTTAACACAAAATTGTTGAAATTTTTATTCATCTTACACCTATTCTTTTTTTTTTTTTTTTTTGGTGGGAGTACATACTTGGAATTGAACTCAGGGCTCAGAGCTCTACCACTTGAACCATGTTGCCAGTCCTTTTTAATTTTTCAGATATCTTACACTTTCTCTCAGCCTAGCCTCAGACTGCAATTCATCTACTTCCTACTCCCAAGTAGCAGGGATTACAGGCATGAACTACCATACCCATCGCCTCTATTCTTTTTAATACCTGTCCTGCAGTTTATTATATCATAATATGCAATAATATATGTGGTCTTATCATTGAGATGAATTAATTTTTTCATTAGGGTGAACTAATATTTACAGCACTATCATTTGGGGGTAAATGAAGTTAAGAACTGAGAGATCAGGAGTTAGTATTGGTGATGAATTTGTGCTACTTTATCCAAACCTACTTTATCTCTCACAATAGTATTTGCAAGGTGATCTGAGCTCCATATTGACAAGTCCTTTGTTCTCACTCCTGACTAATTGCCCACTGTCCATCCTCATAAATCTAGTCTGCCTGTTGAGTCACCTGTTGCTCATCTTCAATGAAACAATATGCAAAGTCTGAAAATCACTGTCATGCTTTTCTTACTGAAAGTTTTCTATTTTTATCTATTTCAGCGAAGACGTGAAAAATAATTCATTGTACTTGTAAACCCTTACTATTCTGTTTCTGTAAATCATTAAACATTGGAAACACGGGGAAATCCTTCTGTGGTGTAACATTAAGTTCGCAATGTAATTCTTGGGTCAGTTTTTGTGGATTCGTTCAACAAATAGTCCTGGGCTTCTGTAATGAGTCAGGCATTGTGCCAGGTGCAGGGATGGGGGCTGGGTGTGAGCGACAGCATTTGTCCTCATGAAGCTTATACCCTAAGAGACAGACATTAGACAAATTAATAAAATTAGGTCAAGGTTTACAGTAGAAACTCAGCCTCTGTTCCAGGCACTGTGATATTTGCTGAGAATACTGTGAACAAGACAAAAATCAACAAATCAGGAGCATAGGCAGTCTGAAACTTGGGCGAGTTTGTCGCTGTTGAACCATGAAAGCTCTCCATTGCATGGTAGTGAGAAGTCTTTGCATAACATTGTGTGTCATTATTGAAATTCAGGTAGACCAGTTGGACAAAACAGCCCCTCGGCTCATGTACTTGCATTCCCCTTCTCAAGTGAGACGCCTGAAAAACGGCTGTTATGGGATTTACATCACGTCTCGTGTGCTGAAGGCATCTGACCCTGACACCCAGGATGATCAAATTATCTTTAAGATTTTACGAGGCCCACTACATGGCCATCTGGAGAACACAACAACAGGTACTAACTTCCTTGATCCTTATAATTGCTCCCAGTGGCTGGCAAGGCCAGAGAGTAATTTAATTAAGTGTAAGGCCATTTGGTAAATGCTCCCCAGGGCTTACTGATAGATGCAGTTTATACATCAGTATTGCTGCTAAAGAGGGTTTGAAACTGGGCCTTCCTAAAGGAAGGTCATCTTGACCAGGAGAACCAAATACTAATATACAGCTGTCTATTGTTTACAATTTTCAACAGCTAGGTCATAACATATTCAGAATATGCAGTTCAAGGCCAGATTCATTTTTGGGATTAATTTCTTCCTCTACTGTAAATGTTATCAGTTTCTTGAAACAAATTCCTAGCTTTTTCCCCTAGTAGTTCTTCTGGATTGTGTATTATTTGTGTGGTAATGTTGATCATATCACTAAATAGGACAGCACAGAATTGCAGGTTTTTCTTTTTAACTGTATTTCCTATTCCCCTTTTCTTTTGTATATTTTTAAGGCAAATATTCTGAAGCAAAATAAATGTAAAACTTAATTTTTATTCCATTTGAGTTTTAAGATGGCTAGAGTAATATTAATCTCTTTTTAAAAATGTACTTTATACTAAAAATATTAAGTACTCAGTAATTATACATTTCTCTCTCATTGTCCTATAGAACTAGCGACATAAATCAAAATACTTTGTTGACCTACTGAAATACTACCAAGATTAGAACTGTCATATCTGATTGTATTATACTTATTTTCCAACTTATTAAGAATTTCTACTAAAATAATGTATTTGAGTTGTTCTTTAAAGCTGTGTTTCAAATAAAATATGTAACACAGTTTTATCAGCTCTTATATGTTTTCCTTGATTACTCATAAGATTCATTTATTTCTTTTTTGTAGGTGAATTTATCCATGAGAAATTTAGCCAAAAGGACTTAAACAGTAAGACCATTCTTTACATCATAAACCCATCTTTGGAAGTAAATTCAGATACCATGGAGTTTCAAATCATGGACCCCACAGGGAACTCTGCCACTCCTCAAATGTAAATTCTTTTGATTATTCAAAATTCCTGCATGTAGTGTCCAAAAGATATCCAATTAGGAAAGTGAAATGATCTTTTGCAAACAGAACCTAAGAAGATAGACTATGTGATGAGCTCATAGACTTTGTTTTGTAGAAAGAATTTTCTTTTTTATTGCCCAACAATGGGAAGGCCAATAACTTTATGGAGAGAAGATGGCAGCATTCAGTGGTTAAGTGAATAGTGATAGTGTCATCCACATTATGCATGCATGTTCCTACACTTCACACCCAGAGAGGTTGCAGCCCGTCAGCATCCAGGACTGAGCTTGAGGCTTATGTGTAAATTGTGCAGCCAGGGGTCACTCTAGGACCACGTTAGTCTTCTGAAATATCTAGAGTCAGGAAGAATAAAATGGCTAAGATCTGTTTCCCTTACCCAAACCAAAACAAAACTTAAAACTGCCTCTCTAAGTTAATAAACCTATCCTAGGTAAGATGAAGATAGTGTAAAGTAGAAAACAGACTTGGAAGGCATCAAGTGATATTTGGAAGTATATAAAGTAAGTACATGAGTCCCAGGATAACAAGAATAACCAATCCTTAAAATTAACAAGATTAGCACAGCACAGTAATTTCACTGACTGGGTTCCTATTCTAGACCTCTCTTGAATGGAGACCGTGAATGATTTACTACTGGCAGGGTCACAAAGGTCAATCAGTGCACTTCTAGTGCTGTTTTCCTTTTTTCATTTGATTCCTTTCCTAGACACCCCAAAGAAAAATTTGTATACTTACCATAATTTTGGTATTTACTGTACCATAGACATACAAGACAGCATAAGAAAGTATGGACCTACTACACTCCCTTTATGAAAGAATCTGAACAAAGAGAAGTTAAGAAGGCATCCTCAGTGCTCTTCATTCTTTTCCTTTCCCATTCTGAAGTGTAGTTCCAAAATTTGACAGCAGAGGTCACTGTAGTCATTGTTAGGGAAAAAAAACCTAGCAGTTACCCCACCTTCATTACCTGGTTAAAGTGTAGGACTTTGCTCAGATTTATTAACTCTGCAGATTCTGTTGCGTGGCTGTTTTATGCTAGGAATATGGCACAAGGTGCTGGGAAACAGGAGTGAACAGGAAGACCTGCCCCCTGAAATTAAAATATTAATTAGAGAACTGAAACTGATGACCCCTCTCATTTGACTGCCTTTGAGAAATTAATCCTCAGGACCACAGACTGACATTTGCAATGTCAGACAAATATTTTAATTTTCAAGAAAATGTTTTTATTCTGCTCCAAAAAGTAACAAATTGACTTCACCTGGAATAACAGTTTTTTTTTTTTTAACTAGCTTATTTTCAAAAAAACATATAGTAATTATCAGACTTTCCAGTGACCTGGTGCCGACCTCTGGTATTCCACACATAGACATAGCGTAGGTGTCAGAATTTCTCCCACCAATGTCACTAAGTGAATGTCTGCTTCACCCACGTACCGTCTTCATTCCTTGTTGTTACCAAAGACATTGCTTTTTAAAGATGATTTATGTTTTTAAATAACCCTAAAAGTCACATGAGAATAATGGAAGAATCTACTTAATGTAATTATAACTTCGATGGAGACTGTTTTTTAAAGCTAAGTTCCTGTTTGTGTTAGGTGTGTTTTCATGAACCTGTGCTGGAGGTGTTTCAAGTTCAACTTGAAATGGTTGCACCCGATGGACTAGAGTGCAGTGGCACATGCCCACTGGGAAAATATGAAAATAACTTTGGTTTGGTTCTAACAGAGGTTAGGTTATTTTCTTTAGAGTGGGCAAGGGGGAGGTAGAAATTATTCTGCCTTTACCTTCATAATGTTTGAGTGGAATAGTTCCCCAACCTCATTTGTAAGTAGGTGTTTTATGAAATGAGGCACACAGTTTTATGATAAGAAACAATGTTCTAAATAGTGGTTTCTTTTCCCCAAACAACCAGCAAGAGCCTAGTCCCATGTAGATCACAGGCATTTGTGATTTAGTTATTTGGGGGTTCTATTTCATGTTATTCACTTAATTGTTGCAACAATCTATGAGTTGGGTATCATTATAATCCAGAACTAACAGATGAGAGACCTGAGGCACAGAGTTGGGACATGACTTATCCAAATTCATGCAGCTAATTAATGAGCTGGAATCCACTCATGGTGCTAGCAAACTTCCAGCCTGTTCTTAATGCCTTCTAAACCTCCCAAGACACCAGGCAGCAGACTACCACTCTTCCTTCTCTGCAGATGTTGGCTATCCTGGCAGTAAGAAAGAAGGAGTGCTTACCTGTCAATGACCTTAAGGTTTAGTTGTTGCTTTTTTTCTGAAACTGTGAATCACAAATATCAATTTTCATGTGTGCCCTCCATTCCTAACTCCTGGACTTGTTGCTGAAGGACAGGTTTTGAGTTTTAGCTCTGCCATGATTGTTCAAAACATAGTTATCTCTTCTGTACAATGGGCACAATACTACAGTTTGTTCAGAGAAACAAATGAATAAAACATAGGAAAGCATCTTGTGTATTTAACGTAGGAAATGTGTGGTGATGTCTACTGTGAATTCATGGGAGTGTTCACGTTAACACAGCTGACTGTTTGAAGAAGTATCCTGAAAACACTGGCATCTTAGAGAGCCTGTCTTTAGCTAGAAATTGGTTCTGTGAATATTCATAAAGTGAATTGTCAATATGCTTATTAATCAATAAGGCGGGTCTTGCTTTTGCAGCCTTGCTATGCAGCACCAGTCCTGAAGGATCAATAGATGGTCCATTTTACAAAACGTTGGGGAATGTCGGTTTAGGTGAGATTAAACAAGTCATTGCCAGCTGGCTTGTTTAACTTAACTACACCACACCCAGAATCCTTAAAATTCGGGTATGGCTTAAGAATCTGAAAGGGTTTGTTATACAGTGCATCCCACCCTAACTGAGCTACAGAACCTCCTCCCCTCTTCTCTTCCCAACCAGCAGAGTTTGGGGATCAAGTTTTTCATGGGGTACACTTGGAAGACACTTTGTTATAAGCAGAAATTATTTATAATCCTGTAACTCATGGACATTTGCATAAGGACGTGGATTAGACAATGCCTAATTTCCAGGCACTGTGTTGGGTGCCTTTGCATGTTGACTCACTAACTACAAAACACATCCTCTGAGGGCAATAAGGAATCTTTAGATAAGCATCTAAAAAATGTATCCCCAAGTCATTGGAGGAGTGACAGAGCTGAAAGTGAGCCAGGGCTCATGCCTTGGCACGACTCACTCACAAGATTGTGTCTGTCCTCTAGTCCTAGCTGAATCTCCAAGATGACCTGTGTTTAGAATTCCCATACTGAGCTATACAGGTCCACATCACTCACCAAAACACCTCTGAGGACCACAGGATGTAACCAACCTTGACCAACATAGTTTTCCAAATACACCTTCCACATGGTCCTCTTTCTTATGCCCACTGGAAAAAAGTTAACTTTAAAGAAAAACTTGACCTGGACATTCGCAGTAACTCAGTGACTGTTTCAAGCACTCTGATTCTTGTTCTCCCTCTGGAGGCCTCATCCTAGCTGCTTCTGTTATTCATTCTTGGCCTTGAAAGAGAAGAAACAAAAGAAATAAAGAAGAAAGGGATTTTCTATCAGACGAGCTCCTCAGTGTTTTAGCAGCTTTTATGAAACACCTTGTGGGTGAAGAGGTTGAGACTACTGGCTCACTAATGCCTTTACCTGCAAGCTAGGGGTTAACATGTTTATCTCCAGTCTAGATCTGAGGAAAGCACAGAGGAAGGGAAAGAAAATAGCACTTATTAAGCACCCACTGTGTACAGGTGCTTTATATATATTATCTCATTTTTAATTATAATCATTTGACATGAGTATAATTCTCCTCATTTTAAGATAATGAAATCTGAGGCCCAGAGAGAGACTGAGGAACTGACCGTATTCACACACTAATAAGCAGTAGCAAGGTGTGTTTGACTCCAGAGCACTTGTTTTCGATACTCACGAAGCTGCCTCCTGGCTAACCACTGTTTCTCCATTATCAAGAGAAAATGAAAGAACTGAAAACACAGGTGTTGAAAACATTAGGTTATGGAGCTTAATAGCACATCTTTGAATTGGTAAACCTTCCACTGAATACTTAAAAAAATATTTTTTTCACATCTCAATTTTCTGAAGTCAGATGCCACCTAATTATAAATGAAGATCCAGTTACAAAAATAATAATTTAATCATCATTTTAGCTTCTATAAAACCTCTTACTGAGAAGCCCCAAATAGTTAATGAGCACTCACAGAGGTCCATTTAACCCTTTGAAGCCTGGACATATCATTATTTCACTTTGAGAAATGGGGAAACTGATGCAAAGAGAGGCTAGGAGCCTTTTTCACAGACTCTTATTAACCTAGATTAATGTCCCAAATCCCAAACCAGTGTTTTAATCTTAATCTCAAATATGTTTCTTTCAGTTCACTGTTCCTTTATATAAATGAATTGAATAGCCACAAAATAAAATATCAGAAAATGCAGAAATATTTTTTTTTAACTGTCGTATATAGGCTCTCAATGCTGGCACTATTAGCATTTGGAAAAGATGACTCTGTCACAGGGCAACGTCCCATGCCATGCAAGATGTCAACCCACCTCCCTGACCTACATCTCTGAGTGCCCACATCTTCCTGCCAGCTGTGGCAATCAGCATTGTCTCCAGATATTGCCAGATGTGGAGAACTACACCCATGGCATAGAAAATAGCATACCTATGTGATAAGAAATCATGGTTATAATTGAAGATTCTTTTATCAATGTCATCTGTCTGTCTAATGAAGCCTAATAAAAAAGAATCCAGAGTAAGTCAAGGTTAAACAGAACATGTGAGGACATGCTAGTATTTTTTTAAGATGTAGAGAAAATGATGTTAATAACATTAGCAAAAATACCATTGTGGCAGTCAATTCAGCTTAGGAAACAGTGGTCCAAATAAGGTCCATTGAACAAATTAACAAGTATTTATTGAACACTTACTATGTCCTACACACTCTACAAGGGACTGGGGACACATCAGTGAGGCAAAGACAGTGTTTTCTTGGATCATGCTTAGTGCCTGAGTAACCTGGCACTATGTTATATATGGTTCATGCTTTGGAAAATGAAAAGATTGGTAGGGTAAGGGGGATGAAAGGTACTGGGCTTTGGTAAAGAAGTTGCAATGTTAAATTAGGTGTGTAAACAGCTTTCCTTATGCCTTATTGCTAAGAGTTAGTGAGTGGCAGAAGGACCAGAAGCCACATGACATCTAATCCAATTATAATATCTTTTATTCCCAATCATAGCTTTCGCTTTCAATCAGTGATGAGTGTCACAAAACCATTTATGGAGGTAATTCTCAACTGGAAGTGACCCTCCCCCCACCATGGCAATGTCTGGAGATAGTTTTCATGGCTGTGATTGGAGGAATGTGAGTTTTATGGTTGTGATTGGAGGAATGTGAGTTTTGATGGTTGTGATTGGAGAAATGTGAGTTTTGATGACTGTGATTGGAGGAACGTGTGAGTCTACATCTGTGTGTAGCAATCAGAGATATTGCCAAACAAATGCACAGGTCAGCTTCCCACAACAAAGGATTGTCTGGTCCAAAATGTCAATAGTGCTGAGCTGGGTTAACCTTGACCTTTTACTGACTTAAGGAGCTTTCAGCTCCCGCTAAGTGATTTGAAATGATTGCCACATGGATTTCACATGTAGTATGCTTGTAGCCTGCATTTCAGATGGTAGAATGAGCCTTTCATTGGTAAGAGGAGAATGGAGGGATTGTTCAGATGTGAAGACATGAACCAATTCTTATCCACATGACACCTTCACATTCAGAACTTTCCAGATTGCTCTCATGGGCTCGGCATCTGGATATTCACCTGATACCAAACATATAGATGTATGGTGTCTTGCAGGCAGAATTCCCAAGTGATTTGACTAGATCTTTTCTATTCTCTTCCAAGAGTTCATTTAGAGTTTAAGCAGTCAGTCTCAACCTAGAAAGAGCTTCTCAAATCCAGTACTGAAAAAAAAAAAAATCCCATTCAAAACATATGTTGTACACATCCTGTAGGTATGGAAAGACTTTGCTATTTAAATATTTTTCTGGAAAAACTATAGTCTGGCTTAAATTTCATGGCTTTTCAATGGATCTTTTTTTTTTTTGTAGTGAATAGTTTTAAGAAAATCAAATAGAACCTTGTGTAATGACAACCTTCACCCATAAGCATCATGCAGCATTCTGATGTACATCAGGAAAAAGCACATACATTCCCAAACAGTGAGACCCTTTGTGCTTTGAAACTGAACAGTCCTCTGAATTATTCTCTTCTGGATCTAGATCAGCAGTCAAATTGCATTTAGTTTTAGGCCTTGAGGTCATTTGGATCTGCAGAGTGGCATTGATGGATTTGTGCTTGTTATGGTTAGCATCAGCAATGGGTGGGTTTGCAGAAGTGCTGGATATGAAACGTCACTCAAATTCTTCCCAATTCATCTGTCATGCTTTCCCACTGCCCTCCTCTCCCATGTCATCCTTCTGTCTTCTCCCCTAAGCCCTCTTCCTGATGTTTTTCCTTTCTCATTTCCTGGATCCTTTAGGAATTTTACAAAATGCTGTTTCTATTGACATTTATGATATCCTTATTGACTGTCATCTTGTAATTCTTTAAACATGGTTATTTATTTCTATATTTCTTGATCTGTTGCAAGCTATATTTAAATTCAGTTGCATAAAATACCCATGGGGTTCCCAATGTTTTTAATATAAGGATCCGGTTTTCACGTAACAAGTGTTTGTGAAGTACAGTACCCAGTAACAATGTTTCCTATCTGTTGATTGGATAAACATGTATGTTTATATGTATGTTCATATACATACAAACATGTATGCTATGTCTTGTCATGTATGTTCATATACATACAAACATGCATGCTATGTCTTGTCATGAACCCCTGTAGCAGTTGCCAGCCCATGATCTTTAGTGTGAACCAGTGCTACTCGGTTCAATACGCTATTGAACTTAATCTATAGGATGTGATTGGGATACATGATCCATCAAGGGTTGGTTATTTAAGGATAAACTTGTTCTCTAATATGAATGACTCCTAAAGAAGCCTAGAGAGCTTGTGAAATGTGTGAACTCATGTTCTAGACAGGAGCACTCAGAATGTCTAGTTCTGAAAAAAGACATCATAAAAAATAAATTTAAAAATTGAGAAGAAAAGTGTGAAGTTGGTTGGAAGTTTGGGAAGCAAAATAAGGCAATAACTACTGAAGGTTTTATATGTGTGGAATCAAAGGGAAATGAATAAAATAGGATCAGTAGATCTGTGTTCTACAATCACCATGATGATTGCTTGTGGTTTTTTATATTGTTATATATAGTAAGATTGAGGGGAAGTAAGAAAGATAAGGGTCCAGGTTAACAGAAATGTGGAAGTAAAATATTTCAAATATCCTCACCTCAAAAAGGGAAACATTTCAGGTTGAAGATAAAATTGTATGAATATTTTTTGATTCACTGTTGGCTGGATCTGCAAAACCCCTACGGTATGGAGGGCCAGCTGTTTATAACTGAATATGCCTCAAGAATATTTCTATACTATAGTTAGTCCAACATTTGATAGAAATTGTCTTCTTTCATCTTTTTTTTTAAAGAAGAGAAAACCAAGCCTCAGAAAGTTTAAATAACTAGCTCAAAGTCAGTAAGTTATGACAGCTAATAGGTAGCAGAGATAAAAGTAAAGCATAAATTTGATATCAAATATTCTATTCTTTCTCTACCATTCCTCTTCCCAATTAAAATTCCTCATGATTCTTGCTTGAGCTCATGCTCAAGTTCAGAGAAGATCTGTGTGTGGAACAGATTTTGTAGCCCCAATGAGGAAGGTGAAAGGATAAGGGAAGATTCCACATCATTGTCTTTTCTACAATGAATGGCTACTTGAACTTTACAACTGCTGGCTCCTTTGCCTTCAGCACTGTCCCTTTTTTGTCACTAATAACAGCAGGGTACTAAACAGTCTTTTAGCCTTAGTTTCTTCATTTGTAAAATCGAGTTCTAATACTTGCTCTGTCTACCTCACAGGGTCATTGTAAGGATCAGATGAGATAAAATCAGTAAATGTTCATTGTGAACTAAAATGTTCCAAATAAGTGTAAAGAATTTCTGTCATTGGCCTAGATTAACCCACCATCTTTACCACCACGATGGGAACCAGTAGCTCAGTTTCCTGGCCAGAAGGGAATCTTGACAGGCATCCACTATTCATATTTTATGGTTTTCTTTTTCTTTTCTTTTCATACAGTTTGGAGTTGAAGTGGTCTCATATTGAATGGTCGCAGACCGAATATGAGGTCTGTGAGAATGCAGGTGTGTTGCCTTTGGAAGTTACCAGAAGGGGATATTCCATGGACTCAGCCTTTGTAGGTGTAAAGGTAACAACTCTAAGATAAAAATTGTCAAGATAAAACTTGGGTTGTTAGTTGGTGCCTTTGATGACTTCCTTAGAAAAATTCAGAGTGATTAAGGAAAATTCAAAGTGCTGGGTGTTATAATATTCTGATATTACCAAGCACAAAATGTCTTCAGTCCCTACCCCTCTCCTTTCTCATTTACCCCTACATAGAGTTGGGTTTTGTTAAGCAGTTTAGTTTCAAATCTAGTCCTTAGTTTCTACACACTCTGTAAGTTTTGAAATTTGACTTCATAGGGTAATGCATCTCACTTAATGAAACAAGATTAGACTGTGCTTTGGAAAGAAAAGCTATAGACAGCACATTCTGTGGGGTACCCAGAGCAAATTTCAGTCCCCCAAATAGCTTCCTCTAGGTGTGAAATAGGATTGCTTTCCATAGTCTCAGTGGATGAAGCCAAACAGGAGAATTAAACCTATCTCAGTTATCCAAGTCATGCAAAATTAGGAGTGCATGTATTAATATAGATACTTTGAAATACAAACAAGCTTCAAGGAATTGCTTTCAAAGTAGTCAACTTACTATTCTTTTCTATTGACATCACTGTAGAGCACAATATATGGTTTCTAGAATTGAAGGATTTTTAGGAGTCATTATACCAACAGTCCTCCAAGAAAATGATAGCATGCCAAGTGTGGACGTACGGACTATGTAGGATGAGCCTTCAACACCGTCCTCTGCAGCGTGACAGAAAAGGCACTGATCTTAGCCTCTGGGGAAAATGGCATCTCTGTTGAGTCTCAATTGTAACAGTGCATTTGAATTATCTTCAGAACCTTGTGCCCTTGAATTCAACCATAACCACACTCAGTATGTATCTTTCCAGTGGATGTAGGTGCCCTTTTTCATAGACCTGTTGGTGCTTTATTAGTCAATCAGTAGAAAACTTGGGGTACCCCTAATTTTCCAGGAGGTGGGTATAGAAAAGGACAGAATCTCCTTGGGTGGCTTTCTAAGAATACCCTAATCCTCCAAGAAAGCACCATCTCCTCTACTCTGGGGTTTGGGTCACACTGCCACTCACCTTGTAAGGTAGAAAGAACACACATGAAGCTACTTAAGCTCAGTGTCTCCATGAACCTGTCAGTGGAGTGCCAGGCCTTGATCAAACACAGCCTCTCAGTCTTTGAGGACAGCCCTATTCACAGTATCGCCTGCCACCTTACACAAGAGCTCACTGGCTAATTGACTGGGAATAGGGAGGAGGCACTTTTGCCCTGGTTTGGATCATTTACTTCCTTCCACCTGACCTTTTTCTCTAAATACCTTGCCTCAGACCTTGCTCTTCCCACATAGGATTCTGTAAACTCAGCGGTGGTAAATACTAGGTAATTGCATGTGCAAGTACCATGCAGGGAAATATAACCTCCAGCATATGGTGGATACAGGTGTACAATGGGCTACCTTTTCCAGAGAGAGGTGGTTCCAGGGGAGCCTTGGCATTGTAGACAAAGAACAAATGGAAGCCTAAGAGGTAATACCTTAACGTGTAAGTACCTGTGATTTGAAATGGAGACATTGTCTGAGGCCATAGAAATAGAATTTTAAAGAGATGCACTCACTTCATCCTTTTCTACAAAGATGCAGGAATGTATTAACCATCTTTCTTGACCATCTTCAACCTCTTAAAAATGTACAAGAATAACAACTGCCTAGGATGCTTAGACAGGATCTTGTTTGATGACTTCTTTTTCAAATCAGCCAAGGACACTGCTTAGGCACTCTCTGGGGGGACGGCTATGACCTTGGGGCCCTGAAGTTGCCCGTTTATTTTTTAATCCCAGAGCTGGGGAGCGAGGAAGTAGTCAATAGTCTCTTTAGGCGAGGGCATTTTTTTTCTTTTTACAACTCACTTGATGGGAGCCTCTAAAAGCTGCGGGTTCCGGGTGTGTGGATGGCCTTTATGTAGCTGTTCACCAAGTCTGTCAGTCCCACAAAGCTCTTATTCATGTTGGTGATGAGTGATGGTTTCATCCAGACAGGAAAATGGACCAGGCTTGTTTGCGCTAATCTAGGCTAAAGGTTTTCAGGGCTGGGGAGCTCGTAGGATACCCAACGCTGGCTGACAGATTGTCCCTGGGGTTCTCAGGAGTGCCTGTTTTCTCTTCTTCTTGCTCCCTGCCCCCCCCGCCTTGAGGCCTTATTTTAAAACCAAGTTGAGGTAGAGAGAAAGTAATGAAATAAAACTGTGCTTATAACAAAGAAAAAATAAAACTTTAAACTTTATACTGCTTTCTCCAATGACTAAAATTATTTAAAAAAGAGAAGTGAGAAGTTCTCTTTAAGAAAGATCCAAGATGGTTTATTACAATATTTTAAAATCCTGCTTAATATTGAAACCAGATTTAAAAGCATGAGTTTAGTCTAGTATGGGAGAGAATAAATGCTTCTGTAGTATAGAATATTTACTTTTATTTTAAAAAGAGCCCTGTTTTGTTCCCCCTCTTAAGGTCAACCAAGTGTCGGCTACAATTGGAAAAGATTTCACTGTGACTGTATCCAAACTGGTTCAGTTTGACCCAGGTATGTTTTGGGACTTCAGTTTGTTTCGTGTTTTTGTAAGCAAGTCTGGAAACTGGGGAGGAGGCAGGATATTACTCAGTTTATGCCAACTAGAAGATTCTCATGGAATCTTCTCACCCCACTCCAAATGAAATGAGTTTGGACCTCAAGTTCTGTCATCATTTTTTATTACAATATTCATTTAAAATGAGAAGAGAAATCCTCACAAATAATAAATATAAATTATCAAAGCAAACATTCAAAGCAATCCAGGAAAAATAAGGTAATTTTTAAAGTATTTTAATCATACTTAACATACTTAAGTATGATTGCCTCATATTTTGATGAAATTTTTCGTTTCATTTACATGGATTCCTAAAGGAAATTTCTAAATCATCCCTCTTGAAATAGGTTGTTATGAGGTGATTCCAAGAGAAATTATTATTTAGTAAATAGTATTTTGTTTTAAATTTGTGGAGAAATTTTGCTAGAAACAAAAGGGGTACAAAAATATAGTGTTTTCTCTTGAATGTGTTCCATTGTGTGGGACATCTAGACATGAAAATACTATTAGTGCATCAGAACCCAAAGTGTGAGCCATTGATCACAACTAGAATGTATCACACAAGGGGACACACTTAAATCTACCTTTCAGAGATTCCACTGGATAAGTAAGATGAATACCCATTTGTCTACAGAATTTACTTGCTGTTTTGAGTAGGTATTAATGACTTCTAAATTTATGATTTTATGATTTTATGATTTATGATTTTAGAGGTTATTTAGACATTTAAAAAATAACATAAGCACAGTTTATAAATTTTAAGAAAATACCCATGTTATTGGCTGTTCATGGTTTTGGAATATATTAAATTAGAAATGGTTTTGTTTCAGAGAATTTTAAACTTCTCTATGTCCAGTTACTGCTTCTATATTCTTATATTGTCAATCCTTGTCCCTTTCGGATCTGGTGGCCTCTGTTCCACCTCCATCCCAGAGCAACCTGTTCATTTCTCTGAAAATAGCAACTTCCATGATCCTAAAGAAACAGAAATTGAGCAAGCTAGTAGGAATGTGGGATAAAGTCAGGGAACTCTTGGGAGGCAGCTGACAGGAAGGCTTGCCTTGTAGCTATTGTACCAAACCAAGACACAAACCCTGGCTACTTAACATTCAGCTATTGTGACTAATCTTGAGTGGATGTGTAAATACTCTAAAGAAAATGAGTGTTTTCCTTTAGAATATGTGTTCTTGAAAGGTTTGCTGCAGTCTTAATTGAAACGTCATCATTCCTAAGAGTCAAAATGTTTTCCAAAAGAACAGATCTCTAATGTGGCATTTACTTAAAAATATTGAAAAAATGCTTTTCAATAGAAAAATCTGCTTTGCAGGAAAACATCGAGGAATCCACCTACTCTGAAAAGGGGGTATGTGTGCATAAAGTGACACCTTCCCTCTCCTCTTTAGCGCCTTTTGTTTCATGGAGACAGGGAGGGGGCTAGTTCAAGCCATCTTAAAATGCAGGTACATCTCAGGGATTTAGCAAATACTTTGCACCTTGAAGGTGGAAGAGGAAGGGGAAAAACAACAGCAATAAAGTCCTTACTTCCAGTCTCATTAACCTAAAAAAGATGATCCTGTGCACACATGTGGTAGGCATGGAAACAAAGATGAATGCAGACAAACACATCAGAATCACTTCAATGGAACTCAGGTAGATTTGCCCTAACCATCTTGTTCTATTCCATAAGGCCCAACAAAAACTTTTAAGGTTTTCCTTTCTGTTTAAGAAGAAGGGATACTAGATTCTTTACAAAACAGTCCTTAAGATAAGAGGGGAAATTGGTTGAGGTTTGGAAATATTTTTTGTGTGTTAGATTTTGGTTTACATAATGCCCAACCTCATGACATTTGCGGATCCAAACAGTTCTCTGAATACTAGCAATTTCAGTATTCATATATTTTCTTCATTTTCCACTTCCTATCTTTTCATACCACCTTTATTGCAGCAGCTGCCCCTAAGGTCTGACAACTTCTAAGTGAGCTGTCTCTCAGCCTGGGTACCTCAAACCTTCACACACAGTTCATTTGCTGAAGCCTCCACTTGTCACTTCCAGTTTGAAAGCCTTCCCCATTGCTTGTTGTTTTAAAGTTGGAATCTGCCCCTCCTCCCCACTCCGGGGTCCAGGTTTCTTTGTAGTGTGGCTATAGAACATCTCTGCAGCCTTATGGCCTCCTGCTCACAAATGTGACCTCTCTCTTCCAGACAGCTAATGTACTCACACTTCCCCGACTTTCCTAACTTCTTTATGTTCTCTCGTTTTCTCCCTCCAAATCCTTCCAATTCTGGATGCCACATACATGTATTACGTCATGTATTCTATATCTTTGGGCTGCTAATCACACATGGTTTTGAATAGGTATTTGACTTTTCTGGTATGGTCGTCCCTCTGTATGCATGGTCTCTGCCTCCACTTATTCAACCAAGCACAGATCATTAAAACAAAACAAAACATCATGCCTGTACTGAACATGCACAGGCTTTGATTTTTCTTGTCCTTATTCCCTGAGCAATGCAGCAAAATGGCCATCTATGCCATGTTAGGTATTATATACAATTTAGAGGCAACTTGAAAGTTCTCATGATTATACGCATACGTTCTACCTAAGGGATTTGAGCATTTGCTGCAGATTCTGGTATGGGATGGGACCATCCTCTGTGGATTCCCAAGGACAATTGTATTGACTCCTTCAGGAAGTTTTAAATGCCTTTTAGGTCAGGGTATGACTTATGTCACACTTCTGGTATTCGCCATAGCATCTAATGCTAAGGTAAGAACTTAAGCACAAAACGTGTATTTTGATGGATTAATTCATCCATCACAAGACGGGAATTATATAGCATTTTTATTTTATTTTTTACTTTACTTTTTAATTTTTTGTTAATACTGGGGTTTGAACTCAGGGCTTCATGCTTACTAAGCAGGTGTTCAACCACTTGAGCAACTCCTCCAGCTGGAAATTATATAGTCTTTTATGTTAGATGCTTTAAGTGGTGTTTTCGCAAAGATTGCAAAAGTAATTGACTTAACATAGTCGATACTGAAAGCTGAATAAAAACAGGCTAACGGTCTAGTTTTTAAAATAAAATTATTCCAAATACACCTAATTTTTCCCTCTAAGCATAGCCAAGAGTAGGATAAGCGAACAGTTTCATTTTCTCATTGGATTGCTCTGGGATTAATGAGAGTTTGATTAGCTCATGGGACCCATAGAAGTGGATGGCACAGTTGAGAGGCATAAGTCTGTGGAAGGCACTCTGCAAGCAAAAAAGAGTCATATTTTAAGAAGAGAAGGCTAGAAAAAAAAATGTTCAGCTGCCTTCTATGGACAGATTTATGGAGTGAAAGCACTCAAATAGCCAGTAAGTAAATGGCAAGGAAATCTTTTCAAACTCAATCCTGCAAGGTTAAATTGCAGGATTACCATCTTTTCCCTTGTAAGCTCGAGCCTTCTTTCTCCACTACACAGTGTCTCTTTGCTTTCTGCCTCTACCTTCTCTTCTAAATAAACTCAAGGCGATGCCTTGTAACCATATCATGGGTGCTGGATCACACCTTTTCACAATTGTCTTCTAGCCTTAAGATTTTGTGTTTCTGAGGTTGCTTTGTTTCCCATCCTGTTGGCAACAGGATGACTGGGATCTGTTGGTAAAATGAAAACTCTGTTGTGTCAAGTTCACAAAGTTACCGTGAACCAAGCTTCATGATAATAACTCCATGAATAGAGGCAGATGGAAAGAGTGAGGAGAATGAGGTCAGGCTTTTTCTAGACCCCTCAGTCCCTAAATTCTCTCTAGGAGGATATCAAATTGCTGGGCCTTGTATCGTCAGAAAAAGCGTTTGGGGGTGGGGGCTAGAAGGATTCGAGGAAGGAAGACAGCCACGCAGGCAGCTGTGGATAGAAATCAGTCGTTTCAAAGGCTCTATGAATAGCAACAAGTGCCATCCAATAATTGTTCTGTCTGCGACAACTTAAGACTTCTGAAACGACTAAGATTTTCTTAAGAAGAGAAGGGACAGATTGGGGGGAATAATTCCATTTTGGTTGTCATCTACTGACCATTTTTTTTTCATCCCTGCAGAATGCAGCTTACTTTTTGTTACAGTGTTTGCATTGAAACGGAATCATCATTGTCCAGGAACAAATGTGGTCTTTTCATAAGATTTGGGAGAACAGCAGGGCTTCAGTGAGTTGATGGCAGTACAATAGCTCACTCAGGGCTACTGCAGTCTAGCTGTAGACATGTTAATTAATATATTTCTCTGACACCTAGGTGATTGAAATAGCAATTAAAGAGTAATTAAAATGTTTACTTCTTGTAGGAATGTCAACTAAAATGTGGAATATAGCAATTACCTATGACGGATTAGAGGAAGATGATGAGGTCTTTGAAGTAATTCTGAACTCCCCTGTGAATGCTGTTCTTGGCACAAAGACAAAAGCTGCAGTGAAAATTTTGGACTCAAAAGGAGGTATTCTTTTGATCCTCATCTTGAAATCAGGAGCGGTCCTGGCGCCGGGGCTGCTGGCTTTCAACAGCCAGTGTGCTTGATAACACCTTCCAGTCAAAATTGTCAAGAAAGCAGCCTCCGTCATGGTGCAGGCCCTTTATTCTGCTTTTTGCTTCATGTGGTTTTCCTCCTGCTAGGAGCTCTGGCTTGAGAAAAGCAACAAGTCAGTGGCGTAGTTGTTTTTCTCCTAACCATTTGTTGTTCTCACCGAGGGGGCAGCAATGTTGGTGAGAATCTATCGAACAATTATTTTCCCCTAGAGTTTACAGGGCTGTAATTATCTTCCTCTGTTAAAGAGAGCTCTCAGCGCCTAAAACTTGAGCCCTCACTGTACTGTGGCCAGGAAAATTCTGAGAGGAGACGGAATTGGAGAAAAATAGAGGTGAAGAGGCAGCTGGCATAGGAATTTAGGAGCAGCTGAAGAATACTAATGAATGACTTGGGGTTGCAGAGCTAAACAGGTCTGGGTAGTATATTCTGAGGTTCAACCTGTAGACTCAGTAAGATAAAGACCCAAGGCCCCAGTGCTCTGATATTTAAATTTTCTGCCAAATTCCTTCTAGTTCCTTATCTGCCTAGTGTTGGATGTGTCCCAGGCGGTATACCATCTTACCCCCTTATTTTCACACCTGCCACGGCCCCCGTGGTCCATATTTTTTCTTACCTACGTTCTATTTTTTTCTCCCTTCTTTCTCACTCTGTCGTCTTTTATAATACCCATGTTTCCACAACGTCGTTTCTTTCCACATTTTCTGCTCACCAAATCTATTTATTTTCCAGTAGAACTTTCTGAACATTAAGTCCACTATATATACATATGTATATATAAATGCACTCTATATATGAAATATATAAAATGCTCTGGACTGGGGAGGTAGCTCAGTGATTGAGCACTTGCCCAGCATGTGTGAGGCCCTGGGTTTGATTCCCAGAACTACAAATAAAATAATAAAATAAAATAAATACCTAGACAAAGGTTCTGACTTGAAAGTTTTCTTTCCTCATACAGTCCCAGAAACACTAATTGGTGAGATTTCCAGTAGAAGCAGCTATGTTGAGGTTTACTAGGTTTCTGTTCTGTAACAATTGACTGCAGATTTTGATAACTGTTACTTGATTCCATGACATCTTTCAAACGATTCCAGTTTCTACCTCTAAAAGAGGGAGAACTGAGTACCCGTGGAGTGCTTGTGAACGAATATTTGAGCAGTAACGAAACCTGGTGTATTGAGAAGAGCTGTAGAGGGAATGGGAGGGAGGCTGTTTCCCAAGTACATGACATGATTATAAAATCACAATGGTTTGCATTTGTGGTTTGTGAATCAATTTCATGACTTTATAATCACCCTACAGATGTGAGGAAGGGCACTGCTTTCCTGGATGGAAACTGATCAAGAGTTCAGGAGTTTCTAACAAATGGCAAAAAGGCAACATCTGGTGGGAAACTCACCCTCTCAGCTAAATGACAAGCTGCTCCAGGAACAGTGTCAATGTGATCACTGATGTGTTAGTGTGAAATGTGCTGACCGCCTGCCATCTTGCATACCTCCAGGATGGTGCCGGCCTTCCTATTCCTCCAACCAAAGCCAGCACAATGCATGGGAGAAGAGCATTTGGCGCCTGCTGTCCCCAGGGTTGTCCTCACCCACCAGTGCTGGTTCCCCTCATCTGGAAAGAAGACCCCCTCCATCTTCCAAGCAGCTAGCTGTCACCAGGGGAGACACCCCACCAGGCTTTGATTCTATGGATCTTTCTCAAAGGAAACTTAGGAGCCGTGGGAACGGCCTAGCAGTAAGGATGGGACCTTCTGGAAGTGGGTGTGGAATCCATATTAATAAGTGTGCCGAGACGCTGAAGAAACTGTGGGTTCTCATGCTTCCTTGCAGGGATGTGCACTGCCCTTTTTATACAAAGACCACAATTAATTATTCTAATTGAAGCCACAGATATATTGATTTGTCCATATATGTTCTGCTTTGGTTCCTTTTTGATCAAGACAGACAGGGAATAACCAGCGACACTAGAGCAGAAAGAGATTAAGTGATCCACGTGGTGTAGTGTGGAAGCCATGATTTGACCTTAGTAGCATTGTGTTAATGAGGCTCACTCTCATGAATATGTGTATCTGTGTGTTCTTAAACCTTTTTGTACTATTGATATACTAAAAAAAAATAAGTCTAACTTCCTTTCTAACTGAGACTATGTATGCACAAATCAACCTAATGCCAGTTGTGATTTAGAACTAATGATTTAAAAACTTCAAAGATTCTGGCATGAAAAAAAATCTCAATTAACAAGATCTTTCTGGAAGAGTTTTACCTTTCTGTCAATTATTACTCCAGCCAATTTTGTTCATTTGTGTACTTTGTGGATTTCAGGTTCGTCCATCCTCTGTCTATAGAAATGGAACAGATATCATCTATAATGTAAGCAGAGTTCAGAGAACTGCTAAACTGCTTGTATTTGTGGCTGAAAAATACTTAGTGAGAATTTTATATCTTTTCTAGTTTTGTATTTATCTTAAAATTTTGTTTTGAAATTTATTTGAGAAGATTGATCAGGAAAAAAAATCCTTTCATGCTTTTGCCTTGATACAATTTTCGGATTGCTCATTTTGACAAAAGAAATTTTGTTTGCTATCTTGATGTTCATTTTTTCCTTATTGTTGCTTGTTGGTTTCCTCAAGTATCATGGGATGATTTCCTTAAAACTGGAAGATGACAGTTTCCCCACTCGCAAAAGGAAGACCAAAGTGCCTGTCACTCGTCAGCCACAGAAGACAATCAAGGTGGCAGAGCTGCCTCAAGCAGATAAGGTGGAATCCACAACTGACTCACACTTCCCCAGACAGGTAGGAAAATCTTTTTTTCCTTCCTATTTACCTGATAGCAAACTGTTTGCTGGGCCATAAACACACTTAATTTACCAGTCTCTCGGCTTGGGGATAGTTTACTCAGTACAGATGCTACCCAACAAATGAAGACCCAGAAGAGATGAGTGTGTCGACTTGCATGAAGTGGATTTTAAGTGGACTTTCTTCCCTGTAGGGACACTTGCCCTCATTCCCAAGGAACTGCACTGCAGAGTTGAATGGACTCTTCCATTTTGAAGAAGGCATCCAAAAGCTGTATCAGTGCAATGGCATTGCCTGGAAAACCTGGAGTCCCCAAACCAAGGTGAGACCCAGACTGAGCAGCCAGCCACCTCTCCCCGCACTGTGCCTTGTGATGAACGAGCTAGTAGAGCGAGTGATGTGTATGACTGTTAGCCCTTATCATGCTGTGACACCCAAGAGAGAAACATAGTGTTTTATAAATCACAAAATACATTCTATTTAAAAAATGATGTTTACTTATTTTGTTTAATTATCAGAACATCAAAGGTAAAAAAAAATGGAAACATTGCCATTGCCTTTCTAAGATGGAGAACAGGAATTAGGGCTGACTCCCTTTCTAGTGACAAACTTCTCTTTTGAAGTTAGGAGACTCACAGAGCTTCTTATGCTAGGAGCAGACTCTGAATTGTCAAGTTCATTGTGATGTGAGCACAGACAATTGTTTTTCAGGACAAGGAAGACCAATCCTGCCCAGATGGATGGCACCTTCACTCAGGCTACTGTCATACCTTGGTCACAGAGCAGAAAGGCACCTGGGCCATGGCTACCCAAGCTTGCAGGGAACAGTAAGGAACCCCATGTCATGTCCCATCCATGTTTTCCTTGCTTCTCTCTCTCTATTTTCCTATGGAGCTGTCAGTCTGCTTCACCCATTCAACAAATCCTGAGTATCTCATATCTGCCTGGCTTTGTTTTAGGAGCCTGGAGGGAGTTTTGTTGCTCAGATGGATTTGCAGTTGACCTTGATCCTGTGTTTTGACTGAGCTCTTTTCTGTGAAAGCTGCACTAGCACCATAGTTTTTCTTTTTCCTTCTCTTTCATTTTGAGAAAGTCATGGGAGTTTTTTTTTTTAATCAGCAGCATTGTAAGTTCTGATATCTTTTTTTTTATGTGATAGGAATTCCTGCCCATCACTTTGAAAACATCTAGTAATGGAAAGCCTTATGCATCAGGCAGTGTGAGAGGCTGGATGAGTTAGCTCACTGGGTAGTAGAATGTCCAGTGGGAGGTGCCTTGTGGTTAGACAGTGACAACGAAATTGATGTAGTCCAGAAGGACCTGAAAAGTGCCTAGGTAGCCATCCCTGCCCTTCCTTTTTTATTTTCCAACCTGAATATTATTCAAACAATGCAATTAGATTAATATGCTCTATAGCTGGAAATTGAGTCTAGGAAATTTCTAGTCAATGTCAATGAGATCTTGTACTAAATCAGATTTTAAAAAGTTATCCTCATCTATAGACACCATTAAGAAAATGAAACGGCAAACCACATTCAGTAAAAGCTATTCTCAAATCATCTATCTGATCAAGGTCTTAAATTCAGAAGATACAAAAAAAAACCTCCTATAAATCAGTAACAAAAATGCAACTCAAAAAATAGCAGGCTTTGCCTGGAACTGAGGGAGGAAGGGGGAGAGGGTGGGGGAGGTGGGTAGGGGGGAGAAATGACCCAAACAATGTATGTACAGGTGAATAAAAGAATAATAAAGTAAAACAAACAAGCAAAAAAAAGCAGGCCTTACAAGAACAAATGTATAGTTGGTTCATAAATAAATGAAAAGGTCCCCAATACCGTTAGATATCAGGTGAATAAAAATTAAAACCCAGTGAAACACTTCACGTAGCTGAGACAGTTGAAGGCAGAGGACGACAACACCAAATGCTGACAAGGGCGAAGAACAAACTGTTTCTCTGCACTGTTGGTGGACACGTAAACGGTGCAGACACTCGTGGGATGTCTGACAGTTTCTTGTGTATCCTGTGACCCATAATATCACTCCTCAGTAGTTAACCAACAGAGATAAAAATCGATGCTAAAATTGCTTCAAGTGGTTCAGGGAGAGGGTTGAGGGGAGAGACAATGGGCATGATCTAACCAATGTACAAGATAAGCCTATTGGAATTGTCACAGTGAATGCCCCCTGTACAACGAATATAGCCTGATAAAAAATTAAGATATGTATTTTTCAGGAATGAACCTAACTAAAAATATTCATATCTTGAGGCTAAAATTACAAAATATTCATGGATGATACAGAAGACCTAAATAAATGAAAATACCTGTACTTATTTATGTATTAGGAAATACCAGTATCATCAAAAATAATCAGTTTTCTTCAAATAAATATGTAAATATAAAAAAAGATGCTAAAAATACAAAAGAATTCATAATAACTTTATGCATAATAATAATTTGGACCATTTACCTTCTAGTTATTGATTTTGTAGGAGTACTCGGTATTTCTCCACCAACAAGGGAATACTTTTTTTTTTTCCTGTGGTACTGGGGTTTGAACTCATGGAATACACCTTGAGCCACTCCACCAGTCCTTTTTTTGTGATAGGTTTTTTTCAAGATAGGGTCTCATGGACTGTTTGCCTGGGCTGGCTTTGAACTGCTGTCTTCCTGATCGCTGCCTCCTGAGTAGCTAGGATTACAGGCATGAGCCACTGGTGCCCAGTGGGAATACATTTTAATATAAATCTTATATAAGCAATGAAATGTCATAAATATAATGAACCCTCCAATAGTATCCGTGAATTGTGAATAAACAAAAACCAGGATATGTAGAGAAAGTGGCTTACCCAGTAGAATGCACATTGTACGACTCCTTTTATATGGAGAGGAAAATTGAATCTGTGGTGCTCTGGAATACATGGTTATCACTGGCAAGGATTCTGGGATTATCAGAAAACAGCACCAAGTCCTGTTCCAGAGCAATGGAAAGGGTGGCCGTCATATTGTGGGTAATTGTTACATAGATGTACATACAGTTGTCAAAACTCATGCAATTGAATATTTAAAGACCCATGCAGGGCTGGAGGTGTGGCTGAAATGGTAGAGCACTTGCCTAGCAAGCACAAGATGCTGAATTCAAACCCTTGTACTGCTTCCCCAAAGATAATTTTAAAAAGTAAAAATTTTTAAAAAGCCAGGGTAGTGGCTCATGTTTATAATCCCAGCCTCCTGAGAGGCAATGATTGGAAGGATCATGGTTTGAGACTAACCAAGGCAAAAAGTTAGTGAGTTCTCATCTCAAGCAAGTCAGTTATGGTGGCTCATACTTACAACCCCAGCTATGGAGGATGCATGGTAGGATGATAATGACCAAGGCTGGCCCACATAAAAAGTGCTAGACACTCTGAAAAATAACCTAAAGCAAAAAGGGCTGAAGTTGTGACATTTTATTGCATATACCTGGGATTTTTTTTCTTTCTGTTTTTGAGACAGAGTCTCACTATGTTGCCTAAGCTGACCTCAAACTCCTGGGCTCAAGCAATCCTCCTGCTTACCCTCCTAAGTAGCTGGGACTGCAGGTGTGTACCACCATGCCCAGCTTTCTACTTAAATGTTTTAAAAGCTAATAAAATACTTAAACACTGGGCAAATGAAGCACTTGTTACTTCACTGATGTAGTTTATATCCTAACTATAAGTAGGGTCAGTAGTGTTCAGGTTTTTTTGTTGATAATTTGGTGATACAAAATAAGTTAAAATATTTTAAAATCTTATAATTATTTAAATACATATGGTCTCCTAGTGCAATATGTTAAAGAACAAATAAGACATTTAGGCAAAAAAATTACCAGATGTCCTACTCTTATTCAGTTTGCCTCGGTGCACTGAAAGCTCAGGTGGGAGCTGTGGTCTCGTGCTGGGGTCTTCATCCTGGAGGCTGATCTTTGGAGCGCACTAAACGCTATGTGAATCTGCAAGGAGAAGGCTGCAGGACGCTACCGCAGGGAGAAGATTGTGGGTTCTCTACTGAGAGGAACCCCAGTCAAGGTTGTCAGGATTAAGCTGGTGTAGAGTGGTTGGGAGAATGTAGACAGAACAACAGAAGCCCCAAGTTCAAGTTCAAAAGCACCTTTCTTGTTCACCCTCCATTGGTGTTCAAGGGGCAATTCAAGGAACTACACCAGTAGCTCAGTATTTCTTTTGTTTGTTTTCTTTTTACGATTTTTTTGCTTATGTATATGTTTGCTAAGTTAAGTTCTCTACCGCTGAGACACACCCCAGCCTCTTGTTGGTTTTTTATGTTAAGAGAAAATAAGGACAGAGTATATTCAGAGATGTCTGTCCATCCACTCAGAGACATATGTGTATGACTGCCAAGTGTCTTTAGTTAGAATGACTATTCTTTATTCTGAAATAGAGATCTAGATTCTTGGTGGCCAAAATCATTTTCATAAAACACTGGCAACTGACAGTAAGAGAGTCCCTGAGACATTGCTGATGTCTTCTTGTTGACCAGCCTGTATCAGTCTTCCAGTGTCTTCTTCTTAAATTTGACTTCATGGATCCATCTAACTGCAGCTCGCTTTTTAAATGATGAGTGGCAAGACTAGTTAAATAGAGTTAACTAGATCTATTAATTCTAGAGAGTTCTTCCCAGATCTATTAATAATATATAACTCAGTCATCCTACTGATGAACGTAAGGCCCAATTCATTTAAAAGCCTATTTACTGCCTCCTGTACTTGACCTAAGACTTCGTGTGCCTCTTGGTTGTAAGCACTGTCATCATGACCTACGCTAGCCTGACCTAGTTCCATACACCTCCTGGCCACTACACCTTACTTTCACACTGTACTTTGTAGTTATAAAATTCTTGTACAAGTATTAGCTTGTTTGATCCTCCCCTCACTAAGGTGAGGAAGGCATAATAATACCTTCTACTGCTCACATATTTTTAAAAAAAAAGCTTAAGGAAGCAAAATCTCTTGCTGATCGACATATAACCAAGTAAATAAAAGAGATAGGACGTATTTTTCTATTATACCCTCCAAAACAGCTCCATAAGTATACGGGATTTCTTTTTGACAGTATTGGTATTTGAACGCAGGGACTCACACTTGCTAGGCAAGTACTCTATCAATTGTGCCACTTTGCCAGCCCTATTAGGGGACTTCTTATTACAGATATATCAACAAGCATGTCTGTTTTAACTTTGTTTTGGGCTAACCTAAAGTAGGTTTTCAAAATTATTCATTGAAAGTTTTACATCTTTCACGACAAAGACATATTAAAGTTTTTATTATTATGGATCCTAAGTTTTCTTTGGATTTGAATCGAGCCTACCTGTCAGGTTAAACCTAATGTAAGATCAGATTCTTAGTTTATAAATTCATTCATTAACAGACATTTATTGGGCACTTATTGTACCAGAGACATCTAGACATGCCCGTTCTTTAGTACTGGTTAGACAACTCAATAACGAGGTAATTCCTCATTCACCAGGGAAACAGATGCAATAACTCTCCAGACCAACTGTCCTGTATAACATATAGGCAAGTCTTTAATGCTGCATTTTACCTCAGTGACACTGTCCTACAGCCTGGTAATTCCTTCCCACCCCCCTTTCCCACAAAGCTCTCCTAAGAATGTGAAAGTTGCTGAATTTAAATGCCAAGATTTACTATTTATTGAGTTGATGTCATACCGTCACATACTGTAGGTACACTCAAGATGTTTTCTGAGAAGCCAGGTGTGGTTAGTCCTGGTAGTTGGGAGACTAAGGCAGGAGGACTGAAAGTTCAAAGACAGCCTACATAGAGTTCCAGGCCAGCACAAGTCTACATAGTCAGACCTGGTCTCTGAACAAACGAACAAACGAAAAAGAGTTCCGTAGACCTAAATGTAACAATATGACTTGTGAGCAATGTTTACTGATTGCATATTTCAGAATATAAATGGCATTTGGAAATACAGTTAGTGGAAAGCCATTTTGTTCTGGAATAAATCATTATAATATTTATCACGACACCTGAAAAGTTCTCACCTGCCTTGTTGACTCAGTAGCATTATATCTATAACAGAGATCGTGTCTACCAGGTCAAACATGATTTTATAAGCAGACTCAGAACTACTATTGCTCAAATTATTTTTAAGTATTTTAATAAACTTTAATCTCAAGGAATTGTTTTAAGCTGTAAAACTGTGTTTCTCTTTACATATAAAACCAAGAACATTCTAAGAACAAGAGAACATTTTTATAGACAACTGTAGTTTCCCCACCATAGTTTAGAAGTGACTATCAGTAACATAAACTTTCAGACTTACACATTCTTACTCACTGTATCAATTGGGAAACTAAGGCACCTAATCAAGCACCATTTCTGATGGTGTTCTAGGGTATGTAAAGGACATAACAAAAATACATATTGTGTGAGATTTAAAAATATCATTAAAAGCTTCTCATTTAAAATGTTTAAAGAATGGATATAAATATTTTATTTGATTACATGTATCTTCATGATGCTTCACTGTGCATTCTGTTTGAAATGATAAGAATGGTTCAGCTGTACGTACTAGTTACACACATTTCAAAACACAGTCTTCCAACAGATGAAAAGGAAATTAAGAGATTCTGTTGGATCATTCTAGGAGAAGTATTTTTGGGTGGTAAAGCCATTTCCTCAGTATGTTTTCTTTGAACCCCAAGTCCTCCTCTTCTCACTCAGTATAGTTTTTACTCAGCCTTTGGCCCTCTGGTTCAGTTTATCCTGTCATCCAACTCCATGGGCTTGAAAATGTCCTCTGGGAATTAATAAATCCTTGTGATACAAAATTCACACTTTAACATTTTACAACCTGGAGAGTCACCTTCTACAAATTTTAGTCCATTTTAGATTCTATAATTACTATTAGAATCCACATAGTATATTTTCCTAATTTGAGTTTAGGGACCATTACTGAATGCTGTGCTGTGTTTCCTGGGGCTCCTTTCTTGGTATGTCTTTTAGTCTACACATGTTTCGATAAGAACTGCAAAATTTCCTTTATCCCTTGTCCCTAATCAGATTACTAACTCAACCCAATCTTTATCTCCAGTCTCTTTTCCTCCCCGTTGGCATTTTATTATTTTTCTAACCCAAAGGAGCCAGACTGCTAGATTAGGCATTTCTCGAATTTACATAATGTAATCTCATCTTCTTATTTCCTTAAGGCAGTCATTGTACAGTTGGTAATTCTATTATTATAGATCATTATCTATGAACCCATTCTGTCTTCCCACAGGAGTGTCTGGAACCCCTGCTGGCCTACCCTTAAAGAGTTGCCATGAAATATATGATACTTAATTCAAAACTTTTAAAGAAGTCTATGTTTATTTCTATAACCAGAAAAACTAAGGTTTCTGTTTTTATGTCTGTGCTTTTTAAGGCTTCAAATTTCAGAACTGTTAAATGATTTTTATTTATATATGTATTCCTATGTATTTTCTCTTATATCCATAAATACACATCTCTATATAGGTAATATGCACCATGTTTTATAGGCATATGAACAAAAAGGGAACAAGTGATATAATACACATACCCAAGTGCTTCCTTTGTGAGCAGTCATGCTCTTACACTTTACCTATTGGAACACAGCAATTTTTCTCTCTGGTTCTTTTGGGTCTTGATGGTTTTTTGGAAGTCAAAAAGAAAACTGGAATTATATTTAGGCAGCGAAAGCATATTTTACAAAGTTTGTTTTCAAGCTAGTTTCAGGGCTCTTCAAGTTAGTGGAGCTATTCTTGAGTAAGCCATTACTTCATGATGATGAAGTGAGGCTGTGAAGTTGGGAAGCATCAGTAAGGAAATTCACTCAGTCTGGGCAGAGACACTGACAGATAGAACAGGAGTGGAGATCTCAGGCCAGTACCCCATATTGACTGGGACCCCACTCAAGCCCTTCCCTGGCCTTCATTTGACACAAGTTTGATACTCTGTGTCCTAAGCTCACAGTAGGGTCATTAGAATGACCATATTGGACATGAGAGGGTGGGGAGGAGATGTCCCACTTGCTCCAGCTGCAGACAGGACTAACAGGAAATGGCAATGGCAGAGCCTGAAGCCATTAGGGGCATAGCTTCATGGATCTCCAGAGGCCTAGAAGGCACCATTGCACTGCAGAGCAGCAAAATACTGCTTTACTGTGTGTATGGGGGGGAATCGTTAAGAAACAGACAAATTATGCTTACCACATATGATAAAAGCAGAGAGATAATCTGAATGTTGGAAAGGCAGGCAAAATGAACAAAATTTAGTTCATCAGTGTCTAACCTTGTATGAGTGTTGCTAATTTTGTTTCTGACTTATTTTTACATTAATGGATATTGATTAGGCAAGAAGAGCATGGTGATTTTTATTTCATTTTTTGTTTAACTTTATTTTTAATTGACAAAAATATATATATATAAATATTGATGAGGTAAAATGTGATATTATGGTACATATACACCTTGTGTATTTGTTTCTCATTTGAAACTCTTTAAAAGAAAAAAGAATCTATTGGCTTCTTGTTAAAGTGGTTTTTTGTTTGTTTTTTTGGGCAGTACTGGGGTTTTTACTCAGGGCCTAACACTTGCTAAGCAGGCCCACTTGAGTCACTCCAACAGCCCTTTTCTATGTTGGGTATTTTTTTTTTTTTTTTTTTTTTTGCAGTACTGGGGTTTGAAATGAGGGCCTACACCTTGAGTCATTCCGCCAGCCCTTTTTTGTGAAGGGTTTTTTTGAGGTAGAGTCTCACAGAACTATTTGTCCGAGCAGGCTTGGAACTGCAATCCTCCTGATCTCTGCCTCCTGAGTAGCTAACATTACAGGCGTGAGCCACCAGCACCCATCTATGTTGGGTATTTTTGAGATAGGGTCTCACAAATTATTTGCCTGGACTAGCCTCAAATCATGATCCTCCTGATCTCTGTCTCCTGAGTAGCTAGGATTGTAAGCATGAGCCACTGTGCTCAGCTGGTTTTTGGTTTTGTTTTTTTTTTTTTTTTTTTGGGTGACCCCAACATAATCCCAGCTTGTTAAAGTGTTTTAAAGAGCTTTTAATAAGCACCGCTGAGTAATTAGGCACAATCAAATAGTACTTATTTTTTGATAGCTGCAAAAAAATAATTCATGGAGAACTGTATTTTGTGGGAAAAGTTTTATATGTTCTGGTAAGAACAGATGATCTGACTTCTACAAAATGTCTGAAGATTTGACCTGGGGGATAAGCTCAGGTCACTGTGTATGATGACAGGATCATGGTTATTGGACGATTTGACTCACCAAACCAAGCTCAAAACTTAGACCTCAGTCATTTCTATCTGAAAAAGTGAGTTACCTTACAGTCAAGTTAACTGGATAATTGCCAGTTTTTATCAGTTAAGGGAAAAAAAACCCAACCACTTTTGGCATTAAGTAATCAATCTTTATAAGTAGGCAGTTGCTAATTTTCCAAAAAGATGTTCAAAAAAAGTACACTTTCCCTGCCGTTCCCCACCCTCACCCTGCCGAAGCCCATGGGACTACAAATAGAGCATTAAAATCATGGGAAGTTCTTTGCACACATATTCTTGCTTTTGTATTTTATTTCTGTTACGCATTACCTATGAGCAGAATGTAAACTTCCCATGGCTGACATTCTTATTTCCGTTTGTTTTTTTGTAGACACCTGGGCAGCCTTGTCACTGTGTTCTCCAGTCAGCACATGGACTGGCTCTGGGACTTGGGTGGAAGAAAGCCCTTTTGGATAGGCAAGTATCTGCGCCACAGAGAATAGGCGCCAACACCAGCTGCTCCCCTCCGTGGGCCAAATAATCCTGGCTTACAATATACTAGACAATGGCTACATGGTTAGTCTAATCATCTATATTTTCAAACTCATCTTAAGGGCTTGCAGGTGTCACTTGGTGGTAGGCCCTGGGTTCAATCCTCAGCTCCAAAAAAGGGAAAACTCATCTTAAACTTTTTAATGCAATACTGTCATTTTTTAGACAAATTGATAGCTAAGAGAATTCCATGTACTGGTAGTTTGAGAATTTTAAACATAAGAAGTTTCTATAATGGGGAGGGTTCAATTATAAGATGGCCACGTGAAGGAATATTTAATATTTAATGTTTTTATAAGATATTTGCTATTAAAGGCATGACAAAAAGCCTTATGCTTATTTATTGGTTCAACAAATACATGCTGGATATATATTATATTATATGTAAATAATAATGCATGGCCTTTGTGACAAGGTGCTAGGTTAGAAAAAGAGCTCAGAGCTATATGAAGTAGAAAGTCATTTAGAATAAAATTATATGGTATATGTATAAATCTAAATACAGAGAGGTACATGCTAAAGAGTTACAAATTATAGGTACTTTGAATTTTATTCCTTGTTTTCTGATGCTTTTAATATTTTTTTTTAATGTTGAGAGTGAAAACAAATCTTTTCAAGCCACTTCAAAAGTACACTTCTCAGTGTACACTAGAGCTAGTATTCTCACTAATTCTACCTAGAGGCACTAAAGAGGAAACTGTGACAAAGCCAATGATGGGTTCTCAAAATTTCTGTAAACCTCAGTAGGGTTTTAAATTCAGAAATGACTTGAAAGTATTGAGTTAGTCTGGAATATAAGTTTTCTCTACATCCATAATGATGAATTTTAAGTCTTCATCCTCACAAAATACTTAGGTATAGTATTACCTGATGAATAACCCAAAGAAACAATCCAGAAGACGATAAGGTATTGCTAACCATAAATATTTCAGTTAATTCCAAAAATGTTGACTGAGAATTGGTTGGGAAAGGTAACTAGGACAGTTTTCATGGTCAAATTTGAGTTGGAAGATGTCACATCATGCGATCACAGGGGATTCCTATCTCATTTTTTTCTTTTAAATTTCTATTATGAATGAATGTGAGGGTACAGAACATGTAGTAGAAGCTTTGCAGCATTAAGGTGTAATTTGCAGAAATTGCCAGTGGGAGTAAGAAAAGAAAAGCAGCTTTTTTACTGAAGTCCTAGCAAATTGAAACATCTTAAACTCCAGACTAAAATAATCTGTCAGAAATTACTTTCAAATATAAAACCAAGACATTTAAATAATGAGGAAGAATAATGGAGAAGAAAATGTCTGTTTTCCTCTGATAGGAGCTCTGTATGTATGATATGGATAACAATAGCTGTCACTTATTAGATACTTCTGTATGCCATGGGTTTTACATGCATTGTCTTATCCTCAACAGTCCTACATGAAGTATTTTTATGCCCATTCCTTAGATGAAGGTAAATAACCTGCCCAAAGAGACTCAGCTAGAAAGCTGTAGCACTAGAATGTGGCTTGACTCTACCTTATAGTGTTTTTGTCTTTATAGTATTACCAATTCCCGTTCTTTGGTATAGAACCTGGGCTCACAGGTAATAATAACTGTGCTTAGAACAATATACTGCAAGTGATATCTAAAGATAAATGGAACAAAATTGTCTGGTATGTTCTTTTGGCTCACATTAGGTTTGAATGACCGAGAGCATGGTGGCCACTGGGAGTGGGTCAGTGGTGAGCCTGTTGTCTTCACCAACTGGAGGAGAGGGCCTCCCAAAAACTCAAAGCCTGGAAGGAATTGCATTTTGGCTCAACAACGAGGGAAATGGCAAACAAAGAACTGTCACAAGGGCAAATCTCACCATTTTGTGTGCTCCTGGAAACTCGAAATTTAACCAACCACTTCTACAGGTGCTCACCTGAGATTTCTTGCCCATCTATTTACTAGATTTGTGGATATTGCTCAATAGAAAATAAGTTGTCATGACTGGCTGGGTATATCTTTGTGATTCTATCTAGTGAAAATGGGATCTAGATTAATAGTTCCTGGAAGACTGGTAAATAAATATTTCTTCAAACATGAGATATAACTTTTCAGTACCTTTCAAAAGAAATGCCTGCAGTATTATAAGGGGTAAGATTTGCTTATACCTTCACTCCTCCCCAAATCTCACAGAGCACCAATTTTCATGGTCTTTAGATTTTTTATTCCTATTACTTCAAATGAGTCCATTCTGAAATTAGTATTGTGAGTCTGAGTGAAGCTAACCTTGCCAATTAATTAAACCAAGTTGAATTGCCAAGGGTTGGTTTGTTCCTTTGGAGCCCTTTAAATATGAAAACTAAAATCAGAGGCTGTGGATGGAAAGGAGAATTTTCTCTTAAATGGAAGAATCTTGCAGATGGAGGCTCAACTGTACAGGTCTAGTTCAGGTGGGAATTTAGGGGGGCTATCTGTACTTCAGTGATCTACCCATCACTACTCATGAAACATATCCCTTTTCCAATATAATCTTTGGCATCATGCCATTCCAAAGCTAGAGATTGGGTTTCCCTGGCCTTCCAGAGTCATGAGAAATTTGAAGTAATGTAATCTCTTCATCTTCATTTGCATTTATTATATTGACTCACATTTCTCAAGGTCATTTGGCATAAGCAGTATATATACAAATGATGGGTGACATATGGGGGAATACTGCATCCTCAGAAGTGTCCTCATGAACTATGCTGATGAACAAAGAAAAATAATACTGAAAGAAGAGCCCTTAAAAGCCTATATTCTCAGAAAGGATTTTGAGGCAATTTTGATCCCTTAATCTTTGATATTTGCAGAAATGCTATGTTAACTAGATTCACTAATGGAAAGGCCCCTTATTAATTTATAAACTAGCTAAGTGAGACATTTTTATAACAATGATATGTGTTGTATTCCTCTCTGAAATCAAGGTTTAATTATAGGAGATTACAATTTTATTTCTAAAATGTTTATTAAAATGCTTCCCCCTTTTTATAATCACTAAGAAATATGGTTCTGCCAAATGTAACTTGCTATATGAGCACCAGTGAGCTTCAGAGTTAAGATAGGTTTTCAAGTAGACTAGAGTTTTGGTAGGCTTTTTACATATAAAATAATACTTTGAGTGTTAGAGACACTGAAAGTGGTTTAAGAAAGCCATTCCAGCTTCTGTATTTAAAAACCAGACAGGCTTGTTTTATTTCTGATCATTTATCAAAGTTTTGGTTAATAAAAAATTTTACAGAGATATTAGGGTAAGACTCAGACACTGTGTCTCTTACTTATATCTAAGCATAATTGCAGAGCTGTGGGCTTTTACCTTACATGTCCAAGGTAGGCTCCAGACTGGGATATGCACAGGTCTTCTATGGGACACCAGCATCCTCTGGTGTTTAACTAAAACCTCCATACCACCTCCAGCCAAGGCCCTTGTGATCCACTGACTTCTGCAGTATGGAGAAGAATCTTCTGGAGATTCTGGGTAAAAAGAAAGTAAAAGTTCAAGGAATAAGGAATTTAAGGGCCACCCTTTTCTACTGGAACTCTAAAAGTACACAAATGATTTAAAGCTGAAAATCTACAAGTGTGTCAACTGCATAGACCCTGGTTGGCATGGTAGATTTGTTACACTGTTCTACAATGAAAATGACACAGCTATAATTGCAAATGTTAGCATAAAGAGAGAATAGTTTATTTTTTTATAGAATGATTAGAAATGCTAAAAGAATATTTTAAAATATTCCTGATTATGAAAGCATAATCAAGTCAAGTTGAGAAATCAAGTAATTAAAAGATTATAAAAATTCAGGCAAGTTGGGGTGCTGGACAATATTCATCATAACTGTCACTACTTTATCACCATTGAGCTTGGGCTGGCAAAAGCAGTAAATTATTGTCATTTTTCTCTCCACCTTATTTGGTCATGCTGCCCATCAGGTTGTGGTGGGAGTAGGAAGGAAGGAAATAAATGGGTAGAGTAGGAATGGAAGGTTGTGGAAAAAAGAAAGGAGAGAATGGTGAGAAGGGTTGCATAGGAAGGGGTGAGGATAATGGCAGCTGAGAAGAAGAGAATCAGAAAGGAGAACCTGAATGTTCCCCAGCTCTTCTCCCCTGACTTGAATACTGACTCAGGGAAAGTTCCCTTATATCCAAGATCATTAATCCAGCTCAACAGTGGGCAACTTTTCAGAATCTTCTGAATTTTGGGCTTTAACAAACACATAGCATATATTGGCTAAAAATAAAATGTAAAAGCATGTGATGATCATTTCATCTCCTTTCTAAGGTTAGTGAAAAAAGTTCAGGTGACATTTATTTGCATTTCAGTTTTTGTTTATTTTTTAATACAGCTAAAAGATATGCACATATTTTAATAAACATTGTGGTTCTGTGTAATTTAAACTGTAAACTGGTGCTAATGAATTTCTGCAACAAAGCAGCATATTAAATGTACTGTAACTAATGTTGTATCAAAATTAACAAAATAAATTTATTTCCATTCTCAGATACTGTATCTTTCATTTTGAACACATTTTTTAGTTTCCCTTGGAGCACATGGGTTTGAGGTCTTAGTGATTCTACCTATCAGAAGAAATTGGGGAGAAAACTCAATATGTCTGTTATTTATTGGCTGAACTAGCTTTTAGTTATAAGATCTCCATGCATCCATCCATATACCATGTATTTAACCAATATCGAATACAGAATGTTGATTCTATACCTGACATTGTTCTAAATACTAGAGATGTGGTAGTGAATGGAATAGAAAAATGAAAATGCCAAAGTACACTGCATAAATGCACATATGTAAGTTTTTAAGCCTGTAGCTTTTTTATCCAAGAGGAAGTCAGAGTGGAAATCAGTGATTGCATTGTCCCTTCTCAGAACTGGAGGGGAGCACCCTTAGATACAAGCTGACTTTTGTTATAGTGCTCTCCTGATTAAGAAACTGGCACTGAGGTTTTAATCACATCAGAGTGTTATTGATAGCAGCTGTCCCCAATTTTCTGTCTCCAGGCTCAACTTAGGAACTAAGGTTTTTAAACCTGGCATATTGGTTTGTAACAATTCCTTTTTTCTGAAACAATAAGCAGTATGTGTCTCTGTACCTTAGAGATTCCTGGAATAACAGAAATTAAGAGGCAGATCTTTGATATCATCTTATTTAATATCCTTGCTTTACAACAGAGAAAACTGAGGTCCTCAGAAGTTATAGTGTAAAGAAATCAGCACCAGGACTAAGGTCCCAAAGATAGGCAGAATCTCCTCTCACCATTCCATATAGCTAGTACTATTCTGAGCAGATGGCTTTATTTTAGTGAAATATCTTTGAATGATAAGTATAATAAAATTCACCATCTACTTGAAAACATAATTCTAAGTGAAAGAAAACCATATACTGTATTATTCCACTTGTCTGGACTTATTGTCTAGAATAGGCAAAACTATAAAGGTAAAGTAGATTAGTGCTTACCAGAGTGTGGAAGAATTAGGGGATTGAAAGCAACTACTAATAGGTGCAGGATTCCTTTTTGAGGGGAGGAAATTTTCTGGAGTTACACAGCTGGTTGTACATCAGTGAATATTCTAAAAGCTATTGAAGTGAGCACTTTATTTTATAATTTTTATTTTATTTTCTTGTGGTGCTGGGAACCAAATCCAGGGCATGTTAGGCAAGCCCTCTGCCACTGAGCTATATCCCCAGCCCAAAAATGAATGCCTTAAATTGGTGAATTTTATATTACATGAAATGTGTTGCAATAAAAAATGCTATTAAAAATCACCATATAAAATGTATTTGCAAAAGCTATAAACGGGATGATATATTTGCTGTGTGTTTATATGACTCATCCAACATACACCTTCTAGTTTGCCCAGTGTCTCCCCCAGATTTTTGTTTACTTGCTTATATAGTTGGCTAAGAGATAGGGAATGCAGATTTGACATATTTTTAAATTTACAGTGCTCCTTTATTCATCTTCCTCTCCCCCATAAATCTTGGAAAACAACTGTTTTACAAGATTCTGTCCATAATGTCCAGAATGCCATGATTTTCTTAAAATTAATTTTACAAGCCTTTAGAGCAGGATCATGCAGGAAATGAATATACTATCCTCATAACTTACACATGGAACTGTTCATTTTGAGCAGTTTTATAGGCCTTATACTCGGTGAGGCAATAAAGTTTAGTTTATCTTAAGAGAGAAAGGAACAAAAAATCAACCAACACTTCCATTAAAGCTTCATGGTAACCTGCAGTACTTTTTCCGAGCAGTAACATACAAGTCCACCTTTTGCTTCTTCTCCATCTGTAGTTTTTCTTTCCAAAGCAATCAATCTCAACTTACTGCACAGAAAAAAAAAATGTTCAGACCCAACAACATGCTGCCTATAAGAAACATGCTTTTAATATACATCAATTCATTAAAACCAAAAGAGTGGGAAAAGATTAACACACCAAACTTAGTCAAAATTGGAGCAGCTATGTTAATATCAGACATAGTAGATTTTATAGCAAAGAAAGCAAAAACATATTGCCAAGCATAAAGAAAGTTATTTCATGATGTTAAGGGATCAATCATTAAGAGGATCTTATAATCCAAAGCATATACACACTAATAACAAAGTTTAAAAATATATGAAACAAAAGCTGATAGAACTAAAAGGAAAAATGAAAAATCTATACTTACAGTCAGAAATGTCAATACCCCCTTTTCAATAATTGATAGAACAAGTAGTCAGAAAATAAATAAGGGTGCAGAAGTGTGGACACTTAACTAAATTAACATAAATGAAATTTATAGAACACTTTTCCTAGCAACAGCAGAACATATCTTCTTTTCAAGTGTATGTGACATTTTTACCAGGGAGGACCATATTGTGGGACATAGACCATTTCTCAGTAAGTTTAAA